TCCACGCGCCAGATACCCCATGTCCACGCGCCTAATACCCCATTATGGGGTAAAAGGCGCGTGGCACGCGCCAGATACCCCATGTTATTTCCTTCCGTCCGTTGGTCCGTCCGTCCGTCCGTTGGTCCGTCCGTCAACATTGGCCGCACAAATTAAAACTGCTATTCGGATTGAGTCATATCTACATTCATTTTATGCATATCCATCATGCCTATTTGACCTATCATCGCCATTTCCCAAGTTCGTCCGGTTTCCGAGAAATTGCGGATTTTGACGTCAAAAAGTCAAATTTTCTGTAAATACTAGACACTTTGTTGAAGTAGAACTTTCAAATAACTTTTAGTAGTTGCTGTATATGTAACTTATGTCCTCTGAAGATTTCAAAGCTCTGGGAATTACAGTTTTTGGTGTTTACTCTATAAAATTTGACAAAAAGTAGGACTTGGTCATTTTCAGGAAACTTTCTCATGTATAAAGTCAATGGCGGGTTTGGTAATTGACAAGTTTCTCAAAGTTTGCCTTATACTTGATCATTTCTTGCAATGAGTTACATCATTGCTAGATTTAAGCATTCCCTACATATTGCTTAATTTATGTCAGCATCAAAATTTTACCGTTTTTGAGATATTTGACGTCAAAAAACAGTAAAAATAAGTTATTTTTCAACTTGCTTCAATTTGACCAAATTTTTTTTTGAAAATCATCTACAAGTTGCCAGGAGTTCAAATCTGACATTATTTTTAGGATTTGACCTTTACTTGACCTTCAGTGACCTTCGAAAGGTCCAAAAAGTTGATTTTTCAAATTGATTTTTGGATGTAAATTTTGGTCAGCTTAATCACAAAAGACCTTTCTGAGCTCTGAATAAGTAAAATTTTCAAGGTCAAAGGTTATCAAACTAGGTCACACAACTTTGCTATCTAAGTTTCTCAAAGTTCGAGACTACAAATCCAAATCAATATTTTTGTTTGAAAGTCAGGATATACGTTCCTCTGAAGGTTCCAAACTGTGTGAGCACAGGACCGTGGGTCCTTCATTATAGACAAATATCTTTGGTTTATTACTATTGATACATCATTCAATTATTTATCAACTCTGACGATTTGAAGACAAAATATATAAGGGTTATGTACTGGGAGGTTTTGGATATGGGGTTTATCCAGAGGGAGATATGCATATCTACCTGAGGGACCGTAGGGACCGAAGGTAGATGTGCATATCTCACGAGGGATGAACCCCATATCCAAACCGACCGTACATAACTGCTTTATCCTATACCAAGTAGAGTTTTCAGGGGCAAAGTCATTTTATTGCATTTCCATTTTTAAATTTTAAATACATTGATAACTTTTTGAAATACAACATAACAAAAGGATAAATGTATTCAAAAATTTGAAAAAAATAAATTTTGAAAAAATTTTAAAAAATGTGAACTTTTTTTTTTAAATTGAAAAAAAAATTTGAAAAAGAAATTTTGAAAAAATAATTGTGAAGTGAAATTACCGGAAGCGGGAAGATATGCACCGAAGCGGGAGATATGGAGGTTCTGGATATGGAAACCTCAAAATCAAGATACGGGATATATCTTAACAACTTATCTCCCTAAAACTCTACTTGGCATAGGATAAGTAATACTATACAAACATTTCATTCTATTGAGGTAAATTCCCGTGAATCTTTCATAAGTAACATTCAACAAAGTCCAAAGGGCTAGTGGAATATCATCTTATGAAAACTGTCACAGGTATTTACCGGAAATGGAATTAAATATTTGTTTTATTATTCACTGTTATATTACTAATTAATGGAATAACAAACTATTGATGTTAAACTAGCCATAGAAAATGTACTCCCCTAGCCTGGATATATAAAATTAAAATTACAACACTGAATTAAGTCGTGACTGGTACATTTTTTACCCAACTTGGCATATGCCAGTTAGATTTGAACTTTTTGATATCCCACGCGTGTTGTGTTGTTTGAAATATTATGCTACCTGGTAACAAATAAAGGGAAATTATTGTGATGTCAGATTGTTGTATGATCGGGGTTTACAAGTCAGTTTGAGAAAGCAATGTGCAAGAAGTGGTTAGTGAGAGAAGGGAACACCCTTCTCCATATGGTCAATGCACCTGACCACAGATCTTAAAATGGTCAGGATTCCTGCCTCCTGGACCTGAACATGGAACCCTCGGCTCATGCACCCTTTAGTCCAGATCTGACCACACGTGACTTATTTATTTCTTTACTACTTACAGTATTTCTATAGAAAAGGACACGGGTTTAATGGAATTAATTAAATAAAACAAGCTGTGGAACTGCAGCTTGCTACCATCACACCGGAATACCCTGACAACGTTAAAGTCAGATATAGTCCATGGTATGACTTCCGAATATGAATGATCCGTAGCACACTATAGCGCAGCAACATTTGAAGCAATATTTATGAAGGTGTACATGTCTTTATTCTTTTGAAATACCATTTGCTGAAAAAACTTCCAGCTTTCGGGTCGAAAAATGTCTTTCATCACAGGGGGTCAAAAAAACGTAAATATTTTGATTCTAACTTTTATACATTCTATAAGACACAGATCGTTATTCTAAGCATACAAACAAAAATAGATTATCATAATTTAAAAATATACTATTTATTCAATTTTACCGTAAATGTCGGTGTTTAATTAGTGTAATTATGCAAGTGTGTTTTTCAGATTTTGTTTGATTTTTCAAATATGAGCCAAGCCAATTCAACAAAATTATATGGAATATTTGGGTAATTTATGATTGGGAACATATTAGTTTAGAACATTTTATTACCAGAATTTTTCCATATAATCACAAGGGGTCTAACAACAAATTATTGTAGCCACAAGTAAAGTCGAGGAAGAATTGTAAGGCGTTCGATTGCATATGACTCTAATTGATTATTAGACATGCCCTTGGAATATATGAACATTACAGAGGTATTGGAATGTTCATACATTCCAAGGGCATGTCTAATAATCAATTAGAGTCATATGCAATCGAACGCCTTACAATTCTTCCTCGACTTTACTTGTGGCTACCATCAAGTTTTCTGATGGCTGTTTCTTCTTTGACCTTACCGCTGGATACAATCAAATTTTAGGAAGATATTGATAACGATTTTCTCAATTATTCATGAATTTGATCAACTCTTGATGGTTGTTATATAAGCAGCTGAGCTATATCTAACTACGGGAAATAGAATTTTAGCCGTAGTCCCAATTAGTCAAGGAAGAGCAATAGGCCCTCCTTTATTGATAATTTTCACCGTTGAATAAAAGTCCATATCTCAAAACGTATTGAGACCCATTTTGTGAAAAACTAGCATACTTTAAACATTTGTCTTTCCAATATAAAAGTGATTCATTTGTAGCATTTATCTTATTAATACCTGAGAAACAATACAAAACGTCGATACACTGATTACATGTTCTTTGGTATTGATAAGAAAATTTACCTCAAACTTATAGTTTAGAAACCTAAACCATATATTTAAAATCATTCTGTATTATTTTCTGTTGCATTGTGTACATCAAATTGTGAAAAATTGGGATTTATTTTTTGGTGATTTTTTGACCTCTGTTAATGGCAGGCATAATTCAGCCTAAAAGCCGGAAGTATATTGAACGGTTACAATAAAAATTATTAGGGAACATATGTAGGTATGTTAATGTAAAGTCAAATATCGCTCCACTATAGTGTGCTACCAGCTCCTTTATTAGACGTCCTAGAGATTTCATACCATGGACTAATACTGTTGTCACAAATGACGGACACAACTGTCGCTCCAGAATGTGTGACGTTACAATGTCGATACTGGGGTACCTATACCTCTTTCACAGAAATAAAGATATATCAAAATATACTGCATGTTTTTTCAAATTTTTAGAGTTGATAGATAACTAGACAACAGTAACGCCAAAACGTAGCAAATCCCATCGAACAGCCATGGCTGGTATTTTTACAAACAGAGTATATAGCAAAAATGGCAGCCATTTTTCAAAATGCCCACTTTCTACCAAAAGAGTCATTAGACAGTGTGCCATGCTTATAGTATTCACATACTAAATATGAACAAAATCGCTCCACTACTTTTCCAGTTGTAGTAAATTACGTTAAAATGGTGGCCACTTTCAAAAATGGCCGCCTTCTACCAAAAGTGTCATTAGACATGGTGTCATGCTTATAGTATCCACATACCAAATATGAACAAAATCGCTCCACTACTTTTGGAGTAACAGCGAAAATCGTAAAATAACGAGTAAAGGCCGCCATTTTTTAAGATGGCTGCCATGTGCTTCTTTAATATCTACATTTCTAGCTTTATTAATGTCCTATATAATTTTTTACATTTAAAACATATTGCCATTACAGTTTTACATATTGCACTTAATTTTTAAAGGAGCAGCCATTTTGAAAATCGCCTTTCGAGCAGAACTCCTAGCCCTATAGGGTATATGTGTACAAAATATGAACAAAATCGGGTCAACGGTATTTGAGTAATTGCCCGGACGGACGGACAGACGGACGGACAGACGGAGGCGTTCCCTATATCCCTCCGAACTTCGTTCGTTAAATGATGTATCAGTGGCAAAAAATCAAAAAGATGGTCTATGAGAAGCATCTGTTTAAAAAAGTGTCCATTACATATTGATCACCTCTCGTATATATTTAAACTATTTTTATGAAAACTCTTAAAAATTAAGACATTTGTTTTCCTTTATATAGAAATTTCAAATGTGATTTAGTTAACGAAAACATGTACAACTATTAAAGTGCTAATAGCTGTAATTCTCGTCCTAAATTACGCTCAAATATTTTAATTCATGATGAAGATATATTACTCACAAAAATCGTAGACATGGACATGGACCTTATTTTTATGTAAAAATCAGAATTCTTAACGTCTGAAATCCACAACTCACGTAATAAATATTTTTATGTTTTTTATATTGGCTAATAAATCATGGCCGTAGGTTCGATGACAAAGATTATCATTTTGATACTAACTGTCAATCTGAGAAAAGCACCATGAAGATAGTGAAGGCCTTGTGTGAAGGCAAACCAAGCTGTCACTTACGCGCCCTCAACTCCATATATGGGGATCCTTGCCCTGGTGTCTACAAATACTTGGAAGTGGATTTTATTTGCGTGTTTCAAGGTATGTAATGATAACATTAATCTATAGCTAATAGGGAAAATAGAATAATTTTCGACAAAAATCATATGTCATGACTAGTTCTTGAAATGCCATCTAAATCAGCTCTGGATTCAGTATAATTGGTTTTCTAACTATCTGAATGAACAATTTGAAAATACAAGAATCTTAAAAAATGTAACGTATTTTATGAGATATCTAAAATCTTAGAAAATAAAATGAAGGATTAATTAATATTAAAAAACATCGGAATAATTATTTCCCTTTCAATAATCAATTACAGTTACCATTAAAATATATAGGGGCACTATTTCGATGAAAACAATTTACAGTGACATCTATCCTTATGTATTGGATGTAGTTCTATTTTAACTAACGACATACCTCGTATAAATAAGCCACGTTTCTTCTTTTAGTTGGAAATGCTAACATCAACAGACAGGCCTCTGTGGTTGGACTTGTGTCATATGCAGTGTTGTTACTTTCATATAACTCTATAATATGAATCCTATAATATGATAGCTTATTGCAATGAACACCTTTAGGGTCATAGCAACAATGGAATTAACATTATGTTATTTTGGAGAATCAAAACTTTTAATGTACATCTCGTAAGCAGTTCTATGAGGTAAAGCTAAAGTATTTATTGGAATTACTCGGCTTATTTTAATGTTCCACTGTCATATTGATATACGCATGCAAGTCTATAACGAACTCTGTTATATTACATATCCTGTATAGTAATGTTATGATATACATGTACGCATACAAGTTTTTAAAAAACATATGCATATACTCACACCCGGTGATCGTGAAAATGGGACGGAGGGGGGAGCAAGCAATTTCTGGTAGAAAAATGAACAAATCTGCAAAAAGGTCATTAATTTTATGATGATAATGTCACTTACAAATATTTATTGCAGGTTGTGTAGACCGTTGATGCTTGATTTAAAGCAAAAACATTGACTTTTGCACGTTGGTGGCGTTGCGCCTCTTTTAATAGATCTTATACCTAAGAAGAGAATCGGCTAAAAAAAATTCGTAGAATACGCGACATATTTTACCATACCGTGCGCCTATTCGTTTAGCAATCAAATCATAAGCCTTTTCTTGAAAAAATAATTTTTGCAGATTTGTTCATTTTTCTACCAGAAATTGCTTGCTCCCCCCTCCGTCCCATTTTCACGATCACCGGGTGTGATACTGAAGTTATGATTGCAATGGCAACGCGTTTAGTTGGATATGTTTTTATTTTTATTTATAATGTCATAATTTCGCAACATAAAACATATATGCTTTGGACGTTGTCCACCTCAAAGCACACCATAAATTATAACAGCCGCCATATATCTAACGATGTGTTAGCTAAATGCTTACTCTCTCGTAGTTGCATATTAATAGATGTCCTCTTTGTGTAGTGCAATCTGGTGTTTGCTGTTCTAACGTAACGTTGCATTTGTATTCATGATTTGTACTATTTGTAATAAAATGTATGTGCAGCTAAGAGAATTACTAATAAAATACTAATTAATATTTACATTATATTTACAATTTCTGTTATATATCTATACAAGCATTTGATGTCATTCATTTTAAAAGTTCACTCTGATCATATCTATCATATGCGTAATGACAATGCAGTATGCAAAATCAGAAAAAATTCTGCACATATTCCGATAAATTAATGCACTGAAATGCCCTAAGGTGATTGGCTGAGACACACTTGGTATGTTTGAATACGTATTGCATACTGCACTGAAATGTAGGAAATGTTCAACAGGAGTTTGCTTGTGATATTTTACGCACTTTTGCACATTTTCCCTTCAAGTGTGGGTTATATATCAGCTATTACATCTATATAAGTACTACCTTTAGATTCCCATTGAAATATCTCATTTGTTCAGTTTAAAGTAATAATTAAATATGGACAAATCATACATGGCAACCGGTAAATGTTTTCATCAATATCCTGGGTTGCTGTTTGAAGCAGTGAAAATTGAGTATTTTGTTGAAAGGTATTATTAAACATTTTTAAATGACTCATACACCGCTAATATTATTCGAATCTATGAATTGAAACAACTGAGTGACACATTGTGCAAAGTTAAAATATACATTTCACAAGCCAAATCCTCGTGGATATTTTATACAGTATATAAGGTTTGCGATAAAATGTTGTGGTTTGTTAATTCTGTCTGGCATATTTGGTATGGCTTAATAGAAAGGTCCTATGAGGAAAACAAATGTCATTTTGATTGGCCATGAAAAAGATCATTTTCCGTATTTTCCACATGATAGGTTTTCCCCGTTACTTATACACACACATCAAGCAATATTGAGGCAAACAGGTCTTAAAATTTACATTTTTGACCCAATCAGTATGTGCGAATGTGCGTTAATATCAATAATTTAGTCTACTTCGGCTGGTAGATGTACGCCAGTCATTTTGGGCGGAAAATAATAATAAAAAGATTACACAGTCTCCCAAATGGCTCATTATCCACGCCTATATGTTCTATGATTGAATTTGCATCGATATTTGATGTCATAACTACGTCACTGATATGCATAATTCAGTGAGAAATCCACTTTGTTATCTACGCATATGAGACGCTAGAACGCTCTTCCGATGTTATTTGAGTCCACGGACTGGTACGAAGACATTGTATAGCCTATTGTCACGGTTCGGTAAACGTTGTCTCTAGTACATATTTCACTTGGTTGTTTTGCGCATATGAGACGCTATAACTCTCTTCCGACATTATTGAGTCCACGGACTGGTACGAGTACATGTTTAGCCCATTGCCACGGTTCGGAAAACGTTGTCTATTCACATACTTCACTTGGTTATTTACGCATATGAGACGCTATAACTCTCTTCCGACATTACGAGTCCACGGACTGGTACGAGTACATGTTTAGCCTATTGTCACGGTTCAGAAAACGTTGTCTCTTGTACATTCCACTTGGTTATTTACGCATATGAGACGCTATAACTCTCTTCCGACATTACGAGTCCACGGACTGGTACGAGTACATGTTTAGCCTATTGTCACGGTTCAGAAAACGTTGTCTCTTGTACATTCCACTTGGTTATTTACGCATATGAGACACTATAACTCTCTCCCGACATAACTGGGTCCACGGACTGGTACGAGTACATGTTTAGCCTATTGTCACGGTTCAGAAAACGTTGACTCTTGTACATTCCACTTGGTTATTTACGCATATGAGACGCTATAACTCTCTTCCGACATTACTGAGTCTACTGACTGGTACGAGTACATGTTTAGCCTATTGTCACGGTTCAGAAAACGTTGTCTCTTGTACATTCCACTTGGTTATTTACGCATATGAGACACTATAACTCTCTCCCGACATAACTGGGTCCACGGACTGGTACGAGTACATGTTTAGCCTATTGTCACGGTTCAGAAAACGTTGTCTCTTGTACATTCCACTTGGTTATTTACGCATATGAGACGCTATAACTCTCTTCCGACATTACTGAGTCTACTGACTGGTACGAGTACATGTTTAGTCTGTTGTCACGGTTCAGTAGACGTTGTCTCTTGCAAGTGTTTCTACAGCTTATTACCGTAAAGCTGGATATTACGACAATCAGACATCCAACAGCAGTCAGAATAGCGAAAAAGATCCAAGTAAAATATGTCTTCTCATCCGATAATATACTTTTCTGCTCCTGAAAAATAATAAAAGTATAATTATTTTTGCCATAAAAATAATAGAGACCACAACTCAAATGACCTACGCAACTTACAATAAGTTGGTTGTATACATTGACCTGTAAAATAATTCCCCAAATTACAAAATAAATTCAAAACCTCTTGATATTAAACCAAAGAGTCTGTATTAAAAGAATTTTTAAAATGTTACATGTTTATATTAAACAACATGACGTTGATGGTCCGTTCAAGGTTGTCCATATTGCTTTCATTATTATTATTCTGAATCGAGTAGGAGACAAGATGGAGAAAGATTATTAAAGCGAATCGAGAATGAATCTTGAAAATGTAATAATATTAATTCAATATTTTAAAACAGCAATATTTGCTAAAACGATTGGAAAAAATTTGATGGACGGTCACATAAGCGACATTAAGTGAACATCTATATTAACCCATAAAGCCATCATCAAATCGTACATACTTTCTGAAAAATATAAGGTCCCCGAGATCTAATGATTTTCTTCTTCCATACCAGAAGTTCCAAATATGGTTAACTGTGTACCAAGAGATCCAATTATCTTATTGAAGTAACTCATTTATTTAGCCTAAGTGACACTTTTCATCTAAATCATCGCAAATACGATCATAGCTCTCTGTTTGCTGGTATTTCATACCATTGATTCTATTACACAGATCTGGATAGTCTCAATTTAACACTTCAGAGTGGTTTAGGACGTGTGAGTGTTAAATCTGTCCTTGAATAGGAAAACGCTGGATAAAACGGTCTTATAGTTTGATCCCTGTAATCTTTAAGAAAAATTGCTTATATGATTAAGCCAACCATTGAGCCCAATATACAGTACGATTTTTACTTCAAAAATCCAGTCCGAATTATTTTTCAAATAGGTATTGCTACATTAAAAACCGTTTATACTTTGATTAAAGGATATTGTAGACACATTGGATTAGAGTGTACAATATGCATTTGGCACAGATGTAGACTCCAGCGCAATCAAGTTGTATCATTGGAATTAAGATACCAAATTGAGGGATTTTGGATGATTTTCGAACTCTGGGCCAAGAGGGTTCGCTCAAGTTCAAATGGCGCGAGTATGGCGCTCAATGTCTAATGACGCAAGTATGTTGCTCTAGGTCAAATGGCGTCAATACGGAGCTTAATGTCAAATGGCGCATATGGCGTTCAATGTCAAATGGCGCCAATACGAAGCTCAAGATCAAACGGCGCAAATATGGCGTTCATGGTCGAATGGCGCAAATATGGCGCTCAGTGTAAATATATTGCCAATTTGGAGCTCAATGTCAAATGGCACAAGTATGGCGCTCGAGGTCAAATGGCGCAAATTTAGCGCTCAGGGTTAAATGGTGCAAATATGGCGCGACTGTAATGCCTGGGTCACATTTGCTGCGATTCATCGGCCGGCGCCCGGTCGATTGAGTATTTTGCTCAAAATTGAATACATTTCTGAACAAAATACTAAATCGGTCGGGCGCCGTTGTGAAAATCGGAGCAAATGTGACCAAGGCATATAGACTATAAATGGATAAACAATAAATTAAGTAATAGCGATTGTAGGAATAAACGACCGTTTCGTGATCATACTATATAAATATGGAATCTGGCAATTTTCTGCTATGAACCATGAAATTACAAAGCTCAACGAGTTCTTGGCTGTACAGTCAGCTTGGATTAGTTTCCGAAGAGAGGCAAGAACAAATCTTCGGGACCTCTTCGTATGAAATGATTTAATGAAGGGGAGCTCTATGGGGGAGATCTTCTGCATATATGTTTATTAGCATTTAAAGTATGGAAATTCATCATTACTCCCATTATGTTAGACATCTATTATGTATCGCGCATCATGATGGATGGGTTATTATAGCGAAAACAAACTTGTTTTTGCTTTTACGTTTGACGCTCGAACGCTCGATGGTCTATCAATGTCCTTTGTGTTTTAGCTATTGATATACGATACCCATCTAATATGTTCAACTATCATGTTCAGCCAATATAACACTGTTTCATGGGGATTTTGCCTGTATTGATAAAATGTGATGTGTCTAATTTGGCATCGCATCGATTCCGCGATGCAACGGGGCTTATGTTTCCGAGTTTCGTTACAATAATGGTATGTTTGCATTCTATTAAACAAACAGAGGCGTCTAACAGCCAGGGTCCAAAACTGACGAGTCAAATGGTGCGAGTATGAGACAATGAGACGTTGGCGACTGACCCAACTGTTTTTGATGAGGGTAACCTTATATCTTGATTCCTGGGCAGTTTTTAACCGGGAATTGACCGGGAAAGAATAGATCATATTATTGAATATAGATGTAAACATACTACATCTCGTAATTAATACTTGACAACAAAGTATATTTTTCCTGTATAACTTAACACATTTATAATTCATTTATATTGATATTTTGTTTAATTGTATTCCCAGAAAGACCTTTTATTGCAAGTACGCCATTATTAAACATATACAAAAGGTACACCACTAGACGGTTCGCCTTGGTTATTATACAATAAATTATTCATTGATAACGGCTGGCACTCACCTTCATTGAATCGTATAACTTCTCAAACGAGCCATGGTTATTCACCAACCAAATATTGGATCCACTTAAATTTGTTTGACTAGTCTGGATGGGCATTATGATTTGTTTCTTCAACGCAGGCTCCAGTATCAGGTGGTACGTTACAGTTGATGTTGTCTTTGGGGCCACTCTTGTTTCATTGTATGTAATGTTTGCTGTACCTTCAGCTGGTACTGTTTCCGACTGGCTGTTTAACATGGACTGAACATGTGGTAGTGTTTTGGACTTAATATTTGGCACTACAGTTGGTTTTGATTTAGGTTTCTGTGAGTCACTAGATGGGGCCGCTGTTTGTCTTTGTTTCTCGAGGTACTGAACCGCAAATGGCGGTGCAAATTTTAAAACGTTATTAAAATGAGAATCACTTTTTGGAGTTGGTTTCATTCTATCTGTACTGCTTGTAAGTTGAATTGCAGAGCTTGTTAGTGGACTTGCGGTACTTGTTTCAAATTTACTTTGTGCAACTTTTACAACAAGATTTGGCGCTTTTATGGCTTCGTATTTGTCAGTGGTTTTGTTCAGTTTTATTACATATTTGATTGGGATGACGGGCTGCTCTGATATGGGTTGGTCTTTACCAGAACTGTTCCCAATATCTATATATCGAAAACGTTGTGTAGAAACACTGTCATTTTGTACATAAGTTGTTGAACGCCCGTCGTCTGGGAGGGTAGTATCACTAGTATCACTAATCGCCTGCTCCTCAGTCGATAGTGGTGGACTTGGTGTTTGTCCAGTTGATGTAAGAGCCGTTAACGCTGTCCCATTAAATGGCATTACAGTTGTAGAAATTGTTGCTCTTGAAATACACCCTGAAAAACAATTAATATGATTATTGGTGTCGCTAATTACTAGACAGCACAATCGGATTATTTATATTAAAGCACTTTTAATATGATATCAATTTCGATTAATTATTCAGAGAAGCTATAAGCCATAATCGTTTCTGAAGTCAATTGATGCATACGATATCACTGCGTATTGTATTAAGGCACTGCGTGGAATATATGAACATCAGTGAGTTAACAACGATGTTACTTATTCACAGTTTCTTAATTGTTCGTTCCAATCGAGCAAGCTTCCCGGTGCTATTAGTCAATTTTACAGAGATTAATTTAATTTCCTGTCACCGGAATCTAACTTGATTCAAAGTACGGTAGCTAAAGAAGTGTTGGGGATATCCACTTTCATATACACTCAAGAAACGGATCCGTTGGTGACAAAGTGTCGGAACCAAAAGTATACATCTTTTCTTTTTTTCTCATTTCACAATTTGTAGGCAAAATTTCGACGACATATTTATCACAAACGTATGTCAGTATCATATGTTTAAGAAAATCTAAACGTTTACGCCGAACAAATAGTTCATGAGACGACGGAATATTATTAGTACGTAAACGGAAACGGGTTAAAAGTGCAGATCTTAACCGTTTTTGAAATTCCGTTTACGCAGCAAATGTGAGGCATATATCTATGATACTATCGTCATGTGAAAGAAAAACCATAAAGATGAGGATCCGCCATTTTGTTACGGAAACGAATCTGTTAGGGTAACTAATTTCACCGGGGACCTGCCCCCCCCCACCTAGGATGGGCAAAGAAAATGAACTATTTTTAGGATCACAATTAGTTGGCCTTTTGGGGGAGTACTAAGCCTTTCTTGACCTTACTTATTTTTCAATTTTAGGCCAAGTTATCAAGAAAATGTGGGCTCAAATTTTGGTTTAGGGGCCTTGTTAGATTTCAGATCGCCTCCGAGTTGGAAGAGCGTAGTTCCGGTGATATATGCATATACAGGAAAACTTTTACAACACTGTTCACTGTAAAATCCCTCGAGAATAAAGACCCCTTTTGTACGTTCCTGATTACGTATCAATTAATAAAGGAATGCGTATTATATTATTTTCAGTGTTTTTTCTCTACATGATCTAGGTTTCATATTTGTGATGATCAACATTCGCACAAAATTCAACTTTCGAATCTAACTAAACCAATAAAATCTGGATTCCAAATATTTTACAACATAAACTTTAAAAAGTTCCAATTAAATCGTACAAAGAAATGCTCAATCCCCCAATTTGGGAAAATTCAGAGAAATTGCGAGTGATGTACGTGTAAATATTACACATAGGGTCAATAATACATATAACACGAACTGCTATCCAAAGAATACTTAATTTGAAACGGTTACGTCGACCTATATGTCATATAAACAATTTTACCTGCTCATTTTCTTCAGTTACGCCCCTTCATTTTTGCAGTGTATTATTACAGTACTTGATCATTGTTAACGTTGTTTTGCATTTCATTGGCTGTGTCATTTCGACATCATCAATAGCTAAGGGTGTATCATTTATCCACATTAGTTCAGATTAAAATCCCAGGGCTTGCTCTTTTCAACTTGATGTTAATGGACTGGTTGAACTTATAAATCATCCATATTTTTGATTTAACCTTGTTTGAAAATCTGAATGAGTTCTTGCAAAAGGGAAATGTAAAAAGACAATTCCACAGAGATCATCATTTGTTACTGGTTTTATCGATTTAAATTATTCATATTACTGTGTTTCATGCGAATACCCTGTGAATTTAAGTGTTCCGGCTTGCGCGTGAGAATTGTAAATTGGCTATAAAATCTTCACTATTGATTTTAGACCAATGAAAGTGCATAGAATGAAAGAACATTGAACTAGGTTAAATATTGCTAAATGTGATTTCAAACCCACACTGAATGACTGAGTTATTAACATTTTAGGTTTGGGTTGACTTTTTGGCACACCCTGTACATGTCATAAGTCATTGTTGGGACACCTTGAAGATGAAGCCTCCTACGATGAGTGATGGACACTATACGTGACTGTGAATCGTATATCACAAGTGATAGGGAAACGTTATATGCGCTTTGTGATATGGCTTCCCAAGTACTCTATTCTACGATGTGCATTTCCACACCATTATACAAGTATTAGGCAAACAGTCTGTTACTCTGTTACGTATTAAAGTGCTAACTTCTATATATTTCATTTCAGAGAATTTCCAGACATTAGCTATCAATAATGTTGATCAATTTGTTATGTTCCGTTTCACATTCACTATAATTCTTTTCAGTTGATGGGATTACGGTGGATTAATGGAAATGTTTAATGGATGCATCTAAATGTCAGGTCTAGTTAGCAATAATGAAGGAGGATGTATTGCATGTCCCCTTATCATGAAGTCTTCGTTTTGATGCTGCTTGTTTCTGAAGGAGAACTCAATTTAACAGAGAGATGGTACTCTATCTTGAAGTATACTTCGACTGCGTAAATACCATGTGGCAAAAACCAATAGTTTTGGGGAAAAGCCCCGCATCTTAATTACATTATACCGCCGAGTGCTGTTAAAGTAATTTATATTCTACTTTAAAGATTTAGAGCCTGTTTTTCAAGCTTAAGTACCGTAAAAGATAATATTTCTTCACACAGTTTCTGTCGTGATGTGTCATTTATTGACGAGATGAACCATGCGATACTTAACTATATTGAGAAAATCGTTTTTTGAAATGTGTTCCCTCACGTACAAATGAAAATCTTAGTCACATTTGCTTTCCGTACGGCGTATCCAGTTTTTCCAGGCCGTAGAATCACCGTCGAAATTGCAACTTGGAGTTCTGACTATTTTTCATTTCTACAGCCGTACAAGTTAACAAGCCGTAGCCTAACCGAAGAAAGCTTCCACGGTGGCCGTACATCGGGCATGACATTGACAACCGTTGTTTGTTTTTCTTTCTCTACAGAAACAAAATAGGCCGTAGGGCTACCGTTAGCAAATATGACTGCTACAGTATCTGACTCTAGAATTTCCTTGGTGGCCGTAGAATTGCATTTTGCCGTAGAAATAAAATACCGTACGGTCGTCGTAGCAAATGTGACTGATGCTTTAGTTTTAAATTTTGGCTTATCACGGACACGAAGCGTGCCATATATCCTTTAAATGCAATAAATATTCATTCATATTAGGTTCATATTTATGATCATAGAAATCGGCACGATTCATTATCAAAATAATTTCCTGCAATTAGAAACAAACAGGTAACGAAAAAACGGCGGCCATTTCGGAAATTGGGATATTTGGAATTATTCTGAAAAATGTTTTCCACACTTGAAGTGGTTCGTATTTAAAGCACGAAATCCTGGAATTGAACGCTAGCTCTGATGAGTGATTTTCCCAAGTATTAGAATCAAGAATGACGCTTCTATAATTAGCATGTTTGGTAATATCATTGGAGTTTGATGGACGTCGGTTAATTAAAGTAGTGTCGGATTGCATTAGAGAAGCGCCGTATTCGTCTAATCAAAGGGAAAAGTCATAATGGGAAATGTCCTAAAATTACGAACGACATATTCGTTCATAATGGATAATGTCCCAGAATAAAGAACGACGACATATTCGTCCTTGAGGGATTATTGTAAACAAGAGAATCATTAACATATGTGCATGAAGATGTTTTTCGAAGCAATTCTCTGTAGTATAGTAGAGTTTATGAGATCATTTGTATAATATCAAAAACTCGCTGTGTTCTTCTCGCAGAAAATCTGCATCATTGATTAATACAAATAACAGAATCTTCCAAAATGTTTGCCTAGCAATTTCTAGACTTTTTATCGACATAATTTGATTTTATTAATAAAGGGAAGTCAAAGTAAATTGTGATATTATTTGATATCCCATGTATATGTAGTATGCATAATGTCTCTCTTATATGATCGAATTATTCAACCTCCATCGCATTTTTTCCTTTATTTATTACACGGCAATTGACAGATTGATTCATATCGTAGATTCTGGCTAATTAATTTACCGGATATTTCAGTTTCTTTATTTTAGAAAAGACAAGGAGGGAGTAATTCGTAACGTACGTACTACGGTACACAAAATAGTGGTCCAAAACGGAGAAAATATGGAGATTTTAGTTGGATTCACACCACAAGAGCTCTCGGTTTAATCATTAATATTTTAGAGTTAAGAAATTAAACAAGTGTCATTTAAAGCCATATTATTTTGCTAGGATGGCTTGGAACCCTACCTACATGTAGTCATGACAGGACATTTTGAAACGTGTATAAACCGCCGTTATGCCTACAACATGCGCGAACGGGTCTCAAAATTTTGCGCACTTTAATTAGCAAAATCATGATACTCAGCTAAATTCCCGTATCTTCATCAGACCGGTCGAGAATGCATTTAACGACCGGCAATTTTCCCCGGGAAATTATATATCGTTCAGTGCGTACGATTTTCCTGCTGTTTCAGTCCTGGTCATTAACGGTGGTAATAATACGAATAACGTCATTTCTGCGGGCAATATAGTGAAAAATAAGGCCCTCGATCTAATATTTCACTATATTGCCCTTCGAAATAACGTTATTGTACTATTAACCTTAATCTTGAAACGATAACAAAAATCGAATGTTTGAATAATTCAATAATTTTGGATCGAGTGTCTCAAATAAATGGTCCTACAAAGAATCTAATTAGGGTGCAAAAAGTGATTCTGTAAACGAATACTTTACTTTTGGTTTATTGATCACGAAAACGTCTTGAGCAAATACATAAAATCTGATTTCATTATAGCTACTGTTACTTTAGTTGCAAGTCCCCGAATACTCCCGGGTGAGAAATAAACAGACTGAATTAATTCACTTACTGTCGAGTGTTCTATATCACCTTCCCAATTACACAATTACCAATCGTACAACGATATGAATGAATTCTCTTGAATTTATACAATAAGGATATTCCCAAATCAAATAGAATACTTTATGACATTCTGTTTTGATGAGTTAATCAAAATTTGTCACCGTTCGTTAAATCGTTGCATATATTTTACAAGGTTATGTCCGGTAATCAGACCTATAAACAGGTTATAGAATTTCATGAATTTCTCATCAAACATTAACTAAAATAGCAACCATAGCAACTCTTATTATTACGCAATTTTTGAGTAAATTCGTTTATTGATTAAATAAGCATTATGGGGATTGGCCGTTGCGCATCAAGAGTTTACCGATTTAGAAACTGCGATTGATCAATCTTTCACACAGTCTAGTCACGAACGGACCATCTTTTGTTTTTCACATTACTTCACAAACTTATTGCGTTCGTTTTCTCAAGATGAGACAACTGGGAAATGGAATCCCTGGCGGGTGGGTAATTAAGACGTTCTTTTGTTCAATATTGGCATGCCGAATAAGTAGACCATAAAGATACGGCGTGGAGAATCGCAATCTATTCGATCTATTCTATGTCTACAAAAGATCAATTTCTGGGTTATGTGATCGAAATCAAATCTTATAGGCAATCTCGATACTTACTTTTTCTATAAAGAACAAACTAGAACTATGATGGTCAGCGTTTTCTGTAATTTTTCGCCTGCCAATGATATTTCAGTTTATTTGTAAGTCACTAATTATAATTTATTAATTTAAGTCCAAAGGGTATTGAATCCAAAAACAAAACACTGGCGGGTCTCGGGGAGGGGATAGCCACCCATCCTTGGATGAGCCCAGCAAAGAATATTTGTCCTTAAAACATTTTGGGGCAAAACTTTTTTAGAGCCAAAATGAGTTGGCCTTTTTAGCATTACTTGGCCTTTTCCTTTTTCATTTTAGGCCAAAGTATCAAGAAAATTGGCCTGAAATTTTCAAAATTTGGGCCCACTTAAAGAGAGAATCAGAGATAGCGAGCAGGCTAAACAAAAAATTGTTTCAATTTTAGAATATTTTTGGCTCATGTCATTCCTTGTCATGTCTATTCTCTAAAAATCACAAAATTGCATAGTACTTTATTCAAGGAAAACGAAAGATTTTTACAATAATGTATCATTTTTCTATAAGAATGGTTACCATTCTTATTATTTGGGAGAATTTAAACATTTTTCACCCATTTTTGCACTTTGAATCATTTATAACTTCACCAATTTATAACATATTGTGAATCTTTTGGGAGATATTGTATTTGATATTGTAAGGAATAGATTGGTGGGTCAATTATGCACATTGCTTTTAATTTTGTCACCCCCTATAGATCTGATTCTGCCTTTAAGTTTTCAGATTTTAGTATAGTAATTATCTCATTTCAAATGGCAACATAGTTAAATCTTGGAGCAGGTTCTGAAGGCCCGATGGCCAAGATTTCACTATGTTGCTTACTGAAATGAGTTTTTATTATTATCCCCATTCTGGTACTAATAGCACCGGGATCTTTCTGTTTCACGTGAAACATCTCAGGGCTGAGAAGAAATGAGATGTCATGGTTTATCATAATGTATGATGATTATCCCCCACTATTTAAAACTAAATACAAACTCGGATAATGACCAATATGTCCCGCAACTAAATCAAGTCAATCTAGTAACATATGAGCCCCACCATAAGAAAACCGGGCTTATCACAAAAAAATAAACTGTGCTACAGGGGCCAAAAATGTGCTCAAGATTAAGAGAAAAATGTGCTAAATTCAAATTTATCTTTCTGGTCTATATCTGCTATATCAGGAAATATTGTTAAGACATAAGCAATGGCTCATTTGAAAGATCTCTTAGTGTTTTTTAAGATAAAAATCAAAATATTGTAAAAAGCTGTGATGATCCCTTTTCCTGTGGCCTGGCTCTTATAAGCCTTCTATAAAACTAGCACTAATACTCGGAGAACATGCCTCGCAAGATGGTGTGATAATATTGACAAATGTATGTAGTTATTACACATCTAAAACACATGAGAAATCATGAAAATTCCTTAATTATTGAGAAAGTTAAACCAAAATGAGAGGATGGCATATTTGTGACACCCTGTATATAATAAACACAGGTGGTGTCCATTTTGAGACTGTTTAGATTGTTTATATGAGTTTAAATATCTAAAATGAGGAAATTGGGCATATATTTATCAAAAAACTATTTTACTGCCTCATTAAAATAATTATTAAATCGACAAAAATATTTGAGACATTTACACCCCTCTCCCCGTGACAAACTATTACAACAATACAGTTAGATATCTTACATTGATTTTTGGCAGTCCCTTTTGTCAGTTCTTACACAATATAAACATCCTGAGTCAGAAATTGATTTGTCCGATGTGTATTGACAAAGCAACTTAATACCATGTATCAATTGTCTCCATATTAATGACACAAAACACAATGTCACCATAATCCATATTATTTTCCCAAGTGTGTGCTGCATCATACTCCGTTAAAACAAATTATTTTTACTGCGCGTGGGGGGATGTAACGTGTAAGTCATGGCTTTATAAAATTAGAAGTATTATTCATCTATGTTACGCTGGGACACTTTTTAACGATCTTACACACCCTTCAAAAATTTGGCGTTCCAACTACCCATTGGATGTAGTTCATGTCTATGTAGAATCATCACAGTACATATAGTTACCCAACCCATTGTGATGCATTTAGCATAAGCAGACTTTATAAATCTCTGCATTTGGTTAGTTATTTGATTACTTCTGACACTACTCAAATAAAAAGCCAACAGATTGAGCAACTTTGGAAACTATCTTGACATCTTGCGTAGAATAACAATTCATAATGTTTCATCGTTCGGTAAATTGTTGAGTCACAACCAAATATTATATTGATAAAAAACCAACCATCCGTGTATTTTCTTTCTCTTTTTATTTTGACGTTTACTTGATTAACCACACGATGTAATAAGATATCAAAACAGTGCCAAGAATTCTAAAAATGAGAAACAGTTGTTCAATAGTCCGAAGAAATATGAAAACACTTTGAATCCATTGCTCGCTATTCTGTGCTTTAAATTGGTAATAATACGCATTGTTTTATTTTTGATTTATTTCAATGATATTGCTTGAAACATACTTTTGAACCAAACCAAATTGTATATTTTTGTATATGTAAAGTATAATATACAGAACTACAGCATAGGTCTTTCTCTGTTATCAAGGATAAACCTCATTGTTGGTATATCACTTGTCAGGCATACGTTTCCTTGGAAGGATGGTTTAAATCCCCGGGCCGAATACGTATGCTATACATTACCTAAAAGTGTGACCACGAGCACTACACCATGCATCAGTTCCAGCACGTATCGCCTCATGATCCTTAAAGCTCCATCGTCAACGTAATAAGGCTCAAAATCAGCATGTTCGTCTTTCCACAGCAACTACACGTGTTAATAAACGTTCACAAGATTGTGTAGTTTCACATTCGCATGATAATTTTGATTATAGACTAAAATTACTGAAACGGCAGTCATTGACCGAACATATCCTAATACACTGCTGTTCTATCGAAATCCAAATTGCAAAAATATGTTATTGCAGTAAATTGAATGTTGCCTCATATTAGCAGAGTGATTTGTCTCATTGTTCGCTTTCCTCAATTCAGTGAAATTGAAATGAAACGAAGCATACGGTCTACTTGTCTGTCAGCTTTGAGTGGCAATTACGTACATATCCCGGGGAAGTCTCTTTATTTCTTGTGTTAGTCTGTCTTTGCAATCAAATACCGAACGACATTAAGAGGAAGTCTCTTTATTTTTCTATTCGTCTATCTTTGCAATCAAACACCGAACGACATTAATTTGATAATCACATTAGCATAAGTAGACATCAGTGTCATTTTCTAAACAAGAACGGCTCAATTACCGACACGCCTAATCCAAGACTTCTTCATCGCTCACTGATCTTGAATAATGCCTCGTCAATAGTTCCGTCGCGTAGTAACATATGGATATTCGGCGTTTCACTGGAAATACTCAATTTCAGTGTAAAATATAATAAGATACACAGTGACAAATATTAAATATCGAATTTTGAGTAATTTTGATGCATAGCTGGATTTTAATACGTACATTTTCCTTGTGATGAGGTTTAAAATCGTGATAGGGTTCGATGGGTTGTTGATTTTTAACGTACATTTTCCTCGTGATTAGGTTTGATGGGTTATTGGATTTCTACATGTACGTACATTTTTCTCGTGATGAGGTTTAATGGGTTATTGGATTTCTACGTATATTTTCCCCGTGATGAGGTTTAATGGTTTATTGGGTTACGTACATTTTTCCCGTGATGAGGTTTAATGGGTTATTGGATTTCTACGTACATTTTCCTCGTGATGAGGTTTAATGGGTTATTGGATTTCTACGTACATTTTCCTCGTGATGAGGTTTAATGGGTTATTGGATTTCTACGTACATTTTTCCCGTGATGAGGTTTAATGGGTTATTGGATTTCAATGTATATTTTCCCCGTGATGAGGTTTAATGGTTTATTGGGTTACGTACATTTTTCCCGTGATGAGGTTTAATGGGTTATTGGATTTCTACGTACATTTTCCTCGTGATGAGGTTTAATGGGTTATTGGATTTCTACGTACATTTTCCTCGTGATGAGGTTTAATGGGTTATTGGATTTCTACGTACATTTTCCTCGTGATGAGGTTTAATGGGTTATTGGATTTCAATGTTTATTTTCCCCGTGATGAGGTTTAATGGTTTATTGGGTTACGTACATTTTTCCCGTGATGAGGTTTAATGGGTTATTGGATTTCTACATACATTTTCCTCGTGATGAGGTTTAATGGGTTATTGGATTTCTACGTACATTTTCCTCGTGATGAGGTTTAATGGGTTATTGGATTTCTACGTACATTTTCCTCGTGATGAGGTTTAATGGGTTATTGGATTTCTAGGTACATTTCCATCGTGATGAGGTTTGAAGAGTTGTTGATTTTTTACGTTCATTTTCCTCGTGATGTGGTTTGACTGGTCAATATTGGATTTCTACGTACATTTTCTTCGTAATGGGGTTTTACGGAGTATTGGATTTCTACGTACATTTCCCCCGTGATGAGGTTTAATTGGTTATTGAACTTCTATGTACATTTCCCTTACAGTGAGGTTTGATGGGTTGTTGATTTTTACTAGTATTACTAGTATTACTACAATTTCCTTGATTTATTCCTTGTTCGGAGTAAATTATATATTTATATCCAACTTAATGATTAGATCTTAAGGGCGTCAAGCTGAAAACGTACAGTATTTCAACTTCAATAATTAAATGCAATTGATGACCTCGTATATTTCAATCGTAAAAACGCACAGTGACTGATTTTTAAAAAAATGATTTTAATGTTCGCGTACGTCAATTCCTACGGTGATACACGTCAATAAATACTTTTTGCTATAGCTGTGAGATATTGGGGGCTTGTTTTCTTAATGACAGGTTGTGCCATTAAGTGTATTTTCCATACTGTATTAATTTGTAATATTTTTTTGGTATTTGGCCCCCGTTTTGGCACTTGTGCTTTGATATTATTATCGAGTTTTGCTCACCGATGAACACAGATGATGCAGTACATTTGCCCGTAATCGATTATGTTATGGGGAATCCATTTGTAGCGATCTTCTTGTAGCGATCTTCTTTGAAAGTGAAACAATGAAATAATTCAGGGGTTTATTTCCAAGTATGAGACTCCCTGAATTCGAATGCATGTCGTGTTTCAATTATTTAAATTTCCGGTTGCATCTGTAGAAGGGCATAGCCACGATAATTGGAATACACGCAATTTCACACTCGACTGTTTGTCGGGGATTAAGAGCCCCGTTGGGCATTTAGTAGTTTCAAAGTAGGCTTTATAATTATTTTGGAGGCATTCACTTATTCATTTCGAATTCATTAAATCTTTTTTTACTTTGCAAATATATTCTAAAAATCAGAAATAGAATGTTAATCGAGTGAAATATTTGTTTTTGTATTTTGCATATTCAAATGGTTCTTTTTATTATTTTTTTACTAAAACTGTTTGAAATATATAATGAAGGCTAAGATTGGTGGGATCCCCGTTTCAGTAAGGAAGACACATGCATCAAAGTGGATTTTTTCAAGTATCAACAGTGGATCTATTGTGATTATTTTATGAATGCAATCACAGTAGACCTTTGTGACTGTGGATTCATTGAAAATAGACACATGCATCAAAGTGGATTATTTGTTTTCAAGTATCAACAGTGGATCTCCTGTGATTGTTTTATTAATGCAATCACAGTAGACCTTTGGAACTGTGATTCATTGAAAATAGACAAATGTATCAAAGTGGATTATTTTTTCAAGTATCAACAGTGGATCTTCTGTGATTGTTTTATGAATGCAATCACAGTAAACCTATGTAACTGTGATTCATTGAAAATAGACACTTGCATCAAAGTGGATTATTTTTCCAAGTATCAACAGTGGATCTTCTGTGATTGTTTTATGAATGCAATCACAGTAACCTATGTAAGTGATTTATTGAAAATAGACATATGTATCAAAGTGGATTATTTTTTAAGTACTAACAGTGGATCTACAGTGTTTTTTATGAATGCAATCACAATAGACCCTTGTAACTGTGGATTCATTGAAAATAGACACATGCATCAAAGTGGATTATTTATTTATTAAATCACCATTTTCTCGGAATGCTTGCTCGCTTTAAATTGTCATGCAATTTCAAAATTCTATATTTGTCAGCATTTGCCAAATTGTCAAGTCAATTCATTATTGATAAGATTATTCCAAGAATAGTGTAAATAAGACACATCCTTGACATATTACAATAGACACAATTCAGAAATGACTTGATAATTAAATTATAGCAAATTAAATAATGGCAAAAACAGATAATCCATATTTATGGGACTGTTTTTGAATTAACAATTTGGAGCGTGATCGTGTTAAGGTGGAAAACGCTGCTTCTCTTAATCTATTTCTCTATCAATCAAAATGGTTATGCCAGAATTAAGAAATTATCTCAAAATTAGAAGGCTGCTGATTTTGGGTAGCCCTGTACATATTTACCGAAAATGAACAATTTACTAGCGTAACTCTTGAAACATATTAAATAGATTTCGCAACTCACTTATAGCTTGTCGTTTATTATTCCCGTATAACTGTATAAATGTTTGATTACATCATCATTCGTTGCACAGATCTTTATGCCAATAAGTGTTTTATTCTTATGTATAGACGACGATTTATAAGAATATGACACTCATGGAAGTATAGAGCTGCGCAATAAATGATGACGTAATCAAACACTTCTTAAGTTATACGTTATACGGGATTCTAATATGATACGTTACGTCACAATATATGCTATAGGTGAGTTGCGAAATCCCTCTTGAATAATACTAAAGAGGTTCTATGAACATGCGAATTTGTCTTGCAGGCCTTATTCTGAACTATTCACAAATGTACATTTATCAACCAGAAAAAATGTTGTGTACGTTTTTAAAGTGTTACTCTATGTTTAACGTTATAAGTTTAATGTTCTTGTCTGGTTTATATCGAGTACTATAAACTGTACACAAATCTAAATTTTCTCAAAAATATATACACGTACACTTAGGTGCCTCTGTTCATTGTATTGTTTATATATTTACAAAGAAGAGTTGATTGTTCTCGTCTGAATAGTTCACCAATGTACAGATATTCCTTAATTATAATATACTATGAAGCTGCGCCTCTTATGTACAAAGTTATATATCTTTATATTACTTTTAATAAAATGAATATATCAGGTGTCCCAAAAATATATTGATATTTTATATATATTGATTTTTATAAAAATCATCAATTGTATGAAAATCAGTTTACCTGATGAAGATGTATGAGTACATCAAAACTTTGTAAATCTCAACATTTTGTTCAAGTATTTTCTCAGCAACTCATGAACCAAATTCACTGAAAATTAGTTAACAAGAATTCGAATATGCTAATTTGTCTCTTCTGAATAGTTCACCAATCTTAACTATAATATACTATGAAGCTTTGTATCTCGGATAAGATACCGTGTCTCTTACAAAGTTATATCTACTTTTAATAAAATGTATATGCATATTATTGGCTTTCTTGGATAATATATATACAGGTAAACATGTGTGTAAATCTGTATATAATTGGTGTAAAATAAAAATGTAGCTGTTGTATATCAGATTTTAGATAGTGAAGCCCAATCAATTTTACTTACTATCTGCCATCTATATGAAAAATAGAATAATTTTCTCCTGTTATTTCTTCTATTTCATCATTTAATATTTCTACTTTTCACTACTTGTTTGTATGAATTTGTTAACTAATGGAATAATGGAATGAACCTACGTGTAATTGAGAGATATAACTTATACCCTTTGATATAGGTAAGTAACGGACACTTTGAAAAATTCGCTAACAATGACATTATTATATCCATGGTTACAATACAACAATTAATTTGAGAGTTCTTAACTTAAAGTGAGCTTTCGACATCTCTGTTTTACATAATAATAATGTCTTTGTACAATTTACTGGTCAGGATCTGATACATTCCCTGACATGACATGTCACTCGTTCTTCTTTGTTAATCTTAAATTATTTTGTTCATAATTGTAATACACTGGGGGATCTGGGGGCCCCCTTCTTAAATTTTTTTTGGGCCAAAAAAGGCCTTAAGGCCCCAAAAAGTGAGTCTTTTTGGTCATTACTGGGCCTTTTAAGGCCTTATTGTTTAATTTTAGGCCAAATTTTAAAGAAAATGGGCCTCAAAATTTGGGCCCACTTTTGGGTTTTGGGTTCTTTTTCAATTTTTTTCTCTGATCTGAAATTTGGCCCTCCCCTTATTGGTTCCCAGATCTGCCCCTGTAATATCCTATGAAAATTACAAGACTTCAAGAAAGAACGAGGAACAAGCCTAAATAAATACTGGCTTTATCATGTCTTGGTACTGTCGAAAGGCCATGGGAACCGAGAGTTATTGTTGCAATATGGACTGTGTGGCTTGTTTTGGAAATGTTGGTCAGCTTCCATTTGCCAGGACTTTGTCTCTCTGGAGATTTTCCTTGGTGTTTGCGAGGTATCATAGTAATCCATTCCATCATAGCCTTCATTAATAATTGGGGCGTGTTGGTTTGATCCATTGACGTCAAAGAGGTCATTGTTGTACACAATCGTAGGGCGTTGTTGTAACGCTTCAATACGTTTCTTTAGCAGATACACAACACAGCATATGATAAGCACTATGACGATCGTCGCACCAAGGGAACCAGAAACTATGCCAGCAATTTGCGCACTGTTGTCAGATGAATCAGCACCTTCATTTTCACCAGGTGACGTCGCCGGTTTTGATGTCGTTTTCAGTGCTGTTTCTGACGTCATGTTGCTTTCAACAGTCGTCAGGTCAGTTGTTGGATTACCAACAGTGGTTGGCTCCTCTTCCTTGTAACATACGTTTGTACAATTAACTGTGTAATTTGCACAACCAGTCCAGTCTTTTTGCATCACGGACAGATGTTTGTGACACTGAGGATAATATTGGTTAAAAGACCGAATCCGACACGGTTTCAGCATATCGCCAGTTGAGTTAGTGCAGTTAGAATTAATTTGAAAGTCTCGGAAGTTGCAGTCGCAAAAGACAGTGCTGTTCCACATTTCAACAAGCTTCCACTCTTCATCAAGCATCCTAGACTCGTTAAAAATATTGATGAAGGAGCATCCACCAGTTAGCTGCAGTTGTTTGGAAAATGAAAAGTCAAGCAATTCCAAAGACTTTTCAATACCGCAGAAACTTTTGTCTGTGATGTTCATTCCAGTTTTATGAGTCCCAATCTTGATTCTTTTCAGGTTCAAACCATCAAACGAGAACGGACCAATCTGTTCGATCTCATTGTTCATTAGATCAACTTCCTTCAAGCCTTTTAACTGTTTGATAGCAGTCGGAACATCCTTGAGTCCATTATTTGCCAACAATAAGAACGACATGTTTTGTTGGATCCTGAATATTTTATCGGGGATAGCTTCAAGGTGATTGTCTGAAAGATCCAATTCTTCAAGAGACGACAGGTCCTCTAAAAGATCAAAAGGCAATGATGTTAAATAATTGGCCTTTATGTTTAGGCGCTCAAGTATACTAAGGCCGTCGAACGACTCCCCAGATACATTTTGGATTTTGTTTTTCCACAGGTTCAGAATTTTCAACTTGTTCAAATGTTTGAAAGTTCCCTCGGAGATTTCTTCTATTCCATTTTCCGCCAGTTTGAGATACTCTAGGGATGACAATCCATCAAATATACCCTTTGGCAATTGTGTTATTTGATTATTCGAAAGGGACAATGTAAGAAGGTTATCCAACTTCGAAAAAGCCCTTGGGTGAATTTCTTGTATTGAGTTGAAATCAAGCCGGGTTGTATTAAGAAAGGGCATGCCCTCAAATGCATACTGAGTTATACTTGTGATTTTACTGCTCATCATGTTTATAATTCTCATCTCCCCAGCCCCATTGAAGGCATAGTCCTCTATAGTCTCTAAGCCAGTCCTCGTCAACTCAAGAAAATCAACATACGAAGCACCTCGAAATGCATTTTTCTTGATGACCTGCAATTCAAGGCACCCAAAGAAATTTATATGCCTCACAAGTACGCCATTAAAGCTATCGGCCGGAATACTGGTGATTAGGTTCATACCAAAGTCCAATTCATCCCATGTCTCATTTGACACAATGTGTGGGATATAAGTTAAAGCTGCTCCCCTGCAGTTTATCTTGGTTACATTTGTCCTTTTATCCTGATAACATTCACACCCAGTGACATTGCCATAGCTATCACATCGTGGTGTGGGGACAGAGTCTGGACACTTTAGGATATCTGCGTGTGTTGCAGAGCGGTTACATGGCAGCTGCGCCAACACTGTGTTTGTCCATAATGTCAACAGTAACAATGGAACAACAACCGAAGTACGTGTTCCTGAAATACATAGAGGCAAATATAATTCCAAAATGAACATTAATGCAAGAATTAAGAATTCCTTGTACAAAAATGCTTCCACGTGCACAGATTTTAAAATATATTTAATGAACCTATTCCATTGTTACATGTAATTTTGAAAAATCATTTTCATTTCCCCCTCTTTCGCCAGAGCACATAGTTCATAGTTCGTGAACGCAATTCCCGGGGATTGGCTCAAACAGGGGGGGGGGGTGCAACCCAACGAATCCCTCCCCTTATAGGCAGACCCATGGACAGTATTATCCAAGGAACGTATTTTGAGTTGTTTGCTTTCGAGGTTTATCCAACTGCAATTTCATGTAAAAATGAAATCAGCTAACTAAATTGCATGATTGGCATATAGCAAGACAAGCAGCAATAAAGTATACCAGTATTGACCCTATGCATCAGTGTGACGTCATGCCTTTGTCCGGCCAGAAAATATTGCTGGCCGTCTAGAAAACGTCATAAGCAACCAGTGCTCAAAATGGCGACGAAGTGATGAGAAAAAGTTAAAAGAGTATGCCTAAATGCTGCGTTGCTGTTGAATGTTCGGCATTACGTTTTATCGCTTTCCGAGTGACAAGAAGTCACCTGTAAAAAGAAAGCTATGGATAAATTCTGTAAAAAGGCAAAACTGGGAACCAAAAGAACACGATCGACTTTGCAGCGCTCATTTCTTGTCAGGTAAAGTGTAGTCATCGAAACAGACCTGGTTTTCTAAATAATAAGTAAAATAAAATTTTATTAATTATAAAGTTATCAGTAAATAATGCACATTCAAATACCACGCATTGTGTTAATTACGCTATCATTAAACACGAGGGAAGTAGGCCCATGTAAGCTTAAGTAATATTATGTTGTTGTTTTTTTTATTTCTCTATTCAAACAGTGCAAGTACAATAATTAGAACAGTTCAGATATTTTTACACCACCTCCATTCATTCAGACATTTGCAGCAGTCATACTTTTAAGTTCAGGTACATAATAAAACATTTTTTTTTCAAATTGCGCCTCAAACAGATTGGGATTCACTTCGTCGAACTCTTTGATAAAAATATAGTACTTAATTGCAAGGGTAAGTCTATTTGGTAAGATATTTTTCTTATTAGCTTGCCTTCCAAAAACCATGTCCTGGGCGTTAAAATCGAAATCAACTTTAAATAAACGCTTTAAATTCCCTTTGATTGCTTTCAGAAATATTTGAATCCTTTTACACTCCCAGAATTTGTGTTTTAACGTATCTCGAAAGGCACAATAGTTACATTTAGAGTCATTTTAATGCCTATCTCCGCTAAAAAGGCATTTGTAGTGCAGATACCATGAAGTATTTTAAACTGAAGTTGTCGCGTTTTATTCTGTTTCGTGCACATATAAGACATTTTAAAATAATCGGTTCTTTTTAATTCACGATCATGTTTGTCTTTATATAACGGTTGAAAGAACTTGTTTCCATTTAATATTGTTTGAATTGATTTAACCGTTATACTAGAGATTGTCACCTGTTTTTCACCAAGTTTCAAATACACGAGTTCTTCCTGTATGCTGGGTTCAAAGGTCGAATTTAAATCTGATTTCAATAAAAATTTCCAATCATTTGGTATAGCCGATATGATTGAAAAATACTCAAGAAAGTTGATATTAATATTATACTTAGTCTTAAACTCATTTTACTGTAAAAACCCCCCATTCTCGTTAAGAAGGTCATTAATATAAATGACTCCCTTTCCATGACATGTTTGTACATAACCTCCTTATCATTAATTAGAATTGATTTGTTATTCCAAATTATTTCACCTTTAACCCCTGAACTGGTTCTAGGCGGCGACATATTTCTTAATTCTGAATAGTTTCGAAGCAAATTCATATAAAAGGTAGGAACACTGTGTGCCAGTGTCCTAATATCATAATTACACTGCAACAAAAAACTCAGTCCTCCAAGACGCTTGAAATGAACTTGAGGAATAAGCTTCCAGTGACTAGTTCGTGTGTCAAGTAAACGTCTTAGCCACATTAATTTCAAGGCTTTCTCCATTGTGAACATATTAATCATTCTTAGACCCCCATCCTCAAAAAATCCCTTATTAAAGTATTTCGCTTAATTTTCTCACCCTTTCCTCCCCATAAAAAAAGAATAGACTAGTCGTTGAGCCTTCGTCAAGATATCATCAGGCGTATTGGTCATTGTCATCGAGTATATTAGCTTCGACACTGCCTGGGACTTAATTATGAGTACCTTTCCATAAAAAGTAAGATCTCGCTTTGGCCACAATTTAAGAACCTTTTCAAGCATATTTAATTTTCTCTCAAAATTATCCCGTGTTATTTGCATTTGTGTCATATGATATATTTATCCCTAAAAATCGACTTGGTATCTTTACCGGCATTTCAGTCCAAAAAGGTTTATTTCATCATTATGACGATCACTTCCAATATACATACACTCTGTTTTTTCTCTATTAATACATAAACCTGATATAAGTCTGAAATCTTCAAAGATGTCCAATGCTTTTTGTAATGACGTTACGTCCTTTAGAGTCAACGTGGTATCATCTGCAAAAATCGCTAGTAAGGAATGTGACTGTCGGTGAGAACACGGAATTAAAGGAAAAGAGCAGACTCTGTAATACATTAAGAAATGAAATTGTGACACTCAAAGCCGAGAACAACCACTTACAGCAAGAGATTCGAAACCTAGAAATCAACGAGGAAACGTTTAAAAATAACGAAAACAAACTGAAATATTATACCGGGTTGCCAACATTTGCAGTCTCACTCACTCTCACATTTCCACTGACGATTTAGCATACCGCGTTTCACGAATATTCTCTCACGTAATCGATGTTTGCAACGCAAGACTTGTACCTGTACTTGTTAAATGGCCGAATGACTTATTGAATCTTCGGGCTACACTACCATGGTCGTTTTTAGGGGCATTTAGTAAGTGTGTTGGTATCATCGACTGTTTTGAAATTTTCATTGAAAAGCCAAAGGACCTTGATGCTCGAGCAACAACATGTAGTCACTATAAATCGAACAATACAATCAAATATCTTATCGCAATTGCACCCCAAGGCGTTGTGACTTTTGTTTCCAAAGGTTGGGGAGGACGTGTTAGTGACAAACATTTAACTGATAATTGTGGTCTTCTAGAGAAGCTTCAGCCAGGAGACTTAATACTTGCAGACCGTGGTTTTGACATACAAGATCTTGTTGGACTTCATGGTGCAAAAGTAGAAATCCCAGTTTTCACAAGAGGAAAATCGCAATTAAGTTTGTACGAGGTGGAATCTACCAGAGGATTAGCCTCTGTTCGAATACACGTTGAGAGAGTTATTGGTTCAGTCAGGAGCAAGTACACAATGCTTAGTGCAAAAATACCAATATCACTCCTTCAAACAGATGAAACAACTGGGCTTACTACTCTAGACAAGGTGGTTTTTGTTTCCAGTGCCCTGTCAAATACATGTGAATCAGTTGTACCATTTTAATAAAATATGTTATATTTCGGATTGAATTACACAATTCGTAATATACATGCAGTCTAGTATAAAGTCAGTGTCTAGCATAAACTGATGAGGTTACACTTCATACAAAATTACTAATTCAAACCTGGAAAATAGATTCACGTCCTTCCTTACATTGGATCTATGAAGTCGAGAGATTTATTTTAGAATCCTTAAATTGACAGTTTCTACACTGGTCTTAATTATTCCTCTTGATAAATTAATGAAAACCTCATATAACCTTAGATATTTGAGATGATTTCCTAGTAGAAGAAACAGTTGTTTTGCTTTCCGTCATATTTGATTTTTTGATTTTCCCGGGCTTTTCTAGACGGCCAGCTGAACTGAGCTGGAAAAATGTGTATTTGTGACGTCACTCGTGCATAGGGTCAATATCAACATACATATATCCCAAAATATGGATCAACTGTGAACTTAACGTTCCTGCGAAACTGTTCCCCAAAAGAAAAATGTGAGAAACATCGAACAGTCAAGGTCTTTCAATAAAGGGGTGGTTGCTCTTTATCCCCCTTCCATTGACATGGTAAGTAATAGGAAATGGTTTTGTATCATGCTGAAATTCACATGGTTCGAAACCCCGGAATATAATACAGTATGTTAGAGACGGGGTGAAAACATCTACAAATATTTCTGAATTCTGAATCCAATTTGGTGAATGGTGAATATATTTCCTAATAAACGTAATATGCGACCTAAAATATCCATGTTGTCAAATTAGGTCGATTCAAAATACGCACTCGAACCTTTAACTTTAAAGATAATCATGACAAGACATCGACTTTATAGAAAGGAGCCATACAAGGGAATGACTTGAGCCAACTGTAATGATAATGAAAAAGGCTGTTGTCTTATATGATGCGAGTCTTCATTCAAAAATGGTCCTTACCTCGATTCATTTTTTCATTCGTTGTAGAACTCCGTTTTTATTCCGTTATAAATCCACATTAACCGTAGCACAAAGAACGCCTTCTATCATGTTGACTTGGTTTATTTGTGATTTAATTTAACACAATATTTTCTTCGTTCAAGTACCTGTCATTGATTATTAATTTGCCATGTTTCATGCATTGCACAATTTCGTTAATTAGGATCAAGGGTTAAGAACGCATTTCGAGGAAGGCGTCGTTACACTAAAATTGTAAATAGAAATTATCTATACAGGAAGGTATCTGAAAGAAATCGAATTTAAAAACTATTTGCTATTTCATTTGCAAATAAATATGTTTCTTTATAAGGTCATGCTATAGGGCTATACTACATGTATATCACACTATATAATACCATACAATCATATTTCATACCATATTATCCTATACCATAAACATACACTAAGCCATACCATACTATTTCATACCAATGCATAACATCATCCATACTATACTATAACATACCATATAGGGCCATTAAATACATTGCCATACTACAAAATAACGTCTAAATACCAAGCAGGTTCAAATGTCTTGTGAATCTTTTCTCAATTCAATAGATATCCACGACATTGTAAACAGGCAAATTGATATCAATAGTATTTTAAACAGGACATGCAGAAATGGCCGGGTCAATATATTTTAAAAACATATGTTCCGTTGACGTGAATATCGAGACCTTCGTGAAATATTTATGGAGGTGGTAGAAACCGTTATTATGTTACTCAGAATTTTGTGATATAAATATTACATCGAGGCTAAGATGAATATAAGGTGATCACCAGTAAGCTATCTTTTTGGATATACAGGATAGCCACATTATTTTTTTTATTTAATTGCAATCTTTATGTAAGTACTGTATCATCTATGATATTCTAGAAAATAGAAGAACCAAAAGTCAAATATATAAGAAATATACAATTATATATGTAAAATATTTAAGGAGGTCTCCGATAAACTCTCTAGCAGCCCAAACTATCAGTCTGACCCATGCACTGAAACTATTATAAGGGCAAACATTAGATGGTGTAAGAAAATCAAAAAATACTTGGGTCAGAAATTCTTAGGTATTGCTCTAAAACATGTTTGAAGTAAGCGTTCGGACGTTTTCATCAGTCATATTGTTTCCCTTTACAGCCTTTACCCCCCCCCCCATCATGTTTTAATGAAACCACAAAGATCTACTACAGCTCAGGTGCGGTGACTAATGTGAGTTAGGTTGTACCATCGACTGCCTAAAATTCCATAGTTTAGGGAACTCGACTTAGGTAAATGAAAGTGAGAAGAAATATAACATAAGGAATCAAAAGATTGAAAGAATAAACGCAGGGAGTTCACGCGTCTCGAACTCAGTCTTACAACACCATGGACTGGATATACGGAGTGCTCTAAACCGCCCGACCAACTCGACAACCCCAATATAGTTTGTTTCAGTTATTTCTTCTTTGTATGTCATACATGTTGCCATTGGTGTTTCGTTTTCTATGATAATGACTATTTTTTGGTTTGTTAGGATACGTACGTATTCTGACTCTCAGCAGGGGGTTAATTATGCATCAGAACATGAAAAAGGAAATATAACTAGGACAGTAATAAAAAACATATTTCACATACATTTAACTGAGGGACAAAGGGCATATATCCGGACCCATCCTTTGACTGGGAACATGTGTTATAACTTGCAATTGCAAACACGCAAGATGTAACATTCACACACGCAATTCTCCATTTCGCTGTTCGCTCTTTGAATCAGAACGTTCGCATATATGGTGCATATATGTACTCAAAAAGGACAAAATTTGATTGGTCAATATTTTTCAACGATGCATTTCGTGTAGCTATTTGTGAGACCCGAAAGTTCTAAATCAAATTAATTACGCAATTTTGTTTTTACACCCGCAAGCTAAATAAAAAAATGACACCATCGGAATTCTTCTTCTTTGTCATTGAATTAATAGTCAGTATACCAGATTTAATCAATAAAAGATTATACAATTAACAACAAAATTCGGAAACGAGTATGTAAGATTTGCTTTCGAACCACTAAACTTGACCTAGATAATAGCGACGTGTCTTCTTTGGTCAAATGCTCAGTTGTTTGTGGGTTTTCAACGTAACTCTATAATGTAATATGAAGATGAGTACTTTTATTCAGTTGTTGCATCGATGTTACAGTTTGTAGTGCGGTAATATTGGCATGAACGTGTTGAAAGTCGAATGGAATTGCTTTTTCCAATATGGCGACTAGTCACGTGACTTCTTCTCTTCCGGAATATACTCCCATTTTCAATCATTGTTTTCACCCCGTGAGGAGCCAATAAAATGAAAAAAAATATATGTTATATAAAGATTATTAAAAGACTAATTGTTTCTGATAGTTTGTTTTCTCCGATCGCATGGAGATTCGATCGAAAATATCGCTTGAAAAATGGGTATGAAAATCCCCATGTTAAACCAACGGGGAAAAACAAGGTCGAAAAATTTTGTTCCCCGCGAACTGCATCATGGGAAATATTTTGACCTTATAAGGAAAAACTTTCGCGCCATCTTTATTAGAGATTCAATACTACCGAATCCGCGATTTTAAGAATTATAGTTCGATAGTAGACAAGAGGGTTGAACAAAGTATACTGCAGTAACAAGTAATTTAATATTAAATAGAATTTCCTTATTAGTTACTGAAAAAGCCGCAATAAATAAGTGAAGACGCAAGATAACCCCATAGAGATAAGGCGAGACCTTGATAGTTTGATTTATTAAAAGAGAGAGTGTATCAGTTGTCAATTATCACACAGTTCAATTTCTTAGTATATGAACCAGTTTATTTATAAAAGGACACAGTGGTCATATTTTAAACCCTCATGCATCTGGAGCCGAGATAACGTGCCAATATTATCAAAATTAACATACATTAAATATATGATAAATATATGATAATCGACAATGTATAAGGAATGAGGTAATACGTGAAACGTTACGGGGCGATGCCTTGTAGTAGTGCACAGACGATCCCTCTGTTTCTTCCAGTATCGTGGAGACGTCCCTTGACATGGGAAACCTGCGCCCCAATTTTCAGGACACACAATACACCTGTCGCGGTGCTTTAAGAATCTATACACCTATCACTGCTACATATCATAATGGACTATACATGTACATACAGAATATCACATCATTTTGAGTGATATCATTTTTATCGCCGAGTTGATATCAAATATCAACACGAGTGAGCGAAGCGAATGAGTGTTGATATTTGATATCTACGAGGCCATGTCTACGAGGCCATGGGCTTTCAACTAGAATTGAAAGCCCATGTTATAACATATCTAGTATTGTCTTCTTAACTGTAAACGGGGTAAGGAAGGATCCGCGGTAACAAAATGTCGGAACCTCAATGGTACGTTATTTTCTTTTTTCCTTATTTCACGAGTTGTAGGCATAATATGTGGACGTTTTGAAATCCTACGAACTATTTTGGGCAAAATCACTTGGATTTCCAGAAACATACGATGCTTATATGGTGCCGAAAAGATTGGGGCCGGGATGGTTCATGCTATATTTAGAGAAATCAATGAAAACGAAGAATCTTACCGAATTTTAAAAGAGGAACCGTAGCCACTCTTGTTACCGAAACGGAAACAGCGTAATCGAGTACAGTATCAGAGATAGCGCTGATATCTTAATGGACTTCATCAAACTTCCTAAAAACAAATGGTATTTGGTTTTTAATTCCCTTACCAAAAGCTGGCTACGAGCCTGCAACCTATCGAAAAAGATTCTTTTTCCATTTCTCAAAAAAACCTGAACGCGATTTTTAGTGACGTAATCATTATGTAAAAGCTTAGTAAATAATTTAAGTGAAGAAAACTTAACCCCTCTGTTTTCTTATTCGTGTTTCCATCGGAAATTTGTTCGAAATTTCACAATGAAGGTCCTGGCGAGTAGCTATGATAGTGGTCTGGTTTTAGGTGGGTGTAACTTCATGTTTTATCATGGACTTACGTTAAGTAAGCCATCCAAATAGTAGTCCGTCCGAAAGCAAAATGAAGCTTAAACTTTAATTTGTATGAATTTCATATTGTTTCCTTGTCAAATAAAAATTTAAGAGCATAATTATCATTACTTCTGGGACACCCTGTACATACATAATATCACATCATTTTGAGTGATATCATTTTTATCGCCGAGTTGATATCAAATATCAACACGAGTGAGCGAAGCGAATGAGTGTTGATATTTGATATCTACGAGGCGATAAAATGATATCACGAGAAATTATGTGATATTGGGTTTATCCCATGATTACAATCACCTTGTGATGGTCTGATCCAATTTTCAGGACATTGGCAGACAATATAAACTAGAAATTAGAATATCAATTGAATTTTTGAAACACTTTATTTTAACAGTTAAAAGTAAATAACATGATATAGTTCGTCATAAATACCATTTTTTAATTGTTAGTTAGCAGCCTTCTAATCAAATTATATACACCAATGAAACTTAAAGAGAATAAATTAACGGACCTATTTTCACAAAAGAGAATAAATTATCTGACCTAATTTCCAACAATATTGTGGCGCGAAATGCAAATGTGATATCACACGGATATGCGTGAGATAATCGATATCACACGCATATGAGTTTGATAAACGATTTTCTGGAAAATATCACACGGATTTCAATAATATCAGAAATATCAATAGCTGTTATTGTACAGATAACACATTAATCGTGGGATAACAATGATTATAATATGTATGTGTATGATAAAACTATACTATTTTATTATAACCATGGGCTTTCAACTAGAATTGAAAGCCCATGTTATAACATATCTAGTATTGTCTTCTTAACTGTAAACGGGGTAAGGAAGGATCCGCGGTAACAAAATGTCGAAACCTCAATGGTACGTTATTTTCTTTTTTCCCTATTTCACGAGTTGTAAGCATAATATGTGGACGTTTTGAAATCCTACGAACTATTTTGGGCAAAATCACTTGGATTTACAGAAACATACGATGCTTATATGGTGCCGAAAAGATTGGGGCCGGGATGGTTCATGCTATATTTAGAGAAATCAATGAAAACGAAAAATCTTATCGAATTTTAAAAGAGGAACCGTAGCCACTCTTGTTACCGAAACGGAAACAGCGTAATCGAGTACAGTATCAGAGATAGCGCTGATATCTTAATGGACTTCATCAAACTTCCTAAAAACAAATGGTATTTGGTTTTTAATTCCCTTACCAAAAGCTGGCTACGAGCCTGCAACCTATCGAAAAAGATTCTTTTTCCATTTCTCAAAAAAACCTGAACGCGATTTTTAGTGACGTAATCATTATGTAAAAGCTTAGTAAATAATTTAAGTGAAGAAAACTTAACCCCTCTGTTTTCTTATTCGTGTTTCCATCGGGAATTTGTTCGAAATTTCACAATGAAGGTCCTGGCGAGTAACTATGATAGTGGTCTGGTTTTAGGTGGGTGTAACTTCATGTTTTATCATGGACTTACGTTAAGTAAGCCATCCAAATAGTAGTCCGTCAAATAAATTGACGTCCGTCTTTTTTTTCCGTCATCGTTACGGAGTGTCTTGATCTATAAATATTTCTAAGATACAATTTTTGATTAGCAAACTTAAGTTACATATTAATTTGCATCAGTGGCATTATATTTCAAATTCAGATGCAAACGGGTCACTCTTTGATTTAGATATCATTAATTTATATATTATAACATTCTGAAACATAATTATTATGAGTTCTAGATGATGTTAGATAAATACGTCAATTGCAAGACTTATAAATATTACCCATTCAAACTTTAATATTTAGCGACATCGCTATAGTGCTGCCATCTTAATGAAGATTCATCGAATTTCCTAAACACATGTGCGGCACTTGATTTTTGAAACCAGTGCTACCAAAACACTTTCACAAAAACCCTTTTTTGTGTCAATGAGTTATACATTATAGAAGTCAGAGACATAATAAAACAGTTTCCTCCTGTCCTCCTGAAAAAAGGCTTTTTGAAAATAACACTCGATTGCCATCTTTAAATCATATTGCGTTTGCATATTATATATAATAAAAATTATGACAGTTCTTGAACTGGTGCATTAAAGCTGGACTTCCCTCCGAAACGCAATCTTGGGTTGTTTCGGGGGTGAACTTTATCATTTTGAGCTTAATGAAAGATTATAGAATGATGAACAAATGGGGCAAATCTTGTGTAGAAATACTTACGATAAATGTGTCATTTCAAAGATTTTTCATTGAATTTGCTTCGATCGGTGCCGGCGATATGATTTTGGAAAGGTTTCTAAATGAAGAACGTGACGTCACTTCCGAATCATAGCATTCAAAATAAGTACCGTTTAATTACTTCCACTCTTCACAAGAACTCGGTGGTGTAGGGGTAGAATCCTCGCTTAGCACGCGCGAGGCCCGGGTTCGAATCCCGCACTTGCCTTTTTATTTTTTTAACTAAATGATTGTTCTTTGATATTACGCAGAAAAAAACAATTTTTATTTACATAAACTTTATATTAGAGCTTGAAAATGTAAAAACAATATATGTCAACATATTGCGTTTTGGAGCGATGTGCAGGTTTAACGAAGATGCAATGAATAAGAAGCGCAAAAATCACGTTTTCTCTGAATATTTCGATCAGACCGCAAAATTAAAAAGCTCTACTTTTAGACGGTCGTATTTTTCATGCAACACACTGCACGAAAAAGGAAAAAACAAAAATGGCTGCAGCTCGTCCTGTCGGAATCGCTGTGTGGGAATGGTTGAACGAATTCGGTCGCTGGAGACCATATGATCCTAATATATGTGACTTTATTGAACAGAGGAAATCATCTTCCTTGCATATACATCTTGGTGGGGCTGATCCGACACTTGTAAATTACACATTGGATCTACAAAACTTGATACAAATTCGAGCTGGAACAGGTTGGGAATCAGTCAGAATAATTTTTAATAAACTAGCCGTTGAGATGTAAGGTATTCTTGCCTGAATCACGCTATCCATATATGTATATATATTAACATCTCAAGGGCTATGACTTAAAATGTTTCATGTTGCAGTATTTCATATCTAGTGTATTCCTTTTCTTCCTGTACACATAGCCAGGATTTACCAAGTTTTTTTTTCTTTTTCCCCGGGCGATGGTTCGTTTAGAAATAACAAAAGGGGATGGGATTCGAGGCGAAGGAGGGTTTGCAAATCGGAAACGGTTTCAACAAACAAAATAAATTTCAAAATAGTATGTGCGTCATCAAATAACTAATAAATGTGCAAAAATAGTTATCTTTCTAAGAGTGTGGTTCGTCCGAAGCTTGGGGTTCATTGATATTTCAGGAAAGGAGGTTGTTAGGGGTTCATTTTATGATGAAAGGTTGTTTAGAAGAGCCCACGATCTCTCCTCTCGCTAAGCTCATATTACAGGTCCTAAAGATATGAGGACTTTGCCAGGTCGGACGATTGAAAGTAAACTTACTGTATATATAGGACTTACAGTCAAAATACTGTTACTGCTACCTTTAAGTTAATTATAATGTTGTTATTTTCTGGTGTATTCATAATTAAATGTTGACTTCATTCATATTTTTCTTCCAGGAACTAAACGTATGGTTAGGAGAAAGGTTTACCCAATGCAATCAGCAGTTGCACAAGGGATCCGTTGGCAATGGGAAGACAATGCACCGGGACGTTACCACGAATATGATTTTGAAATAACATGTTACATCGAAGATGCATACCAAAATAAAATACCACTTATAGATTTAAGTATGACTCAGTTCAATCTGCCATATACGTTGGATTTAACTCGCATGACTCAAACAAGAAATGAGACAAGAAATAAAAGACATATAAAACGAAGTAAAATTGTAAACTCTTATCATTTGGAATATGCAAGCAATGGTCCTCAATTGTCGGGGAACGTGACTTCTAATAGTGGACGAAAATTCAATGGTGCTATGACAGGTGGTTCGTCAACAGCTGGTTCTGTATCTGGTAGTGTCTCGTCATTGAAACACACCCATAGTGATTCAGGGGACTCGGATAATGGTCAAGCTAAGTCACTTAAACCAAAAAAGAAATCAACAAAAACAGTTTCCAGTACAAAATCAAGTTCAAGTTCAAGCATTCCGCCAGTTGCTGTTGGGCCACCTAATCCACATGGAGCAAGTTCAAATAGTAACATTCTCACCCGGAGTCAAGTACATGGACTATCTTCTGCAGGAAGTAGTTCCGGTAGCGCCAGTTTCCATGGCAACTTGACAACTGGTTTACAGCCTGGTATGCCTTTGATGTCAAGCAGTATGTCAATGCCAGCTGGTGTGGGACAGTTACCTAGGTGAGGTTTGAAATATTTATGGATAACTTTTGAACTCTCCCAAAATGGGAATATCTCCAAATGGGTTTCAAGAAATTTCTATTTTAGTAACATGGAGTCAGTAACAAAAACATACAAATGAGCATTTAGTCAGTAAATAAATAATTAACTTATGATTACCAATTGGTCCAAGCCAGTCAAAAGATTTCAAAAGAATGTTGGGAGCCAATCCTCCTTTGCATTCTTCAAGTCAACTACCACCACGATTTCTCTGAAGTATCACACACTAGTAACTTCTGAGAAGTCAAAACTGTACAGATATTGAGCCAACTCAGCACTCACATTCATTACCTATATTATTAGAATCTGGATTAACATCAGTTCTTCTTTGGGAAAACCTATTTAATGACCTCATCCCCTCTTCATTTAAGTTTTGCTCAGTTTAACAAAATGCTGTTTTCAATGCTTTAGACACAATTTTGTAAAAAAAATTGATGTTTTGATAGGGCCCCTTACCATCATCCTGAATGAAAGACAGGTTGTGAATTGATCTAGTTTTTAGTTTCAGTTTCATTTTAATCACAGTTCCTAAGGTTGCAGAAAAAGTAGTCACATTGCTGTACAATATTGGATATTATTGATTTATTAGTTGTTAGAGTTTTTATACATAAGGTAAATGACTCATCCTTGATTTGGACAAAGGTAGTTTCTCCTGGGGGAGACAATTTGAAAAGTAAATGGAAGTATAAGGATTTAAGGAAACTATGGAATAAGCACCGGTTTATTCGACAATGCAACCTATGAATCTATAACTGACTTACATTTTGGGAAACACATGCAATTGCACAAATCAATTTGAGCTTTTACTTGAATCTAAACTGGTAAGTTTCAAATCATACACAATATTATCTCATCAAATTTGCTTTACCCTTCACATTTGTATGACTTAAAAGATAGCTTCATCTACACTCTGAGTTTAAGAGAAACTTTTGTACTCACCTAACAAATCAGAGCTTATCATCAAAACTTACCTTCTACTTCGGCCACAGTGTGCAAGTAATTTAGCTAGAGACTCGAGTTAATCAAAACTATCTATATGGTCATTTCCCTTTGTTAACTCAATACTGATCAACATTACAAAATTATTTAATTGTGTTTCAGCTGCACTCAGAGTAATTTTGCTATGTCTATACCATTCTTTGATGGATAACATTTGTATCACAAATACTCTTCCCCGAATCCGAATTGTATTTTACTACACTGTATTATAGCATATTTCAGAAGCATACTTTAAGCAAATGTGCATTAATTGAATAAGCAATTCAGAGATGTCCAATGCCTTCATGTTTTTGAAAAATGAATAAAACATCAAAACCAGCACTTTTGAACTACCATATTTTAGAGGATATACATAGACTGAAAATGCTGTTTCTTTAAAACTGAAAGTAGTTGCAGTTATTGAGTACAACACTGTTTACACAATTTAACACTCAATCCAAACTATAGAATACAAGCCGACCCCAATATTATTTCAAAAGTGGAAGGTTGCATGCATTTCGTAGGGTCATCTTGACATCTTGTATATATTTGTCATTCAGCATGATTCATGTTCACTTAAAGATGCAGTATACCGTATGTTTCTCGCCCAGACAATCAATGATGTACCATTATTATTGCTCATATAATATCTCACATACCATACTCTATCTATGATAGATATATCTTGATAATAACTTATAACTTACTTAAATAATAATGCCGAAATATTGAAATAATCAACAGAACAACAAACCTTCAAAATTAAACACAATTGATTCCTCGGCTAGAGAAGGGAATCCCCGTTGAGACATGCAAGCGCCCACACATGCCTTGAACCGGGCAGCCAATCAGGTTCATGATAAACAAATTCAACGATCAATCGGATAACAGGGGGATTTTCCCGGTATATTCAAACTTCAGATTGCATTAATTTCCGCAAAAATAATTGGATCAGTCAATACAATTTTAAAATCAAAACTGAAAGCACGGGATTTGGGACTTCTTCGTTTGTAAGTAGATAGGTGAATATATATTGAAACTCAATATGCAAAATGGTCCAGAGGGTGTGCTATTGTGTGAGATTGTGCTATCCTATGGTAAAGAGTCTCTTTAAGTGTTCATGAAATGTTGTCTCTACAAATTGTACTCAAACTGTACTCAATATGAGTTCTCCTTATATTGGGCTAATTCTTGAAACTGGTTTTGTATTTTCAGTCATATTAGTTTACAACAAGGCCACAGATTCCTTGGTCGCCATATTAGCCCTGCAATAACAGGTGAGTGAGAAGATATTTTTTATTGTGCTGTGCCATGTTGTCATCTATAGCGCTGGTGGGGGTGCCACATAAATCAGGAGACATGCTTATCTGTTAAACTTATCTGTTAAGTTGAAATATTTTCACAGTGACCTCCACAGGATTTTTCTCAAGTGGTTGCAAAATTCTCTTTTTTTACAATTCAGACCAAATTTGGCCAAAATGTGCCAATTTTTCATGATTTTTCTCATTTTAAAGTGGGTGCAAATGGATTTTCAGGTGCAAGCCTGTTTTTAAAATCTCAGGTGGGTTCTGCACCCACTTGCTTTAATGCTGGGGAGATCACTGTTACTGATGCAAGAGTAGACTGTGCCAAGATTTACAGTGTGAATTGTTATATTAACATTATGCGAATCTAGTTTGTTTCAGCCTATCACTTGATAAGTTACGCATTTTTAAGTTCAGTTTACAGAGAAGCTGTTCATTTCAAACCCTTTGGGAGGGTCAAGAGGCAGGGGATTCACTAGACTTTTTCACAACAGGCTGAATAAATGAAAACAACAGGCAAAATTAATGGAAATCATAAATTTAACATGGAAAAGTTGAAAAGTCCCTTAAAACAACAGGTGATTTTGTGAAAACAACCTGTGAAAATCACCTGATGTCTGCTGCTAATGAAACCCCCCCAGAGATTTTCATCGTTGTCCGGTTGTGAGTTCCCATGTTTAGACCTAAAGTTAAAATTCATTCCTAAATCATCTCGACTCAGGAAGTAGGAAGTCTAAGTGAAGCAACAGTTAGGTAGCCACATCCCATCATCTATAAAAATAGGCAGCTTATAATTAAACAGCCTAAAAATAACTTAAGTGTTTTCTATTTTTAGGTGTTACAAATACACTGGTGAATCCTCTCTTACCAGTTGTGCTGAGTGCACCCCAACCTCCATTATATCACCCTCCCCCAGCATCTAAGTCAACCATGAAACCTGTGCAAGGAATAGAGGGCACTAAACGCAAAAATACTGGAAAACAGAGTAAGTTCATTTTATAAAGGATTTGATACAACCAATTAAAACGGATAAACATATTGTTTATGTTACTTTAAGAAAAATTGATGCATTTTTATGAGAAGCATGCTATTAATTATGAATAGAATTAAACAATCTTGAAAAAAAGGTAAAACTTATAAAGGGTTCAGAAAACTCTGGTAGTGTAAAACAAGGCTGCGATTCATTATTGATGTGAAAAAGTCAGTTGGTCCTATCACTTCCTCAGTGCTAGAGCATTTACCTAGATAACATGGAGTCATGGGTTTGATCCCACTGGGGTAGACTGACTTTTTCATATCATCCTTTTCACAAGATTTCATTCTGAGTCTTCATTAACTCTATTATCAACATTAGATGCTAAGCTGTTTTTTTTAATTTTTCAGATCTTGAGGCTGGAGACGTCATGAAAAAGTATGTGGTTAAAGTCAAGTCCCCTCCCAATGATGAGGTATGTTAATGGTGTTAATTTGTTACAGTCAAGTCGCCTGCCATTGCTGAAAGTGTTACGGGCCAATTGAATCAAGTACAGACAACAATTAACCATGAGTATCATGGGAAGTATATCCCTCCAGTCTCATTGGATGATATCAAAACGCAAAATGCAACCAACTAAATCAGGGCATATTTCTACATGCAGTTGAAAAACAAAAAGATGCGATGAGTATCAAAATGTCATAAGTGAAACACATTTCAAGTCCCACTACCAATTAAATTCACGTAAACTTGACCTCTTTAAAATTGAGCACTGATTGTGAAGTCCCAGTGTTCCATTTACACAGGTTTACATCTCCCTTTTATGGATTTTTCAGGATTGCTGTATTTGTATGAGTCGTCTCTCAGCAAACTCTGGATACGACGATAGTTGTACCACAGTGTACCAGTTAAAGAAATGCACCCACATGTTCCACAAGTCTTGTATAGAGGCCATGTATAGCAGTGGGTCTAAAGACGGCCATGTGCAATGTCCTACATGTAAGTTGAACTCAATTGAGTCTTGTAAATCACTCTGACATAACTATTTTGTCTATGATGTATATGTTCACTGAACTTCTTGTTCGAACTTAGAGTGTTTAATTAAACAATTAAAAGAACAAGGGGAAATGTTTCATATCCATAGTATCAATAAATAAAGGGGCTAATATGCTTTATTCTCATCTTCAAAATTTCCAAACACTAAACTATTTTATATTCATATTGACAATCTTTAGAACTTATACATGTTTCTATCATTATGAATTCAAAATATTTTTTAAATATGGTCTTATTTTAGTTCAATGTACAATTTATACAATCAATAGAGTTGGGAGTATAATTTTGAATTTAAAATATTTTATTCTGGATGGGAATTATTTTGCAAAATTACAAGCTATTATTTGATCTTACTTTTAGGTAAAACCATATATGGTGAAAAATATGGCAATTGCCCACCTGGAAAGATGGAGTTTCATACTCTCCCCCAGTCTGTACCAGGGTATCCCGGCAGTGGAACAATTCGGATTATCTACTCCATACATGGTGGTATACAGGTGAATAAAAGATACTTAAAGGCAGAATCAGATCTAAAGCAACATGTATGATTAATTAACTCTCACTCTGACTTATAGATTGAGATAATTATTATATTTTGCAAAGGTCCAGAATACCAAAAAACTCACCATTGATTGAAATAATTATATTGTGCATTACAGGGTCCAGAACACCCTCATCCTGACTATAGATTGAGTTGATTATATTTAGCATTAAAGGGTCCAGAATGCCAAAAAACTCACCATTGATTGAAATAATTATATTGTGCATTACAGGGTCCAGAACACCCTCATCCTGGCCAAGCGTTCTCGGCAAGAGGTTTTCCACGGCATTGTTATTTACCAGACAGTGAAGAGGGCAGAAAGGTACAGCTAACAAGGGTTTTATTAGAGTTACTGACAACAGGCACAACAAAGGAAACAATAGCTACATCATTTGAACACAATACCCAATACCAGAGTTATTGGAAAGTTGTTAACCTTGCTCACGGTCATTTGCACCCAGCCATTGACACTGTTTAATAACTTTGTTCCATAAATGTTACTTTATCTTCTTTAATATTGAACTGTGCATTTTAAGCTTGAAATTGTCACTCCACCACTCTATTGCTAATAATATATATGATAAAAATTTACATAATAAGACATAGTAGGTGGCATCTCTTGTACTCTAAAACATGACAACTATGAAACTTCATAATGTATTAATTACATGTTACACTTTAAAACATGACAACTCCATAATGTATTGATTACATTTTACAAGTGCTAAAGCTATTGATCGTTAAACTTTAAAACATGACAACTTCTTATATGTCATAATATATTAATTACATGTTACAGGTGCTAAAGCTATTGATTGTTACACTTTAAAACATGACAACTTCTTACATGTCATAATATATTGATTACATGTTACAGGTGCTAAAGCTATTGAGTGTTACACTTTAAAACATGACAACTTCATACATGTCATAATATATTGATTATATGTTACAGGTGCTAAAGCTATTGATTGTTACACTTTAAAACATGACAACTTCTTACATGTCATAATATATTAATTACATGTTACAGGTGCTAAAGCTATTGATTGTTACACTTTAAAACATGACAACTTCATACATGTCATAATATATTAATTACATGTTACAGGTGCTAAAGCTATTGATTGTTACACTTTAAAACATGACAACTTCTTACATGTCATAATATATTGATTACATTTTACAAGTGCTAAAGCTATTGATCGTTAAACTTTAAAACATGACAACTTCTTATATGTCATAATATATTAATTACATGTTACAGGTGCTAAAGCTATTGATTGTTACACTTTAAAACATGACAACTTCTTACATGTCATAATATATTGATTACATGTTACAGGTGCTAAAGCTATTGATCGTTACACTTTAAAACATGACAACTTCATACATGTCATAATATATTGATTACATGTTACAGGTGCTAAAGCTATTGATTGTTACACTTTAAAACATGACAACTTCTTACATGTCATAATATATTAATTACATGTTACAGGTGCTAAAGCTATTGATTGTTACACTTTAAAACATGACAACTTCATACATGTCATAATATATTAATTACATGTTACAGGTGCTAAAGCTATTGATTGTTACACTTTAAAACATGACAACTTCTTACATGTCATAATATATTGATTACATGTTACAGGTGCTAAAGCTATTGATCGTTACACTTTAAAACATGACAACTTCTTACATGTCATAATATATTAATTACATGTTACAGGTGCTAAAGCTATTGATTGTTACACTTTAATACATGACAACTTCATACATGTCATAATATATTGATTACATGTTACAGGTGCTAAAGCTATTGATTGTTACACTTTAAAACATGACAACTTCATACATGTCATAATATATTAATTACATGTTACAGGTGCTAAAGCTATTGATTGTTACACTTTAAAACATGACAACTTCATACATGTCATAATATATTAATTACATGTTACAGGTGCTAAAGCTATTGATTGTTACACTTTAAAACATGACAACTTCATACATGTCATAATATATTGATTACATGTTACAGGTGCTAAAGCTATTGATAGTTGCTTGGGAGCGGAGGCTGACCTTCACTATTGGAAGTTCCACAACTACAGGTGACCTTTGTTTTTAAGTCTGTGAAAGTCACTTTAATCTTGAAATTATATCAATAAAGTCTATTACATTAGGCTCTAGCTGAGTGAATTTAAAGAGGCTCAAGCTGAGTGAAGAACATCCTTTAGGGCACAATATCTTCTGCAACATGGCACAAGAAATTATTTAAAAATAGAGCATAGTGCTGTAGTGAAATTGAACTTAAGATTTCCAAAAATAGTATTGAATATTAAAATGTTACCCTTTCAGAGGAATATATATGCCAAGATACATAGAGGGAATACAGTAAAATGCCATTTGCTCTGATTGTAAGGTATTCACATTTGGAGACAATTTAACATGTAAATCTATGGCAGATTGAAAAAATGGCACCGAAAATAGTCACATTTTCATAGAGTATTCACTTTTGGGAGGTGTTTTGATATACAGGTTTTATTGTTTGTTTTCTATATTTAAAATTTTATTTTACTTTTTATTTTGAACAGGTGAAGGCAATACAGTCACTTGGAACGAAATACATCACAAGACAGAGTGGGGGTCTAACTCCACAGCACATGGGTACCCTGACCCTAACTATTTAACAAATGTTTCCATGGAGCTCGCTGTACATGGGGTAACTGAAAGTGATATTAGTGAATAATGAATTGGGCCCTTAATCTATAGTACATGTACATGGGTACCCTGAGTCCCTGACACTAACTACCTAGTGCTACCAAGGAGTCAGCTGTAAAAACATGGGGTAACTGAAAGTGATTTTAGGGCAAAGGTACTCAGACCCTAACTATCTAACAAATGTTACCATGGAGCTAGCTGTACACGGGTAACTGGAAGTGATATTAGTGAATGATAAATTGGAGTGTAAATCTACAACACATGGGTTACACATGTTACCATTGGAATAGCTCAGAACTTGGAGTTACAGTATTGGAAGTGATATTTGTGAATGATAAGTCAGGGTCTCAATATACAACACATTGGTACCCGAACCCTGACTGTCTAACAAATGCTACTATGGGGCTAGCTGAAAGTGATAAACATGATACAGTGATATAAGTGAATGATAAATTGAGGTCTAGATCTACAACACTTTGAATATTTACAGTGAAAATGTAACAAAACAGATGTATATCAGACATTTTTTCAATCAAAACTGTGTAAATATTGAAGTCAAGAGGTGGTAATATTACCTCCTAAATTTGCCTTCGTAATTTTTTATTGACTCACTACACTCTTGGACATAGAAATGGCATCAAGGAAGACAGAAAATTGATTATTTTACATTACATGTACAAAAGTTTCTCTTTATAATGCACTGGACATTACTGTATTGAATTTTAGGTGAAAAAACACCAACTTTGAAAGAAGTTTCAAAATAGTACCTATAGCTGGCGGATCCAGAAGCTAACAAGGGGAGGGGGTGAATTTTCGAAACAGAAATTTATATATTATATATTATATTTATATAATTAAATACAGGACTAGTACTTGAGCATGTTGAGACATAGATCTAGAATGTTTTGTAAATTGATTTCGATGTAAGAATTATTAAATGCAAATAACATTTCTATCTATTCATAGATGTCACCCTTTGACGTGTAAACCATGACATGTAAATACGGCAAACAAGATGGGTCCGAATTCAGGAATCTATAATGTCATTTAAAAGCAATATTTCCTTCTGGAGTCGAGAATTGATCTCATTACAGATAGGCTCATGGATTTTCACAGCCAACCTTGTCATTTAATGTAAGAATATGACATGTCAAATTGCCAATTAATAAATATTGCTTACTCTACTTTATGTTGTGTTATATTTTACATATGCTTCGAAATTACATATGACACAACCAAAAGCCCATATCACTACCAAGCTAGTCTACATATATCATTATACTTTAAAGTCACATACTCTCCAAGACCAAATCTAGCTAAATCTACCACCTCACCCAGAGGCCAGGCCAAGAACTTGACCTTGATTTCATCTTTGGTCATATATTTTGGAGTAAGTATCTGCAAAAATATAGCAAGAAAGATTAGAAGACAGAAGCTATTTTAATTTGTTTACTTTCGGTTTCGATTTAGCCAATGACACGCCAAATGTAAGTTTACAATCCACACACGAATTGATGACGTAGTTCACACTAAGAAATTTTTATTTCGGAAAATGGCAACGTTAGCCCAGTTTTCTCGTAGTTTGGGCGCAGTTTGTGCACGCTGTAGCAGTCAACCAATAAAAATAGGAAGGTAATTTGTGATTAGCAATGAATCAGGGAATCGATTGTTGTTCGACTTTAGAAAATGTTGGTCATCTGTTTTTGCAGAATAATTTTTCTCGAAAAATAAAGGTCGCAATTCTAAATGCGAAATAACGATTAATAATAAGCTTACTATTACCATTGAATGCGAGTGTGTGTTCGTCTGTTACGAGCTTTGATACCAATATTAAATACAAAAGTAAACAGTGAGATTGTTACTTCGGTCCAAAGCCTTCTCTATATTCCGGCTTTGAGGAGGAAGATTGAGCTGCCTTAGTATTATAAATATTGTAAATCATTGTGTCACACGCACAGTAAATATGGCATAATAATATGAAATATACCTTTATGTATAGATTTGAAGAACATCAGCTCACATCCCCGTCTGAATCTATTGTTATATTTGATTTCTTTAAGCGAGAATAATTTCAAATGTTATTCACGTCCAGAACCGGAAGCCATTTTTAGCTACAGCGAGAAAATTTCACCATTTGTCAAACTCCGAAATGAAATTTTGAAATATCTAAATCCAGACAAGCAACGCTTCATCCTAAATATTATTAATATTCTTAAAAATATTTATAAAATTTATTAAAAATGAGTTCTAGGTGCGTGTAGGTGCGTGTAGCACATTACATACGAAATCAATGAAGTTTCGTCTAGCTGTAAGCTAGAGACTCGAGTAATGAGATTGTGTTTGTGGATTCGATTTCAAATCTGACTCATGGACTTTCAACTAGATCTTATCATGGGCTTTCAACTAGAAGGGTATGCAACTCTATGTAATAACATGAGACCTTCAAAATGAGCAATGACATGCTTCCCTTTTATGGCAATATTTCAAAAAGTATTAGATAAATGTATATGTTTTAGTATTATTTTGAATAAAAATCAATTTTTTAATATGATTTAAGCATAAAATATATTTAATATCATATAAAAGTAAACAAAAGAGACCAATAAGAATAAGAGTTATCAAGATCTTCTCTTGAGTATTGCATTGTGGGTAATTATTCAAGAACACATTCCAATAAAAACATAATTTGTGGGAGAATGTTCACTTTATGTATTGTCATAATTATGATGAATTCCAATTTTTATTAAATTATCAAGATGTATGTAGAAGATCATGTTTTTATTTTTGAGTTATTTCTTTGAATCATCAATAAAAAGTACAAAATAAGATTTTCTTGGAATGTGTACATTCTCCAATTTTGAAAACCCATGGCAATGTTTATGTATGAAATATGGGAAGTTGCCTACCCTTCTAGTTGAAAGCCCATGATCTTATTGAAAGCCCATGGTCAGATACAATTCCTTGAAGGTTAGATCTAGTCTTCAAGTAATAAGGTTAGTCTTCAAGTAAGCATAAGTGTTAAAGAAAGAAATGAATGCAAGTGCATGTTTTTAGAATACATAATGATTTTTGAAGTAAATAAACAAACTCAGTAATACCTGTATTTGTACTTACACTCGTCTTACATGAATATACTTTTGATGTTTGATTTTGTTTGAAATATGTAACATATGCTTCGGAGCTCTTTCTCGAAGTCTGATATGAGAATCAATAGCAAGTTTGTTTGTGAGACTCTAATGTCATTCCTGGTAGTCTTTGACTATGCGGCATCATCCATTTAGTAGGTAGTTTTCAACCACCTTTACATCTCCACTCAACAAAAAATGGTATCACATCCATTGTTTACAAGTTAATGTTCTCTTGGATTATGAATCCCATTAAATACATACACGGTTCTTTATAATTTTCAGATGCTTATCAACAGCTAGATTACTAAACCAGAATGAGAAAACTGATCCCCCTCCTAGTCCTCCACCAGGTGGCATCGGTTCGGACAAACCTGGTTTCTTGAGTCGTCTTCTAAGTGTGAGGACCATAGACACTGGTAGCACATCACACTCAACTCTACTCTCGGATAAAGATGTAGTCTACGAATTGCAGTGTAAGTAGATTCATTTCCTGTGACACGAAGAAGCAGCTACTGTACCTCATCAACATTTTACTGATCATAGAATATTTTCGATCAGATATTGTTCAAATGAAACAGGGATAGATGAGAATGAAATCTAAGAGTATTTTATATAGTTTATGAGTAGTTATTCGAATTGTTTACTGTTGTTTATTGAAATAATACCTTAAAAGTTTTATTTGAAAAACAGAGACAAAACTCTGAAAAACTTTTGAAAAATATATATGCGTCCTCTTATTGAGATTTTTATTGTATGAAAAGAGATCTGATAGATATCCTTGGAGAGGTCAATTTAGATATATTTACATTATTTTACAAATATGCCATTTAAATATCAAAATTGCAAGATGGCTAATTATCAATACTCAACTATTTTTTTGATGTTGAAATGTTGAATCTCTAGAACAATTGTTGTTGTATTACATATACCACTAATTTCTGGGTGTATGTTGACTTTTTTCTTTGTGCTATATCCCTCCCTTTATAATGAATTCAAATTACTTTAATATGACAATTTCTTTTTCCAGTTCATTCAGTAAAACCAGAATACATGGAGACTTACCTCAACCAATTGTAAGTAAGATTTTTTAATTTAACAGTCTATCATTTAAAATTCATAAAAACTGGTATTTAATACCATGTAGTTCATCCATGTTAATATATGGCTCTGTTTCTGATCTTTTTGTTCTTTTTTAGTGCTGATTTCCTTGAAAAGATGAAGGAAAAGAAGGCTGGTTCAGAGTTGATTGGCAGCTGGACAGTTGATATTGGAGAGCAAGATGAGGCTAGTAAGTACAGTATTTATATAGTAAGTACAGTATTTATATAGTAAGTACAGTATTTATATAGTAAGTACAGTATTTATATAGTAAGTACAGTATTTATGTAGTAAGTACAGTATTTATATAGTAAGTACAGTATTTATATAGTAAGTACAGTATTTATATAGTAAGTACAGTATTTATAAGGTGTCAAGTTACCTTGCGAAATTTTTACAGGAAAATATTTTTCAATCAAAACTGAAGAGTTGCATAGTATTTTTTCAGATTCATGGGGCCAGAAGCTTCATAAAGTTAAGAATTCATAAAATCCATTGTTCTCTAACTGTGACATCATTATATCCATGATTACAACAATTGATTTACTAATTCGTAATTTTATGAATATTTTATGTTAAATTGATTCATTTTGTTATAATTTTGTTCTTTTAGTTCACCTATGGAGATATAGAGGGGGCTACCCAGTACTGAATAATGCTAGGAATATATACAGAACAGACCCAGTATGTATCTTAATTTTGTTGTAAAAATAATTCAAATGTTCTACTGTCTAAACAAGCCCATGCCCAACTTACAAGAGGGTGCTCTAATTTTTCAAAGGAACTCTAATTTTTTGGGGGGGGGGAGGTCCTTACGTTTTAACTGAACTTGAATAGTTAAACATAAATTATCAAAGGATGCCAATTTCGATTTAAAGATTGATCATTAATGCCAATTTTTGACAAACTCATGCCAATTTTAAACTTAGTGTCAATTTTGACCAATCAAATGCCCATTTTCCCACCATCTGGCCAAATTTTTCTCATTGAAATGTTCCCGCTAGAATCTCTCTCCACAGACTTGTTTATACAAACATGTTGCATATATGGTTTAAAGAAATTTAGATTGTGTTTGAGAAATCAAAAAAAATGTTTTCATAAGCAAAATATAGATATTTCTCTAATTAGCTCTTTTTGATTTCAGGATTTTGTACAATACAGAAAAAGCCGAAATGAGATGCTGCGATCAAGAAAAAATCAAATTATGTTAGAGTTCAGTTTTTGGGGTGAAATCAAACCCAGGGATCCAGAACATATATATGAACTGAGAAGTTATACACTGAAACCTGGAACAATGATTGAGTGGGGAAACACATGGTAAGTGATTTTTTGAGATGTTGCGGAACAGAAATTTTTCAGAAATGATCAGTCCAAAACATTTGATTGAGGTTTGAACAATTTTGCTTTTGTTTCAGAATACAAACAGAACTGAGCAATTAATTACGTGTATTTTGTTGTAAACTTATTAATTTTTGAAATGTTCAAAAATGTCTTATGGAATCGTCATTTACCCCTCCCCATTATCCCATAACCATTGACCTTTGGCCTAATATAGATATGTATTGTTTTTATATGAGATTCAGTGACAAAGTGCAATTCAATATCTTTTTACTCCATGCATTCAATTAAGTGTTTGCAGACAAGTTTTCAGCATAGCATTGAAATGAGTACATCCATGTGTAATGAAGGATGACATTACATATTTGAATATGGACTACCAGTGTATGATAATTAATATATTGGCCCCCTCACATATGAACGAATCCGCTAAACACAGTCTTGCGAATTGGATGAATTGTCAATTCTGGCAATTGGGAATGTAAACTTACGAACCGAAGCAATGCTTCCGAAGTCGTCCAAAGCTTTCTGAAAGGATACTTACACATACGAACACCCCAACGATGTACAACCTACATATACTAATTCAAGCAAATTCTACTCAAATCCTATTCGGAAGACTGCGTTTAGTGGATTCGTTCATATGTGACTATGTTAGTAGGCTAAAATAGATAAGATTTAGGAACATATTTAGCAACCAGTGATTTATTTTGGTTTTGCAGCCATATTGAATGAAGTGATGTCAGTCTTTGGCATAGCTGTTATGGGCCTAAGGCAGGCAAAATGTTACTGAAAAATACCATTTATATATTTTTATCAATTAGTATTGATTTCCACTTTGGTCTCACTTGTTTAGTTTTGCCTCACCTGTTTGGATATGCCTCGCTTGTTTGGATTCACTTCGCCTGTTTTGAGATTCTGGCTATGCCTCTGACATGTCATCAAATTTTCATATTATGACTTTAAAAAGGGCTAAAGGTATCAAGTTGAGAAAGGCGTTTAACAGTGAGGAAGCTATAGGTGGATTCTTCAGCCATATTGGTTCTCCATTGAACCAGGTGCACCACCTATGGGGTAAGTAAGGAACTAACAGAGCTAGCAGATAGCTCAAGTTTTTCATTTATTCCAGAATGCTTTTGTTGCGTGTTGTAGATCTTGTTGAGTGTTTGCCTTACTGGTCGTATGCATCATTTTTATTGTCTCAAAAAGTAACGACATTGTTGTCAGTTTTGCGGCGGATTCTAATTTTCCAGTCAAGCTGCTTTCCATTTAATGAGAATTTTCAAGAATGTTTCTTGGTACAGTTTAGATTAGTGGTGTCAATTAACTGCTTGAGCATTAACCGGTTAAAGTCGGTTAACCGGGGGGAAATTTGAACTGATAACTTCAAATGAAATCTTCATCTTCGATCTTGAAAGTTGAAAAAAATTGGAAAAATGATATATCAGCGTTTATTTTGTACGTTCGTCAAGCTTTACTCTAGATTCTATTCATACACTACCTGACTACCGGTACCTCTAAATTTCCACACTGGTTTACCCTTAGAATATCCACGAACGCACCATAACAACGAGAATTGCAGCTGATTAGTGTTTATTTTGATTTTAATTTTCTCACTACCAAAGCGAGGCTTTGACCTTTGACATTTTGGCGACGTTGATAGACAACAATAATAACAAAACTGAAGAATTAAAAAATGCATATGCATATAATTTATTTATGAAATAGTTTTGCAATATGAGTTGATTACACATGGCTGACACTTGAAAAACAAACAGATTAACATGCAAAGTAACTTAGTAAGCGCGGGAAAGCAATGTGGCAGGGATTAAAGGTGCTGATTGGATGTTTGTAAGGAGTGATCAGAACTATCACATGTATGAGTAGCTCACATGAAACTGACACTTGAAAAACAAACAGATTAACATGCAAAGTTTAAGCTCGGGAAAGCAATGTGTCAGGGATTAAAGTTGCTGATCAGATGTTTGTAAGGAGTTATCGGACTTATGACATGTATGAGTAGCTTACATGAAACTGACACTTTAAAACCAAACAGATGAGCATGCAATATTAGCGCGGGAAATAACAGAATTATACACGGTCAACTAACCACCCATAAAAACACAGACCGGTTAAGGCATTATCGGCGGTTAACCGGTTAACCGGTTAATACTTGACACCTCTAGTATGGATGCCTGCCTAGAATTGATTAGTTTTTTATTCAAAGGTATAATTTTGTTCACCATGTGCCACGTTTTATTACTAGCATGCTCTACTGTTCCAAGATTCAATGTTTGTGTAGATATTTGGGTCTTTCAAACAATGAACATTTCTTCAAAGTATTTTGTTTCCTCAAATGTAGAAATTACAAGCACATTAATTAATATGACCAGCAAGGTATAGCACTATACTGAGGCGTTTCTTTGAAATATCTGACAATAGGCAAGAGAGATGTAAAATCGTCTGTCAGTTGCTAAGGAAATGCCTGAAACTTCAGTAGCTGATGTGATACTAAATGTCTTATTACTATTTTTCCCAACCCTTATTACAAAAGTACTGCAATCATGTTTTTCCAGCTAACAATATCCTATCAGAGGAAACAATATTAGGTGAAAGAAGACATAAAATTAATAAAGTTACGATTTCTCAAAACCCCTCTGAAACTGATACACCTCTAATGGGATATAGTGACTAAATATAAAGCAGTGATCTCCCAAGCATTAAAGCAAGTTGATATTGCATCCACTTAGATTTTGAAGCTTGCACAACATGAAAATGAGATATTGCCATATTTGGGCAAACTTTGTTCGGAATTGTGAAAATGAAAATTTTGCACCCACTCTTGGAAAGACTCCGTGGAGAACACTGTAAGGCATGATTGGAGTATTTTTCTGCACTTCCTATTGTTTTGAAATAGATGTAGATATTTATGTTGTTTTTTGTTGTTTTGCTATATTAGGGCCAAAGCACTCCAGTACAGAAACTACCACAATGAAGCTGTAGGGGGATTCCTTACGCATATAGGAGACCTACATAGAGTTCACCATCTATGGGGTTAGCAATTTTCTAATGCTTTGAATAATACCAGTACGATATGGTCTGTACCCTCTTAAAAGCTGCATTTAACTCTTAAAGGACCGACTTATTTCCGAAAATCAGCATAAAATACTTTAAAACACTTCTAAAACGATATACATGAAGTCAAAAGAAGTTTAAAATCTCATAACGAATCAGAATTGTATGATTTGTTCATTTAAGTCAAAGGTCAAAGATATTTAGTATAATCCTGTGGGGCTCATTAAAAACCATCAGATCATGTGTTTGGGTTCAGATTGGGTTGTGCCCTTTTGACTGAGTTGCTCTTAGCATAATGTGCCAACCTCCAGAAATTAAAAAAAAATTGTCAGTCTCTTTTTATTGAACTCAACTCTGCAGCAATTCACAATACTCTATCACATATTGTACAATATGTAACTTCAATATAGTTTATGGTCTTATATATTTTTATCATAGAGCAGCTTGTTTGGCAGCTTTTGCATGCTGAGTGTACTTCTGTTTTTTTATTGTACTAAAAATGATCAAGTAATGTTGCAGATGTTTTCCTCATAATGTGTATTTAATTTACAGGCCTATTTATCACAAAAGATGGGTATCGATATGGCGAACTTTTTGAACACACGTTCACGCCCGGTGATCGTGAATATGGGACGGAGGGGGGGAGCAGGCAATTTCTGCTAGGAAATTCAACAAATCTGGAAGATTTATTTTTTCAAGAAAAAGTTTACTATTGAATTGCTAAATGGATAGGTGCACGGTATGGTAGAATATGTTAGGTTTTCTGGGATTTTTTCTGAAACGATACGCATCTAAGGTATGAGATCTATTAAAAAAGGCGCAAGGCCATCAACAGGCACAAATCAACGTTTTTGCTATAAATCAAGCAACAATGGTCTGGACGACCTGTAATAAATACTTGTAAGTGATGTTATCATAACTAAATTAATGTCATTGCTGAATTTATAAAATAAGTTTCCATATGTGAAATAAAAAATAATCGAAAATAATGAATTTGGGACGGAGGGGGAGGGGACGGAGGGGGGGAGCAATATGTATATAAGACATGATTAGAGATGTTTCGCGACTTTAAGTCCTTTTACTCCAAATGTCCCCATTTTTCAGTCTCCAGGGGTATATCATCCAGTTTCTTACTAAGTTAATGAGTTCATTTTTCAAATACAAGAATTCGTGTGAAGTTGTTTCACTTTATAGAATTATTACTCCCCCCCTCCGTCTTCTCCCCCCCTCCGTCCCATTTTAATTATTTTCGATTATTTTTTATTTTACGTATGGAAACTTATTTTATAAATTCAGCAATGACATTAATTTAGTTATGATAACATCACTTACAAGTATTTATTACAGGTCGTGTAGTCCATTGTTGCTTGATTTATAGCAAAAACTTTGATTTGTGCCTGTTGATGGCCTTGCGCCTTTTTTAATAGATCTCATACCTTAGATGCGTATCGTTTCAGAAAAAATCCCAGAAAACCTAACATATTCTACCATACCGTGCGCCTATCCATTTAGCAATTCAATAGTAAACTTTTTCTTGAAAAAATAAATCTTCCAGATTTGTTGAATTTCCTAGCAGAAATTGCCTACTCCCCCCTCCGTCCCATATTCACGATCACCGGGCGTGACGTTTCTCCTAAACCAGTCATCAAAAAATTCTGAAAATTTTACACATTGTCAATTTAATGGTGATCTTTTGAATGGTTACAATATATTTTGAAATAGATACATATACTACTTTTCTCTATATTGTTTTAGAAAACACATCGGACACTTCTTTTGTTCTTGGTATCATATGTTCCGAATGAAATGAAACATCTATCCGAACCTCATTGGAGCAAAATGACATAATAACAACGTGTTTATGTCTCTCAATATTATAATTATACAAAGGAAAGTTTGGTTGATTTAAAAAAGTACCTTGTTAATGAAATTAAATGTTTATCTTACTTTTTATCTATTTTGGGGTTTTTTGTTTTAATTTTTGATTACTTTTTCTAAAATCAACTCAAATTTCCTTTGTACAACTATAATATTGGGAAGTCTAAGAAAATGTTATATGCTATTTTGTTCAAACAAGCTTCGGAATGATATTTTATTTCATTCTTAAGAATTGGTAAAAAGGAACAAAAAACAATTGCACTAAAAAACAAAAATGTTAACAAAAACAGTTATATAAAGTATTTATAATTTTTTTCGCATTAAATTGTTTTCAATCAGTCAACATTACATAAGGGACTGTGTTTTTCTACAGAATGTTTTCAATAACTGGTTTAAGAGAAAAACATTGTTGAATTCAGTTCTCCATATCAATACCAATCCTTTTATGTTGCAAATATTTAGAATTTCAATTGTCATCCATATTTTCATTTTGAGACAGATAGTTCAGCAAATCAGTTGAAATATTCTTCTGTACTAATCTATGAAAAATGTTAATGTTTGAGAGCTTTCTTAGCCTTTAACATTAAAGTTCGATGACTATATGCAGAAAGTGGCTTGTAGGTGTTTATGGTAAACATTTGATAATTGAGGATTTTGATTTTGTGATGATCGCTTGCTTAGACATTTTCCTTATTATTCAGTTCAAACAAATTGAAAACATTTAATAATTGACAATTTGGTGATGATCGCTTGCTTGGACATTTTCCTTATTATTCAGGTCAAACAAATTGAAAACATTTAATAATTGAAGATTTTGTGATGATTGCTTGCTTGGACATTTTCCTTATTATTCAGTTCAAACAAATTGAAAACATTTAATAATTGAAGATTTTGTGATGATTGCTTGCTTGGTCATTTCCTTATTATTCAGTTCAGTTCTTGACAAATTGACAAGTAAGTGCTTGCTGCTTGAGTAAAAATAGAATTATTAAGAAATTGGCCCAAGCTTGAAATGTATATGTTACATTGTTCAAATCTGCTGTATTCTATTTTCAAGGGTGTTTTGGCGGTTGCTTGCTTTGGAATTTCCCTCATTATTGTGATCTGATAAGTTATCATTGTATGCTAGATGCTTGGGGGCAAAATAAAATGTTTGAAACATTGGTTCAGGCTTAGAAAAACTATGCTATACCGTTCAACCTCAAGCTTAACTTAGTCTATATTCAATGATTTTTTTGTCATTGCTTGCTTTGAAATTTCTCACAACATTCAGTACAGACAGGTTATCAGTGTCTACTAGCTACATGGAGGACAAAATAGAATTATTAAAACATTTGTCCAGGCTTCTTAGAAATATATCTACTTATTCTATTTTCAGCTTGTTTTGTTTTTGACATTTCAATTCTTCTTATAGCTTATGATGACCTTCAGACCCGAAAGCAGAGTCGTGAAGATGCCTGGAGAAAACCTGGCTGGGATGAGTGTGTACAGTACACAGGTAAAATACACGTTTGATCGATAAAAACAGAAAGGAAACTCCCATAAACCAAACAGTTGAACCAATTGCCAAACAACAATACAGTCCATTAAAAAGCACAAGAATGTAACTTGGTCACTTATGAGTATGGTATGTGCAGTTCACAGGTAAAATACATGTTTGATAAATGAGAAGAAGAAATTGAGAAAAAACTCTCATATCATTCAAATGAACCAAATTTTAACAACGCAGTCCATTTTGCACATATAATTTAGTAACCATATGAGTTTGTGAAGTACAAGTAAATATGTACTTTTGATAAACAAAATCAGAAATTGAAAAAGAAACTCCCATAAACCATAAAAGTAACCAAAATCAGAACAAGAACTCATCCCTATAAATCACAAATATATAACTTGGGACCCTCAAAAAAACTCCCATAGACCATATGGAAAAGAAACCAAATTCCAAGCAGCAAGCTAGTCCAAGAAAGTAATACTGTAAATTACAACTCATTCACTACATGTATCCCCATGATTACATAACGTTCTTTTGTAAATACCCAATCGTTGAAAGATTGAATTGGGATGCTTTATTTCATGATGTAATTATACTTATAAATCAGGGGATCAGACTAATATAGGGATAGGTATGTAATAACCCGAGACGCTTCCAATTACATCTTTCGATCAATATACCTTTCAGATAAACCATGCCTCCTTTTACCGCACAAAAAGAGCTAGGGTATAGCCAGGTTCATGATGTGATAGTTTGTAGCTTGTTATGTCCACATAACAAAATTCTAAGAATTTAGAAATAAGTTTATTCTATTTTGATTAGAAACATTGTTACCTGCTACCATTAAGAATCTAGCCAAGAAATCCTAGTTTCTCTATTCTGACAAAATAGGGCAAGGAATGGTTTCCTGGAAAATTTACTTTATTTAAGTGCTCCCAGAAAGTTAAAGTATTTGAATGTCTTTTTGGCACAAAATTTAATAATTCTTCTGCTCACATTTAGCTTTTTTGCTTGCTTGGTTTTTGTAATTTTTGATCGAATAAAAAGGAAAAATAAGAGAACATTTTGATTTTTAATTTGGAGCATATTGCACTGCATATGTGCACATGCACTTCACTTCCAGATTTGATGTATTTTAAAAAGAATAAATAGTTCAAAATAATCATGACATGTTTCTTATCGGTCCTGCTTTATTAAGTTGAAATGGTAAGATTCACAACCAGAATTGTAGTCTTCTGGGTTTGATTACTTATGTAAACTTAAGCCTCCATTGGTAACTGAACTCGCTTCTTATAGGCAGAATCAGATCTATAGGTTAAGTATGCACAAAGGGGATTTTTTAAAGACATGATAAATAATGCTATGACCTGAAAATATTCTAAAATTGAAACATTTTTTTGTTTTAGCTTACTCTCTAGATCTGATTCTCTCTTTAATGTCAAATCCAAATATTAAAAGATATTATGATATGTATTACTATTAATCATATTCCTTTTTATTTTCAGTTCCCCTGGTGAAGACCATGCAGTCAAGGATACTAATACCAACACCATTTTCCCCTTTGAAATAACCCATATCACTCCCTGAAATTTCCCTATACCCCATTCGCTAGGTACCACAATATATTCTCAAATCAGTGTTCAAATCCACAAAAATAGACATTTAATATTCAATTTGGTCTTATCTCAAATTGCATAGTTGGATCTGAAATACAGGGTGTCCATGAAGTATTTTTTATTACAATTACAATACAAAGTCTGTTTAAAATGTAAAGAGACCTTATGGATACCCTGTATATCTTAGCATGACAGACATTTTATATCCAACTAGGTCTCAAGTATCCATGTAGGGGTTAGATAACATATCCATATGTCCTCATCTATTTACATTTCTTTTTGTTTTGTGTGCATTTGTTGGTTTGAAATACTTCAGCATGATTAAATTCCTCTATTAACTCTAGTCAGATTCCTCTAACTTAATTTAGGGCTATTTAATTTGGCAAAATTGGAAAATTGTTGAAGATTTAATTGGGTGAGCAAAAAAACTAAGATTCTGACAGGATTGAGCATTTTGCTAATTAAGACAATTTAAAGTCCAACACAAATGAAGACACGTTAATTTTGATGAACCTCATTCTCAAAATTGGTATAAACATGATTTGGCTAATTTTTTCATATCACCAAAGTTGCCAAATTAAAATGGGTGCCAAATTAAGTAGAGTTATTGTATTCTTTGTGTGATGTTCTCTTGTTTTGTGCTCTATCTACTCTTATGCTAACGCATGCATTGCTCAGTTTATTAACATGCCATTGGGCAGACTGTGTTTGCATGTATTTAACATTTTTTAATAGGTGTTCCGTACTAAACAGAATTAACAAGGCTAACCACATTTTTTTCTTTACAGTTGTAGTCTGCTTTATTTCTTTTTTTAAATTCATAATAGTTGAAACCATATAAGTACATCAATAGTAAAACCCATGAAAGTGGAATGAGGCTAGAACCAAAAGACCTCTTAGAGAAGGTCATTTAACATTAAGTTGTGTGAAATGACTATGAAGAGTGTTCCTATTTCAGTTGTGTTTCACTTTACAGGTTTTACAGTATATGGAATCAGGATTATGTTATCCCCAACTCCCTCCAATCCCCATGTACATCTGTAGAACTTATGGATAATGGGGAAAGGGGAAGGAGACACTGCTTCCAGCTTAACTTGCATTGTATGAAAACTTAAGGCTATTTTTTTACCAGTGGATATTTCGAAATTGAATCTTATGGTTTATGATAATTTGGGGAAACTAACCCTGTGATTTTTTGTTTTACTCAATTTGTTTTTTTATTCTCACAGCTTTTGAAAAAATGAGAATAATTCTGCATCTGACAGTACATTTTATATGTACGAGACGTATGTATGTATTTGAAAAATTGTCAAATACTCATTTAGGAAATCATAGTCAAATGTAGAATCATTTTTATTCATTTAAAGTACTGTAAAACAGGAATTGCATAAAACATAATATTCTGTGTTTAATAAACGTTTTAATAAAAGTTTTATAGCTGGAGTTTGATGAAAGAAATGTGGCTTCAATGTTTTTCTTTATACCATGGTAGATCAAAAATTGCCAAATTTAAATTCTTGCCAAAAATATTATTGCCAAATTAAATTGCAATTGATGAAATGCAAATTGCCAAAACAAATTATATACTTAGGGTCTACCTGGTATACCAAAAGCCATAAAATTCCTGTTTTACAGCCATATTTTGTGTAATATGTTTCTTCTTTCTGTTTCTTGTTAATGCATGTTTGCTGTCCTTCATTTTTCACACACTCTTGTTTTCATTATTTTTTGTGGGCTTTTATTTCTGTAACACTTTTTCTTTGTAAATAGTTCCACTAATCCGGCAGATGGAGACAAGGATATGTATTCCTACACCCTTCTCACCTCTCAAATAGTACCAGGTTGATCCTCAGAAAATATAGTTCTAAAGCACTTAACCAAAGATGGAAAAGGATACTTCATTAAAGGGACTGGCATATCGATAGACATCACCATGTTGACCAGCTTTATTAAAGGGACATTTGGAACTGTTTCAAAGAGGACTTGAATTACTGTTATTTTAAAAAGGGGAACCTTGAGAGCTGTTAAACAAGGACTTAGATTACTGTAATTATAGTGTTGGGTCTGTAAAATATACAGGACTAGAAACAACGAAGTATGGGCATTTATATTACTGGGCATTGAAGATAAAGATATCTTATAAATTGAATGGTTTCTTAACACTTTATTATAAAAATGGTATTGTATTGTTCAAAACTTTCAAATGGTTCAACACAAATAGGCTTATAATTTCCATATTTCTAACCCAAAGACTGGTTTATATGGAAGAGTATGTTGTTTAGAAATTACCAAGAAAGTAATAACTTATTACTTATAAATATATCCATTGGTGATTTTAAACCTTTAAAACAAGCAAGTTGACCATCATATTGCAAATACCATTGGGACCATCTTGATCTTGGTTTTTCACGTTAAAGGGTCTGATAACATCAAATTCAATGGGAGACAATTATGTTTTGTATCTGCAAAAACAAGTTCACTTCTTCATAAGCTGTACATTTGAAGAGTGGCCTATCTATTCATAGTTTGGGAAAGGAGGATTGTTTACAACTGTATATAGAACATAGTATAGACAGAAATTGTTAGTTAAAAGATATTACAAGAGAGTACACCATATTGTGTAGCGTTAATGTGTCTTATGCCAATTTGGTGTCCCTTTAAGGGTTTCAGAGTGAAAATGTTGATTTTATCATGATACTTGTATATAAGATTGTTAATGGTAGTATAATAATGTTTAAATGGTGCCTTTAAATATGTGCAGGGGCCATATGATATTAGGCTCAATATCACTTATTTAATGTAAAAAATGCCAAAACTGTCAAAAGATATGATTAAGATCTGATATGTCAGTTTTTTCGCTTTCGGTTTTTCATTTAGTATTTGGTATTGAATAAAAATAATCATTGAATGGAATTGAATTATTTTACAGACCTTAAATGGGTGTACATTCAGATGAATTCATTATTATTATGTTGTTATCACAGACAAATATATACACACTTTTTAAATTGTTAAAATGTTTGTTTTTTTGCAAATGATCCAAACATTTATAAACTGATTTTTGTTCGACTTTGATATTACTTGATTTAATCTAGACTATAATAGGGCATTAAACGAGCAGTTGATACTACTGTACATGTAAGCCAAAAATTTGAAATAAAAAATAAAACTGTACTCTATATTTGTTACTTTTAGAAAAATATGCTGTCTGCTTTTAGGCTTAATGTTTATTATCTACCACTGAAATTGTCACGATTAAATAACTAAATTTTGAGATTTTCTTTTATACTTGTAGAACATTTGAAATATCTCAACCTTAATACCTTGGTCACATATGCTCGGATCCATCGGCCAGCGCCCGGCCGATTGAGTGTTTCCATATTGTATTCAATTTTGAACAAAATACTCAATCGGCCGGGCGCCATAGTGAAAATCAGAGCAAATATGACCAAGGCATTACAGCGATCTCTTTGAAATTTACTATTTCCAAGCTATGAATCTGTCATTAGAAAGTTCTTTCTCTAGGTTTGACATACCTGACCAGCTGAACAATTATACAGGTACCAACTTATTATCGTCAAAACCTGAGTAATTGTCTTGTTTATGGGATTTCAGCACGATGTAGTTCCATATCATGCCCTCTAGAAACTCTGATTGTAGTCGCAAAAAGGCTGATATTCAACACAATAGGAATATTCCAACACAAGCCACGTACAAAGACTGATAAATGGCTAAGACAGCATCACAAGTCGGGAGAAGCTGTTAAAGACATGTAAGGAGTGTATGGTGTCTATTCGACCTACAGAAGTAGGTCGTCCAAATAGTTCGGCATCAATTCAAAGGAATTGACGGCGTCTGTAATTTATGGCACAGAGGAATGGTATCAAAATCTCTATATAATCCTAAGATAATATATTTAATGAGTGAGTTCTAGCTACAAATTTACTTCTATTCATAGCATTAAATATCAAATTAAAAATCATATTTTTCATTCGCTAATCTGAATATTGAGAAATATTTTTAACATAGCATTCTGAAACATAAATATTTGTATTTTAATATCTAAATTAATAAATACATTCGATTTTGTGATAAAAATATTACCTATTCAAACGTTCATATCGGCGGCTATAAAGTGCTGCCATCTTAATGAATACATAAAGTAACTGTAAGTGCTTCACGGAGGGGTGTTATGCAAGAAATTTCAACAAATCTGGAAAACGTATTTTTTATTTGATGAAAAATTAAAGGAAGATATTGAAGCTAAAAACCCAAGACAACTCGGACCACTTTCTGAAATTATACTTTTGGCTGTGATAATAGGGGATTATTTGTTTTATATTTAGCATGACACATATTGTATAATTGTGAGTTTATATATTGTATTTATTTGATGAAGATATTTCAATCGGTAACCTCTCAATTAACTTATTTGATGAAGGTGAAGAAGTAAGACCAGTAAGAGAATATTGAAACTGGACACCCAAAATATGCCAGGACAACTCGGGCCACTTATATAGTTAATCTAATTTAAAACAATTTCATCGAATTATTACAATACAAACTGTATATGAATTCACAATATATAATATATGTCATAAAAACATTAAAAAGAACCCCATACAATGATAAAGACCATCATTTCAAAAAGTGGTCCAAGGTCTTGGGTCTTTAGCTTCAATAGTTTCTTACTTCTTAACTCTCATCAAAACGTTAATTTAAAACAATTTCATCAAATTAACACAATATATAATATATGTCAAAATAAACATAAAAAATGATGAAAACCAAATATGATGATAAAAATCTTGTTTTCTGGCGGCTTTGAATGGAACAGGTTTGAAGAAAACCGCTGCAGTATCAGACTCGCAATCCTTGATTTTCAGAGATTTGGTAGGTCAAAAATTCAAATTAACGGTCGAAGTTAGTACCGCGTGATTATGTGTACCTTTATAGCTTGATTGATACTCGATAGCCTTTGATTGAGTGCGATTCAAATGCAAATCAGAACTGTCAACCTTGATTTGGAGATTCTTTACCCCAATTGACGTTTTAAATCCCATGCAAAGAGATAATATGTCAGTATGTAGAAGGGATATGTAATCAGGTAAACGAGAGTATCATCAGGATGATCATGAAGATTTCAATCGGTAAGTAACCTTACCTATTTATAATAATTATTTAACAAATTGTCAATTAAATTATAAATTGTAATTTTTATATTTAAATATAATATAATTTATATATTTTGTTCTTAATTAATAAATTAACCTCCCTGGATCAATGCAACCTACATCAAAATCCAGCTTTTATTCCATTCGTTCAATCATTTTGCTCATCTGCAGCATCTATCACCAACGCACACAACGCGTACCATTGTGTTCATTTGAAGAGTGTATCACCCAGGCACGTAGCCAGGATTTGCCAAGGGGGGGGGGGGTTCAGTTTTTCAAAAATTTCCAGGGGGGGTTCACATTTGACAATTTTGGCCCAAATATGGCCAAAATCACTTGAGAAATGCTCAAAATGGTGAAAAACTGCATGATTTTGAAAGAATTTTTGGCCAGGGGGGGGGGGGGGTTCGCCCGAACCCTGCGAACCCCCCCTGGCTACGGGCCTGTCACCATTTATGTATGTATGTATGTATGTATGTATGTATGTATGTATGTATGTATGTATGTATGTATTCCTATTCTTTTCACTTAAGCCATATTTGCCTCTCTGGCAATCTGCGCTCTCGTTGCTGATGGAAAAGACCCTCGCAAAATCCCCGCAAACCAAGTACCGATAAGGATCCAGCTTTGGCGCCTGTTATTGTCCCCGGAGTCGAAAACCAAAAACCAGATGATCCGATTCGACCAAAGAATGGAAAAAGGACAAGACCAAGTAAAAACAAAGGACCTGAAAAAACTGGAAACAAAGATGAATATAAAAGACCTGGAGGTAAGATACAATTTTGTTAACATACAAAGCTAGTTCTGAATATAATACATGCAAGACCTTACCACATGTGCATCATGTTTGTAAAAAATGTAAGTGCGACATTGAGTACTAATGGCGATTCGTCTCTTACTTATGCAGACAAGGACTATTAGAATGAGAGTAGAACCTTTATAATTTGGTATAGTAAACTATTTATTGTAAACTATATGCATGTCTATATTACGAAGTAATGAAGATGAATTCCTCGATGAATTCTAAGTTGGCGGAGAAATAAGTGATATTTGCATTTCAGTTTCGAGGCCAGGGGTTGTTCCAGCCATTGAAGTTCCAGACATGTCTGAAAGTGAAGGTGAGTGGGAGAACGATTTGAGAGTACGGGCTAATTAATACCCGAAGTCCAAAACAGCTTACCACTACCCCTGCTATTTCAAATGATTTCAGTTTTCGTGCTGATAATATTTTATGATCTTAAATGAAAACATCAGTCCCTTTAAAGTATTTGAAAAGAATTTAGATTATTTTTAGGCAGAAAATATAGTTTAAATATGGGTTTGTTTAGCATGCGCGTATCCACCTTCACGTGCCATTTGAATTATACTTTCAGGGACGATAATAAACTTAGTGCTCAGTCGTCACTGCGACTGACAGGAGCACGATAGGTTTTGCTAGGACGTCAATCATTTTTAAGTTTAATGATATGTCATATTTGATTTTGAAGGCTTGTATTGTAAGCAACATTTTACCATTTCCCGTGTTTAATTGAAAGTCACTCTAATTTTGAATTTCTAATCAGGTTTAATAAAAATTGACAACATTCTTTCAATTTTTCTTTTTTCTTGTTTATTTCTCAAATCAAAAAGGGTTGATATTTTTACAATTTAGTGATACTATTTTTCTATGTAGAAAAACCTGAATTACCAAACATTCCAGATAATTTGAAAAAAATTTCAGGACCAGGTGTAATATACAGCATAACTTTGGTGATTTTAACAAATTCAACTCAGTCAGTATCTCTGAACTATATTCTAATACAGGGCCAAACAACAACGAAACAGACTTTACAACCAGGTGTAAAGGGTAGGAGGTTCTATCAAATTATCGTCCTACTCTCCATTGATTTATATGGTGACCTAAATAGAACTTTCCCCTCATTATCTTATACGCAATCAGGGCCAGTAAGGGCCGTTAAGAAAGGGGACCATAATCCCTGGTGGACCATCATTTCTTTCACACCGGCTTTACAACTATCAATGGAGACTTCCGAATGCAAAACTTATAGAGGAGAACGTTTGTTAATTTTTTATGAATGCAATTCTATAACAATAAAGAGGAGGAAATAGCCCAGGATTCATCATGTGTGAACCTATCTTCATGAACTTCTAGAGGTTCAACTTTACATGGATATAGATGATTCACCTTTGAATTCTGGGCTATGCACCCCTCTTATTACAATCCCAATCTTTCCAGACCCCTGCACAATAGACTGTAGAAAGTTCCACCAACCAGGCAAGAGGAAGGTCTACTGTGGAAGTAACAACAAGAGCTACAGAAGTATGTGTGATCTGTTGCAGGAAGCGTGTAGAACAAAAGCTGAAATTGAAGCTTTTCTACCCACCAATGGCAAATGTAAACCTCCTACACCCTAACTGAGAAATTTCAAACTTGACCGAGAGGACTGATGAATCGATATATGAATGCTTTTAGTGTTGATGGATTTAAGCACAGGACTCAATACTTTGTCAGTGGTTTAAAGCACAAGGTTATTGTATGCAGATTAATCTGATGTTGTCAGGCAGAGGTTTATAGTATAGCATGCAGATAAAAACCAAGTACATCAAATGAATCACAATTTATTGAGTACTGTATACTGTTTACACACTGCAAGACATTTTAAACATTTTTTAACTTGTAACCGTTTTTATCAAGAGCTGAACTTGGAATAAACTTCTAACACTTTAGTTATGTAACCACATCGCAAATCATTAATCACTCACTACCTACTAATGAATATGTCATATTGATGTCCAAGTCTTGAATATTGATCCTTCATTACAAACAAGACTACTTAAGATGTTTTGTCGTATTGCAAAAAAGCTTACAGTAAACAATTTCAGATATTCTCAGTCAACTCTCAGCAGTTCATGCAAAAAATTATCCAAAAATATTTCTTTTTGTGAAGCTATATTGAGCAGAGGGTAAATGGACATTTTACGACAAGGGAAGAATAATGAATGTGCATAAGTAAGTAGAGTTGAACAGTAATGTCTGTATTACCAGTCTCAGTAAAATAATTGAGATTTACTGGAGATGACCTCAATGGGAAAGCATACATTTTAACAATGTCACTTTAGCATATTGCTACTTGCAACTCTTAATATCAAGCCATATAAATTATTTAACTATTTTTCCAACATAAAAGTGTAAATATCAAAATTGATTAAAAATATAGTCATGATATATTTTTCGAATTGTTATCAAATCTATAACATTGTTTCAGACCATGCATATGGCATCTGAATAAGTTGACTCTTGACATGTATATCTGAAGTGTCATAGTTACTTGACATCACTCTTCATCACTGCTGACATCTCAAAATAATAAACAAGGCATTAACAAGCAAAATGTCACCACCTGCCATTTGTTATTTCAGTCATTTTCAAAATCACATTTAATATCTTATATCATTTTGGGCTCTTAATCATATTGCAATATTTCAAGTCTGCATCAATCCACATATGTATGAATTTTATCACAAAACAAAGAAATGTTTTAAGTCTTTGACATCACATGTACTAGTATTCAATATTACAATTTCAAGTTTCTTGGAAAGTACCCATAATCCAGATGACTTCAGGTCTTTTTAGATCACAAATGTTCCTAAAGTTAAAATGTCACATTCATCCTTATGCAATTTCAAGTCTTTGACATCACATACAGGTATTATTAGTAAGCATTATTTTGGTATTGAAGACGGCAAAGCTACACATCCATATAGCATTTCAAACTTCTTTGACATCACATTTAATCGGTAACATAAATCCATAGAGACTGCAACATTTCACACATCCATATACAAAGTCTTTTTGACATTACTGTATATATAATCTCTATGACACAATTTTGACTCTCTTTAGTATAACTCCCTCTCTGTGTGAAGACTCACGAAGATGGAAATGGCTGTGCTGATAATCCTAAATCAGAGAGCACCATGGGAGATCCAAGTTCAAGGTCACCTTGGAACGTTTCAAGGTCCTTTGGATCAACATTCCCAGTGACATCTAACCAATCAGCAATCAGTGATGCGGAAAGAGGTGGAGCTGAGTCTAGATTCATGCTGAAAAGAGGAATCAGATAACCGTCAATTAATGAATGAGTTTTTGGTTTGAACACATGACAAATTTTAACAATGCAAAATTGAAAAGGCATTCTTTAAAAAGAAAATATATTCCATAATCCAAATGCTTGATGATGGTTCATTTAAATAGCATGCATTGATTTAAGGGGGATAATTTTTTATTTTGTAAGATAAACCCATTTGTGACACTTGGCCTTGAAGTTAAACTATAGTCTCTATGAATCCATTTCAATCTCCAAATTCCCTAAAGTTAAAGCCACACATAGACATTTTACCTATATTTTAAAACCCCCAAAAAAGAAATAAATATGACACTGTGCTATAAAAAAATGAGATAGAGAAAATATTGTGGCTCAGAAATAAAGAAAAAAAAGAAAACATGATATGCAGCGGCCGGGATTCGAACCTGCAAAATCAAGATTGCAAGACTGATTCCCTAACCACTATGCCACGGCCTCAGCTGAACTTTCAAGATGCATTTTTAGTATTAATTCTTAATTTCAGAAAAATGTTTTTCCTCTACACCACAATTATTAAATAGTAGTAAATAATCATGGTAATAATATTACAATACATATCTGAGTAAATATTCTAAGCCAAATTCAGAATCAGTGCTGTTAATCCAGTTTTTATTTTGAGAATCTACTTCCTGTCATGACTGTCAAAAAAACATGGCTTCCAAAACAAAATTCTTGCTTCCAATTTTCAAAATGATATATATTCATGGATCAGCTAATTTTGGCACCTGAAGCCATCCTAATAGAAAGGTAAGACTATTTTCTTGAAATGTATTTCTTGAAATCCCCAATTTCGGCCTCTGAAGTGTAAGAAAGTCACTTTAAGGATCCCCAAGTCATTTGTTTCTTGAATTTTTTCCTAAATACAACCAGAACAACGGCAACGCCAAAGCGTAGCGAATCCCATTGAACAGCCATGACTGGCATTTTTACAAACAAAGTATATAGAAAAAATGGCGGCCATTTTTCAAAATGGCCGCCTTCTACCAAAAGTATCATTAGACAGTGTGCCATGCATATAGTATTCACATACCAAATATGAACAAAATCGCTCCACTACTTTTCGAGTTATAGTAAAATAAGTTAAAATGGCGGCCATTTTTCAAAATGTCCTCCATTTTTCAAAATGGCTGCCTTCTACCAAAAGTGTGCAGTGTACAGTGTGCCATGCTTATAGTATTCACATACCAAATATGAACAAAATCGCTCCACTACTTTTCGAGTTAGAGGAAAAATCGTAAAATAACGAGTAAAGGCCACCATTTTTCAAGATGGCTGCCACGTGCTTTTTTAATATCTACATTTCTAGCTTTATTAATGTCCTACATAATTATTTTTATATTTAAAACACATTGCTATTAGTTTTACACATTGCACCTAAATTACTGTAAAATCGGCACTAAAATGGCCGCCATTTTTAAATGAGCGGCCATTTTGAAAATCCACTTTCTAGCAGAACTTCTACCCCCATAGGGTATATGTGTACAAAATATGAACAAAATCAGGCCAACGGTATTTGAGTTATTGCCCGGACGGACGTAATAACGGACGGACGGAGGCGTTCCCTATATCCCTCCGAACTCGATGGGATAAAAAAAACAATAGATCATGAAGATATGTCAATTAACAATGTTTAGGGAAGTTGTTTCTCACCTTTCACTGAGATCTTTCTGGTCTGTAGAAACAACTTGTAGTATATCATCAATGTCAAACCCTACACCATACCCTGCCCCAGTTCCCTTGGGGGTCACAGCCAGGGTCAATGGGTCATCCATGGCTGACCTTGACAACTGCTTGGTTACTATAGAGATAAGATCCTGCTCAGCTTGTTGCTTAGTAACCTGCGGTACAGGATGAGTGTCCGGATTTATGAACATCAATGACTGATTAGTAGGCGGGGAATCTTTTGAATCACCGTTCAGAAATCCGAGCGGATCTTTAGGGGGTTGTGGATTAAGAAAACTGCCAGGTTGGCTTTCTTGTATTTGATTCAAGGAAATGTCTTGTTTAACTGTCCCATTTGTATGAATCCCAGCTAGTACCTTGGCTTCCATAGCTTCATTATAAGTGGGTAGTACCTTCAACCCCGGAGAATCCCCACTGACTAAAGCAGTGATAAAATCCAGATCAGAGTTTGTGCTCTCATTTTGTGCTTTCCCAGAATCATCTGGGCTTTTAATCGATATGATCTGTCCTTCGATGGTGACATCCGAATGATTAGGACCCACTTCAGTTTGTGGTTGATTTGAATCCGGCTGATCAGACTGTAGTTTTTTCCAACGTTCAAGCATATTCTTGTCTTCTGTAGTTAATAGAGGACTCTTCCCTGAAACAAAAATTTAAGAAATGATACACATACGTGCAAACATCCAGATATTCAAGGATAATTTATAAATATAAAATGGAGACATGAATGTCTCAAGTTTTTTACTTAAAAAATTAACCTTGTAGATTAGGCATCGTAGATCAATTATCTAAAAACATGATATGGAAATGCCAGCATTCTCATATGATGTGCCCTTTTGAATATCATTTTACAGAATTTTTGTGAAAGGTAAACTATCCTCTTTTACTTACTTACCTCTTTACTTTATTCTTCTACTATGTTTAATCTGCCTCGCCTTTTAATCATGGTTACATCCTATGTGTCTATTCTACCTCATATATTTTCACTAAATAAACATTAATAATCTAAATTTACCTTTCCCCTCCTTTTGCTTCTGCTTCTTCTTTTGAAGCTGTTTGTCAATTTTTTCTTTCCTCCGTTTCTCTCGTTCCTTTTGCCTCTGAAGAGCTGTCACTGGTAGTGGTTTAGGGGCAGTGTTTCCATCAGCTGTAACAACAGTCACGCATACAAAACATAAATGATGTTACATAATAGGATAAACACACGGTGGTAGATTAGAACAACACACAGAGTTGCAGAACAACACAGTGTGACACAGCGGTAAACATAGCACTTCAAAATCGAAAAATCACATTGTTTATCACCATGTCCAAGCATGTCTTATAAGAGCTTGGATTGATAGTGAAGCTTTCGCATCTGTAAAAATTTAAAGATGAATGGATGAACAATTTTGAACATTTCAATGACATGATTTCTTACCCCATGCCATTCTTAGGGGTGACATAACATACATAACAAAATCTAATTTTGATCGAAAAGTTATCATACCTTTTCTAAGTTTATCTTGTAATGCTGCCTTTAATAAAGCCTTGGTGTCTGTTATTACTGGAGGTTTTTCCACATCAGAACTTTCCTTTTCACTCCCAGAAGTACTGATGTCCATCTTGGAGCCATCCGTGGACTTCGCACTCAACATTTCAATATCATGTGGTGTAGTAATCTGCTGTGCCGGAACTACTTTCACTGGATCTACATCAGCTGGCTTCTTAAAGCCATCATTTGACATTTGCACTGTTATTATTGGCTTATTCGTGCCACTTTGTGTGCTAATGACGTGAGTCTGTATGGGGACTGAGTTCTTTAAAGTATTCACTCCACTAGGGGTTTGGGACCTGGTGTATTGGCTTAAAAAAGCTTGAAGACCAGACTGATATGACTGTTCTGTCTTTGGTGCAATAAACACAAGTTTTTGTTGACTTCTAGATGCTTCAATATTTACCTCTTGTGGTTTACTAGTCCCTGATATAAAATTTAATGCTGTTGTATCAATAGTTTTCAAATTGCCTTCCTGGGTAGATGCTTCACCAAAGTTTTGTGTTGTTGAAGTTTGAAACGACTGTGTTGTTGTTGAAGGTTGAAATGGTTGTGTTGCAGCTCCAAATGCTTGAGTTGTTGAAGGTTGAAAGGGTTCAGTTTTTGATGGTTGAAAGGGTTGGGTTGTTGATGTCTTAAATGGCTGCTCTGAGTTATTCTGTTTTTGTAGAAACTGTAACGTGCCAGTAGTTTGAGGCTGCTCAGTCTGTTTATTCATGAATGGCAACGATGTTTGACTAGCTGACTGCTTATTAATGAACTGTAATGTTCCAGATTGTTCACCCCCAGTCTGTTTATTAATGAACTGTAAAGTTCCACTAGATGGCGCTACTGTTTGTTGAGATAATACTTGTATTTCTGAATTCTCACTAGATGGGGCTTTCAAAGGAAGTGTGGGACTATCCAATGAGATTGTAGTGATTTTCTTTGGCTTATGATAAGCCATGATCTCCTTTGTTATGGCACTTCTAAGGGCTTTTCCATCCATTTTCTGAAACAGAATATCAAAATACAACTTTAAAATGGTTATGTATAAACTAGAAGTAAGTTTACAACATAATGTCTTAGTTTGTTTAGAAAATTTTTCAATGTTGAAGGTTGAAGGACAAATTATAACAAACACCGAATGTTGAACACAAACCCCTGAACACGAGCCCCCGAAAACTGTTGATCCACAAAAGAAGACTGTAACAATATGTCAATGTTTAATTTCTGTCAATCATTTAAAGTATTAGCCTAACCTCTTTTTCAAAATCGAAATTAAACACCGGAACACATAGTGGTTCATCATCAGGGTCGTGATATTTTGCCAAATATGGATGTTTCAAAGCCTCGTCAACAGAGAGACGTTTCTTTGGGTCAATCACCAGGAGCTTTTGTAGGAGGTCCACTGCATTGGCGTTGGCTTTAGGATAACGCACTCGTAGAGGTAGAGGGTTACACATTTTGGCAAATCCTGAAAAACAAAGCTTTTTCAATAATAGGAATATAGATTTCAATGAATCAGGTAGGAAAACAGATTTCAATGAATCAGGTAGGAATACAGATTTCAATGAATCAGGTAGGAAAACAGATTTCAATGAATCAGGTAGGAATACAGATTTCAATGAATCAGGTAGGAATACAGATTTCAATGAATCAGGTAGGAAAACAGATTTCAATGAATCAGGTAGGAGTACAGATTTCAATGAATCAGGAAGGAATACAGATTTCAATGAATCAGGTTTGAATACAGATTTCAATAAATCGGGTAGGAATAAAGATTTCATTGAATCAGGTACATGTACTGATTTCAATGAATCAGGAAGGAATACATATTTCAATGAATCAGGTATGAATACAGATTTCAATAAATCGGGTAGGAATAAAGATTTCATTGAATCAGGTACATGTAGGAATACAGATTTCAATGAACCAGGTAGGAATAGAGATTTCAATACAGGTTTCAATGCTGGAAATATAAGTTTTACAACTCAAGAAAATCCATTCATTAAATAGATCCATTTTCAATGTGAAAAAATTTAATATTAAAAATTGCATTTCAAAATGCATGAGATATCCCTGGTAAAAATATTTAATACTTAAAAAGTATCCAGAGCATTTCTTTACACATACATTAGTTGAAAGAACATCTAAAACAATATGTTAAAATGAAACAATTCCTCAAAATATGATGTCTAAAAATATGTTATGTTAAAAAAGTGAAAGAAAACCTTGAATGATGTTAGAATTCTGATATGTATATTTGATGAGCATCTTGAATGATAATCGGCATGGTAATGATAAAAGTAAAACCACACACAAACCTTGAATGATATGCTTAGCTGAATCAGAGTGGCATGTCTCCATAAAGCTCTTAGAGGGAACCCCTAGTGTCTTGATTATTCTACCCAGCTGATCCAAAGTATCTTTACCTGAAAGAAAGTAATTAATAATCAATCAATTAGCAACATAACAGACAATCCTATGCATTCTATAGAATATTACTTTGAAATACTCTGTGATGTTTTTAAAGTAATAGTAACACCTGTCTCATTGGAAGTCATTGCCAGTTGGAAACAAGAGTCGATTAACAAGTGTTCATATTTTGAGGTTTTACATGGAACCAACAGAATTAAAAGGAAACAAATAAAGGTGTACATATTGGAGTTTCAAACTAGAATGGACTTCAGATGTTTTACAAAACTAAAATCATGACATAGATATACAACGACATGTTCACAAATATGAAAATATCGATTCAAATGCCTAAATAACTGGACAATTTAGGAAAAATAAAATCAATTTAATGAGGCATACTGTTACTCCAGGGAAGAAGGGGGAGGGGCATTGCCCCTGGGGCAGCGGTCAATCTACTTGTACCTACCAGGGAAAAGTTGTTTTCTTCCCAACATTTCTGCTAGGATACATCCAACGGACCACATATCTATTGCCCCTGTGTACTCAACTGTAGACATGATGAGCTCTGGGGCACGGTACCAGCGTGTGGCGACATACTGCGTCATGTAATACTGTTGCTCTTCGGGGGATGTATGGAAACCTCTGGCCATACCTTGCGAAGAATTAGAAAACAGATGAATTGAACATTCAATTGTTCAAAATGATGAACTGCATGTAAATCACTTAAAACATCCCAGTGATTTATTAAAACAATGAGATTTATTTAAAGTTTTGATAAAATTATAATTTACTAAAGCATTACCGGTAACTGAAATAGAAATGAGCTTTCTTCTATTTTCACTTGTCCTTATAACAGAGCTGTCAAGTGTCCCGCGATTGGCGGGATTATCCCGCGAATTTGACTAAAATTTGGCTAATTCGCGTGTCCCGCAATGTCCCGCGAAGTCCCGCAAATGTTGGCTTTGACCTCCGCGAATTTTTAAAATTGTAACAATCCCCGAGGCTTAATAATTGTGATTAGTATACATATTACGTTGTCAAAATATTTCGTCGCATTCAGAGTCAGAGAGAATGTTTCTGGCGAAATTCTGGGATTTCAAATACTTGAAGTTGGGAAACCGGAAGGGCTTACCTTTTTTAATTCCCGAATCTCTCCGAAATTAGCTCATCTTGGTGACTGTAAATTGCACAGCTGTATTCAATGGAGTCTTGTCATATTCAATCAGCCTCAATTTTAAAGTGTATATTTTATTTTCAACGTGATTTCATCGTTTTTTGTCGACTGGTAAGAATACGCTGGGCAAATGGCAAGATGGATGACTTTTGACCTGACCTACACCGATGGCGTCATCAATTTTATCTATACAAATTCTATTTGGTCACGTGACCTTGTGCCAGAAGTCTGACTTTTTGGTCAGTCGACCTGTTCAAAGTACATTTAGTAATAATTTTCGCTTTTCAGAACAATTTAGGAAACAATATTTTCTATCTACGTCGATTACAGAGCATCTAAGGTACGTAAATTTATATGAACAACTGAGTCAATAGGGATAAATAGCCCAACGAGAGTCGGCGGTCTTAAAAAATACTTGGATCTGGATGCCAGTCCTGGTATAGATATAGTTCCAGGGCAGTTCGGAGAACGTATTAGATGTCCGTGGTCGCATTTAATTTCTTAGTCTCCGTCTCTTATCAAATCGCAAAAGAACAAAACATTCTAAACTTAATCACTTGGGATTTATTTTTCGGCATTCGTTTCCGGCATTTGTATTTTATTTTCCTCTCCTAAAATGTATTTGCTTGACAATAATCAGAGAAAGTGCCTATACGTATTTTGCGTGGCATATTCTGTCACGCAAACAAACGGGTATGACTTCAATTTCTTGTCTGTCTGAGGACGTATTGGGAACGAAGTAGAATTAAAGAATTTTTATGCACGAGTCATGCAAGATACTAGAACTAGTAAAGTAATTTATTGGATAAGTTAATTTCTGAAGGATCTAGATAAAATATGTTTCAAAACTTTGTGACCACTAGATAACTACATTAGGCAGATATAGTATCTTGATATATTTCGCTATCATGCGTTTAAAATACGTTCCTAAAACAATGAAGACGTTAGGTGAGAAATATTGCCATTGTACGTTCGAAAAGTATTTGGTTGTATTTTGTAGTTCTCAAGTTACCCATGAACTTTCGTAGGCTAAACATTAAACAATTAACGTCTTTACGCATATTTGACTAATTTTGCAATGATGTCAATGTGATTCCAACGTTTTGTTGTCGTGACTCGCAAAGGTTGCGACAAGATTCGTTTAAAGATATTGTATTTTTTAGATAAGATCCCCTTATTTTCGAACAACTTGGTTTCGGACAACTGGGTTTCGGAAAACTGCTGGGTATCGGAGAATTGGGTTCCGGACAACTGGGATGACCCTAATCGAACCCCTATATAAAAAGGTACATTTTAGGGGGGGGGGGGTAAATGTTTCATTATAGTTGGTCACGAACGCCACTGTGCAAAGTATTGTTCAGAATTTTTGAATTTCGTGTTGGATTACGGTACTCACAAGTGTGGTTTCTTGATAGTTTAAAGGTGCAACAATGAGTGCAGAGGGGCCATTCAACGATCATGGAATAGTGTAAAAATATATTTAATTTTGGCTATTTCTTCAAGACTAACATATACTTTTATTATTTCCAAAGAAACTCCCTGGATGAACATAATTTCAGCCGATATTCCTCAACATGGTGCATCTTAAAAATCTATTATAACTTGTGGGATTCCCTTTATAGAAGCTTTGAACTGAATTTACACTTCTTAATGCTGAAATTGATAGTTTATCCATACATTTTCAGAAAATAGGTATGTCAAAGATGATGTTAAGCCAAATGTTACCTTGATAGCTATGAAAAAGTAAAAGAATTTGATTTTTCTCTCTATAGGCCTTGTTGCCCTTTAATAATATTTCTATGCGTATTTTTGTGGAATTGTGTTGGCGTTTACTTAAGTTAAGTGCATTATATTTGATAAATCAGTATTTGAAAGTTTGATTCGAGTACTTTTACATTGAGCCCCAATCACGCAAATCCTTTGAATGTCCTGCGACATCCCGCAAATTTAGGTGGATGACCCGCCAATCCTGCGAATTTAGGGCACTTTGTCTAAAAAAATTGCCCCTCCATGAAGTCTTTGGTGGTCACCCTGTTAACTGTCCCGCAATTAGCGTGTTTGTCCCTCGAATGGTCCCGCGAAATCCCGCGAATTCGATCAAAATTTGACCCATTTGCGCAATCACGCAAATCCCTTGAATGTCCCGCAAAAATCCCGCGAATTAAGGAGGATGTCCCGCAAAATCCTGCGAGTTTTTGGCACTGGGTCTAAAAATCTGTCCCGCGAGAAAATCTTTGGGGGTTGACAGTACTGTTTATAAGTACAACTTTGTCAAAATATCATTTGTACATACCGAAGTCTCCTATCTTTAGTTCACAGTTCTCATTCACGAGTAAGTTGGACGGTTTCAAATCTCTGTGGATGACATCCGCTGAATGGATATATTTGAGACCCCTTAGAATCTGGTACAAAAAATATCGAACATGTTCATTGGTTAAATCCTGTCTTGAATGAATAATACGATGGAGATCACTTTCCATAAAATCCAACACGACGTAAACATCTTTGAAAATATTCGTATCGTCAGGTTTCAATAAATCCCGTACTCCAATTATGTTGTCATGTTTGAAATGTCGCAAGATCCTAATCTCTCTGTAGGTCCGCTTTGCGATGATGATGTTATCAAAAATACTTGGAATTTTCTTTATAGCTACTCTTTCCTTGGTTTTCTTATGTTTTGCCGAACAAACAACGCCGTACGCTCCAATGCCAATGTTTTCAATTGGTTCATATGGTGTACCATCAAGATTAATTTTTACTTCAAGAGATTTTTTCTTCAGCGCTAGCAAGTTCTTGATGGCGTTGTCTGTTTTTTCAGTCGTCATGATTACCTGGAAATATTTCACATTGATTAATGTTTAAGTTATTTTATTTATTAGCATACTTATGTACATCACCTTGAGTATGATCTATTGTTTAATACTATTTCTTTTTTGTCTGGTAGGCTACATGTATAGTGCACACTGACGCAAGCTAAGAAGTTAGATAGATAGATGGTGCTGACTCAACGACATTATCATGGGCTTTCAACTAGATCAAATAGATTCTGCGAAACTCTTAGTATATTACTTGACATCCGTGATCAAAACAGTGGAATTCTAGCATCGCCATATAGCCATGTCACCTTTGCCTTTATCCTTCCAAAGTGAACGGCAAATGGCAGATAAGAGGGGCTCTGGCACACAGATAGCAGAATTTTTCTTAGGAAATACATCCTGATGTATTTTCTTAAGGTTCAGCTGGAAAGTAACATTTTGGTAAAAAATTGCTATACCTGCACATGTTATTTTCTGGTACAGAATTAAGTATGAAGTCATGTGTGTATTTCCTTGCTTTTTTCAGGAACGTATCATTACACTGTTTACTTTTATAATATCTGGAAACAGGTCAATGGTAGCTCCTGTGTTGTCTGGAAATTTTGAAAGAAAATTTGGAAAAATAGAAAGTGTGAAATATCAGAATTTCCTGGAGTTTCCATTGAACCCCTACCAGATATTCTAAAAGAAGACAATGTAATGATACTTTCCTGAAAAAAGCAAGGAAATTGACACATGCCTTCATATAGTCCAACAACATTAGACCTAGCCTGGGCCTCGTTTCTTATCTGACATGTCTTATTGCCCCGGCTAGGTCTAACCTCCATGACCATTTTGCCCTTGATGCGTTAATTTAATCGTTCCGCAGGTTCCAACAAGCGGAACCAATTAAACTCCGAAAACATGGTAATATTACATAAATAATGTGATTCAAGCATGCATACATACCTTATAAATACATACACACCATCCCGTATCCCCCTTAGACCATATTGATGCATAATTACGAAAATATTGGAGACAGGTTTGGAATTTTACGAAAATATCGGTCAGCTCCGGTAACATCGAAATTGCAAATCCTATCAGGAATTAACCGTCATTGCGACACTGCATCAACGAACAGTAGGTTTGCAATTAATAACTATTTTGTGTGTATACAAGTGCTATATAAATCAATCAAAGATACCTGCTATCCTCAAAAATGGTTATTTTATCCCGAGTAATCGCATAATAATTATCAATCTATTTGACAACAATTTCGTTTCAATAGTTTAAATTTTAACCCGGGACGAACAGACACAACGACGGACATGCGGAAATGTCATTTTAGAGATTGGTAAGTTTAACCTCATTTTACTCGTATTAATGACCATTTAATACAATAATATTGTGTTGAATCGCTTGATGTTATGTGTTTTTATATTGTTGTCAAGTATGCATGTTATCGCGGAAAAATGGTTTGGGTGGATCCAAAACTTGCATCAATGGAAAGAATAGTAAAGAGGTTAAACTCAATAACGGCCCCAAGAAAATTCTTAATAATAAATAACGCCGTTATTGAGTTTAACGACGTTGAACTAGCCTTCATACTTTATTTTGTACCAGAAAATAACATGTGCAGGTATAGCAATTTTTTACCAAAATGTTACTTTCCAGCTGTACCTTAAAAAATTCTGCCATCTGTGCTCTGGCAATGCCATACCAGAATGGAATTCTGGAGTAAAATAGTAGAAATCATGTTACCTTTAGATCTACCGCCTAATCTCTAGATCATTTATTGGGAAACAATGCATATGACTCGGAAAAAATACAGGAAATGCATGTCGACTCATGGTTCATTTTTTGAAAAAAATTCACAGAAAAAATATGAATCAAATTCAAAATGAAATCAGAGCTCTTCCTCTTGTGATTGTGTGAAGCCTTGAGTCTACTTCTGACAAAACTAAACCTAAGTCTACACTTTTCAAATAAGCTTTACAGAAAAATAAATTAACTGTACTCACCTCATGAGTATTCAGACAATCAAATGATAATCCATAATTTGTAGAACTTTATATTTCCACATTTGTTACTATTTTTAGACACGGAAGTTGAGAATTTCTAAATGAACCAATCATATTCGTAGGATTTTACCCAGAGTTCATCAGTGCAATGGAGGTCACCGCCGGGAAATTTGGTCCCGAAAAACTTCTTATTATCTTCCTTTACGCTGGATTACTGTTGCCAGGAGTGCAATGTCTACTTTATCCAAGGGAATCAGAGTCCAGAGAAATGAAGGATCTAAACGGAATGTGGGATTTTCGTATTGATTCTTCTGCAAGTCGACGCGAAGGCTTGGACAGAAAATGGTTCTCTTCAAAACTGAGTCATGTGAGTAGACTACTTAGCTAAGGTCACATGATCAAAATAAACAAAAAATTAAAACTGCAGATTTTAGAATTCTTTTTTATAACTTTGTGTTATTTGTGGGGTGGATGTTCAGCCCAATGAAGGACACTAAATAGTGAATTTGTATAATCTACTTAGATTTTTACATTGTAAGCTTTCAGTTTAGTTTTGATCTATTTAATACAGGGTGTCCAAAAAACCAGGACCGTAAGAAAGTTGAATAACTCGGTCAATTTTGCATATTTTGCCTTGAAATTTCAGAATTATTTAGATCATTCAATGTGAATTTTGTTGTGAAAGTTTGATAATAATCTACCAATTGAGTCAAAAACTACAGCTCCTTACAAAACATGCCCCAAATGTGCAAATCTCATCTCTATGCACAATTCAATCCGGCGAACAAATCTGTTGATGATCCTCCTACACACATTTCTTTCTGAATGGACTGTTCCAAGAACAATTGCTACTAGGGCTTACATCCTCCTGATGAAGTGTTACAGCATCCATTGCATTCTGAACAATGCACTCCCTGGGTGGCAATGAGGAAACATGGAATCATTAGTCCCTTTTGGTTCGAAGGTGACTGGGGACTTGCTATCACCATGAACAAGGACCAGTAAGTTCTCACCAAGTTTTGGAGGTCACTAAGCACCAGAGGGACATCTAAGAAGATAATTAAGCAGTGGTTTCAACAAGCCAATACACCCCAACACTGCACATGATATGCTGAAATGGTTTAGGCAATGCTTTGGTGGTCAGCTCATCAGTTGCAGAATGCAAACCATATGGGCAGCTCATTCGCCTGATCTAAATCCCCCAAATTTTTATCTTTGAGGATTTCTCAAAGCCAATGTGTATACTGACAGGCCCCTTACAATCTTAAGAAGGCAATAACTACCCCAATATTTACCATCCACATTAATATGTATAGGTAAGGGTCATTAACAACTTTGTTTGTAGGGTTCGTTTGTGCATAGAGAGAAGTGCCCACTTGAGCATGTTTTGTAAAGGACTTGACACAATGAACAGATTATCATCACACTTTCAGAACAAAATTCACATTGAATGAACAAAATAATTCTCAAATTTCAAGGCAAAATATGCAAAATTGATCGAGTTATTCAACTTTCTTACGGTCCTGTTTTTTTTGGACACCCTGTAACAAGTCCAACAAGTCTTGGTACGAGATAATACGCCATGGGCTGTGCCATCTCTATTTCCATATCAGGTATACCGCAAAGGCCCATAGTAGCCATGATTTACAGGGGAGTGGTTTTACATAGGGAAGCTTTCGCCAAGGCAGAGGGAGCTTTTTGACAGCTTTGGCAAAAAATCATGCAAAAGGTGCTCAGAATGGTGAAAACTGCATGATTTTGAAAGAATTTCTGGCCAGCGGCTGCTCCCTCCGCTCTCCCTCTGGCTATGGGCATGCTGTATCTTGATGAGAGAAGTAAAACATTAACATTGTATTTTTAGACTGGCCCAGTGATGTCCATGCCTGTACCATCCAGTTATAATGACATCACAGTTGACAAAAGCATTCGGGATTTCGTTGGTTGGGCCTGGTATGATCGTGAATTTTTTGTATCCGCTGACTGGCAGAATAAACGAATCATGATGAGGTTTGACAGCGCACATTACTTTTCAATGGTGGTAAGTAATGTTTGAAGAAGACCAAATACAATTAATAAATAATTAATTAATCTGGTTAATTGACACCAGAATCAGAGATATCAGAGGGATGACAATTTGTAAGCAACTGCGAAAATCCATTACCTGGCATGTAAAATTATTTTCTTATCAACTCAGACATTGCTCCATGCATATTAACATGTATCTATCAAGCAAGCACCTGCATAATATTTTATGATTAATTTATTTGAGAAGTCATTGAAAATACAACAGCTGCAATTTTATATGTATACTTTATTTGTTTCTGAATGCTATAAGATAATTTTTCTTTTAGTTGATTTAGGGCATGTTTTAAAAGTAATGACGTTCTCGTAACCATGAATAAGTATTACTTTGGAAATAGCCCCACATTTACACATTAATAGGAGGTTTCACACAACGGGCTCTAGCTAAAATGTATCCACAACCGCATCTCATTTTAATTGAACTGATTCGCATAAATCTTGTGAATGCATTTAGGATTTTAGATACTTTGAGCTTAAAACATGTGTAAAACCTTTCTTTTTTGTGAGAATGAATTGGCATTTTATTTTCTATATTATTTTTATAGTGGATAAATGGCCAGGAGTTAGTCTCTCACAATGGCGGACATTTGCCATTTGAAGCCGAGGTGAATAAACTGGTGAATTTTAATGAGGTGAATTATGTCACCATAGCGATAAATAATACATTGACACCAACCACCCTTCCCCCTGGCACTATACAATATAAGACTGATACTAAAAGGTATGTAATATCTAACATAGAAATACCCCTTCTTGGTATACTATATACCCCTTCTTGGTAAACTATATACCCCTTCTTGGTATACTATATACCCCATCTCCATATATACCCTTGTTCTTCATAGGCCAGTCACACATTCCTCTGACTATTTCAAACTGGTTAACCGATTTGATACTCTTAAACATGTTCTTCAGGTTGGTTTTTCGATTTGATACTCTATGAAAAATAAGAGACAAACCTTGAGGGAAAACATAATAATCCAAATGTATGCCCAATTGATTTTCGTGCTTGTTGTACTTACCTGATTTGGAAGTTAATTTTGCCTACTTGATTACCATGTTAATTTTACTGACCTGATTTCCATGTTTATTTTGCTTCCATTTTGTTCTCCGGGATCATGATTAGGAAGCGAAATTCCTTTGAAATGTGAGCTTGGCTATCTATCAGCCAAATTTAAGACCTTGATCTTCTATTTAGTTTAAAGGGTATGGGTGTGCGATTAGATATACTCTTAAGAATAAGTAAACTTTCACCCATACAACCCAAATCCTCATATCCTAGAATATACGAAAAAGGAAATATGTAGTTTAAGTACATGGATATCTTATTTTCAAGACTATGAAAGAAATGTCCAGAGCAAATTTTGCAATATCCATTCTCATTTATCTACAATTGAAATGAGCAGCTGCATCATCCTTGAACTATTGAGCCGAGGTATACAATCTGACAATTAAGCCAGTCCACTTCTTGGGGAGTTCAAGGGGCAACAAGGCCTGTAGAGAGAAAATTCGAAATATTTTACTTTTTCTAAGCAATCAGGGCAACATTTGGCTTAACATCTTCTTTGACATATTTTCTTAAAATGTATGGATAAAACTATCAATTTAGCATTAAGAAGTGTAAATTCAGTTCAAATTCAGTCCCACTTATAGATTTTAAAGATTCACCATGTTTCAAGAGGAGTATCAGCTGAAATAATGTTTATCCAGGGGATTTCTTTCCCAGGGTTTCTTCGGAAATAATAAAAATAGAAATAACCAAACTTATATATGTTGACACTTGTACATGATTGTTGAATGGCCCCTCATTGTTGCACCTTTAGAAGAAAATAACATTGTGTAAACTTTTTCTATAGGTATCCACCAGGTTATTTTGTTCAGAATCTTCAGATGGATTTCTTCAATTATGCAGGAATTCATCGCTCGGTGCGCCTGTATACTACTCCCAAATCCTACCTCAGTGATGTTACCATAACAACTAATTTCTCAGGAACAGAAGGTACAAACAGCTTTAAGGTAGTTCCGCACTTTAACAAAATGTTGAAAATTGAAATGTCATTCCAACATTTTCATTTTAACATTTTGATTTTGAACTATGTAATCTACCATTAGGTGTAATTATCTAGAAATATTGTGAAAAATATTACCAATTTCATTAATTAATTATTGATCATTATGATTTTGATAATTAAAAAAAAAATCATCAATGGGACATTTGCATTTTGAATACTCATTTTTTAAGAACTGGCGAGATAAAGCGCATAAGAATCATTGCGGGTATTGATGTGAAAAAAAGAAGAACATCTGAGAATACACATTTATATTAATAATACTAATTTGAAAAGTCCATCCATGACACACCTCATATTTCTCTCAGGCCTAGTGGATATGAAAGTATGACACACCTCATATTTCTTTCAGGCCTAGTGAATTACGCACTTAAAGTTAACGGCACACAATCTCCATCAGCTACATACAGAGTAGTAGTAATAGATAAAGCTGGTAAAGAATACGGCCCAGCTGTAAAACCATCAGACATTATCCACATTCAAAATGTCCATCTCTGGTGGCCCTATACAATGAATTCAGAAGACCCTGCGTATATGTACACATTGAAGGTGAGTTAGTCTTGTTTCAAGCCCTTGTGGCCCCCTCCCTCTAAAGCATACCTCCATTGGAGAGGAGTGGTTGGGGGCAGAGGCTTAATGCAGGACTAAAGGCATGCCTAATAAGGTGATTGCAAAAATGCTTTTGAAAATGTAAACTAATGTTAGAAATGGTGTGACATGTTGTTTTGGACACATTTTTGGGAAATGTGGCTTCAGAGTCCGCCTCTAATGTAATTGCAACAAGGATGGTGACATTTGTCATGCTTTTTAATCATATATTTTACATGTCAAGTTTCATCATGTTTATACGTTTTTATTTTATGTTTTCTTGCAGATTACCGTAACAACAGCAGATGGGACTGATGTATACAGACAACCATTTGGTGTTCGCACTGTCAAGACAACAAACTCAACATTTCTTATAAACAACAAAGCATTTTATTGCCATGGCGCAGCTAAACATGAGGATTCTGACGTTAGTTTTTTATGCATTTTATACTTCAAGTACTATAAGAGCAGTTTATTTATATTCTGTGAGATTTGATACACAACAATCAAAATTGACTTAAAAAATTGACACACACTGTTGATAGAATGTTTTATTAAGTGCCTATCTGATTACTTTTAGTAGGTTTGCTTCAGGGAACCTCAAATGTGTTTTGCATCGGTGACTTCCAGTGCAATATGTATTTTTCCATTCCTTTTACAGTAAAACCTGTATAAGTTGAACACCTTTGCTACCTGTAAGAAGTGTTCCATGTGGGAGATTTTCAACTTACAGAGGTTTATTTTAAGAATAAACCAATTGGTCATGGCAATTCCACTTATAAAATTGTTCCACGTACAGACAGAGGTGTTCCACTTTAAAAGTTAACTGTATTTTTATATTCAGATTCGTGGAAAGGGGCTGGATTTCCCTCTGATTGCCAGGGACTTCGTAATGATGAAATGGCTTGGGATTAACTGCTTCAGAACCTCCCATTATCCTTATGCAGAGGAGATCTTGGACCAAGCAGATCAACAAGGCATTGTAGTCATAGATGAAAGCCCAGGTGTTGGCATTAAATTGTAAGTTCGATTGATGAATACAATCAGGGATGTTCCTTGGTATGGGTATATAGAGTTGATTAGTTTTAGGACAAGTTTGGCAAATCTTAGAGATGGTATTTTTAGCTCACATGGTGAGCTTTTGCAGTCACTCAATTGTCCGTCTGTCCATGCGTGCGTGCATCCGTCCGTCCGTCTGTCCGTCAACAATAGTGGTACGTTTCAAAACCTCTGTCGATAGGATTCCCATTTTATTAGCTCACATGGTGAGCTTTTGCAATCACTCACTTGTCCGTCTGTTCGTCTGTAAAAAGCCATTTCACTGTAAAGAATAGTTGTATGAAATAATTTTGTAACAAAAAATCGGAAAAAAAATCATATCCGTTTTTTTTATTTTCAGCTATTTAGTTAACATTGATTTGGCGTCTCACTTTTCAGCTTGTCTACAGGTTTCCAGCCAAACCATTTGACAGATTCATCTGAAATTTTCAGGAATGTTTCTACGTATCAAAGTTAAGAACTGATTAGTTTTTGGGCATTCTGGGTAAATTTTAAGGTGGCCATTTTGGATTTTCCGTCCTAAAATCTTCACTTTCAAGACTTGTCTACAGGTTTACAGCCAAACCATTTGACGGATTCATCTGAAATTTTCAGGGATATTTCTACGTATCAAAGTTAAGAACTGATTAGTTTTTTGGCATTCTGGGTAAATTTTAAGGTGGCAATTTTGGATTTTCTGTCCTAAAACCTCACTTTCAAGACTTGTCTACAGGTTTCCAGCCAAACCATTTGATGGATTCATTTGAAATTTACAGGGATGTTTCTACATATCAAAGTTAACAACTGATTAGTTTTTTGGCATTCTGGGTAAATTTTAAGGTGGCCATTTTGGATTTTCCGTCCTAAAATCTTCACTTTCAAGACTTGTCTCCAGGTTTCCAGCCAAACCATTTGACGGATTCATTTGAAATTTACAGGGATGTTTCTACATATCAAAGTTAACAACTAATTAGTTTTTGGGCATTCTGGGTTTATTTTAAGGTGGTCATTTTGGATTTTCCGTTCTAAAATCTTCACTTTCAAGACTTGTCTACAGGTTTCCAGCCAAACCATTTGATGGATTCATCCGAAATTTTCAGGGATGTTTCCAGGCCTGTCAACTGTCCCGCAATTTGCGTATTTGTCACGCATTTGCTGAAGAATTTGAAGTCACGCCAGTTATTTTTGCGTGACAAAAAATGTCACGCAAATACGCATTTTACCTGGTAATTGTCAAGCAAAAATATTTCTGTAGAAAAATTTCTAAAAAAGATCGTCTACACATCAAAAATTCGAACGCCGGAAAAAAAATGTACGCATTTCGTTCTGACTTTTCACGCGAATTATGTATATGTCACGCATTCTGTTCGAAACTTTTCGTACCTTCGTAGTTTTTGGGCATTCTGTGTAAATTTTAAGGTGGCCATTTTGGATTTTCCGTCCCAAATTCTTCACTGTCACACTGCTGTGTTTTAGGTACGATATTGTTCACGTCTGTGCCTTGTTACCCCCTGTGATAAGCAGTAACCATTTCCCCGATTAAGAACTCGCAATCTGATTGGGTGTCGCAACACTGCGACAGAAATCATGTATAAGCCATTGCGCATAATTAGATCACGTGATACGGTTAAATCGGGCGATTCCAGATTGGTTATAGCAGGGGGGATGAAGGAGGTACGGATTCTGGACACCTGCTTAGGAGGAGGATTCTGTCCATGGTCCGCCATTTTTGCAGAAGTTACACTGAAACGCAAATCCCATGAAAGGAAACAAAATCACTAGAAAAAAACATGGCACACATTGTGCGCATGTGCAGCAAATTTAAACCAATCAGATTATTTGATTATTTTGCGCACATGAATTATTTGCTTCTGAGCACTTACAAGCTTACCACAATAAACAAACCTGGCAGAGACTACCCTTAGCCTACTTCATTTTGGTGAAATTTCAGCTCAAACTCTTGACAAATGCATTATGCATACGCTGGTGTGAAGCCTTGGAGACTCTCATTTTGGTAAATATGATTTATGGTGTATACTTTTGTGCAGTTTGTGGGAGTTTGGGACATAAAATGTTAAAATTCAAGAAAATATGCCAATTTAACGACTCATCAATTAATATATACCAGCACTGTATCAAGCTTTTTTTCATATAGACAGATTAAAGCAATCACAAAACATGTTACATTAATTATCATGCCATGAATACATAGTTTTTCCTAAAAATGAATAGTTATCATACCTCTAATATAGAAATAATACACTTTGTATTCTGCCATGATAACCGTCTGTGAGTCTGCAATCAGGCCTACCAGTAACTTAAATCATTAATATACAAACTATTACTCATGTTACACTTACAGATATGTGTGTTATCTGTCTAAAGTTCATGTTAGTGTAACTTGAGAGGTTTAGAACATTAAACCAGCAATAACAATAACTAGACTGTCAGAGCTTTCGAATTTAATTACATCCTTTATCAGTAACGTTCTTTTGTTTGATCCCTCACCAACGCTGCTGTCTTTGACCTTTATCTTGAACCTAACCTTGGCCTCATTGTTTGATTGTTTGAATTTTCATTATTGAAACATGAAGATATGAATTTTCAGAAAATAAACAAAAAGTTGTTTTTTAATTTGTTTTTTTCACCACCCTTTCTCCAAAGCTTTGGCCCTCTGTCAGGTCATTAAACATATAGTTCAGTTATTAACTTTGAATAGCCTTATATTGAATGCTGTGCAGGTGCAGATAGTTTTCCCTCAATCCTTATCTGATAAACACCCATTGTCTAGTTGTACAAATTAATCTCAAAAATTGTTTAAAAAGCATCTCATTTATTTTGCGTATAATTCAAATTTTTGTACATAAATAATATTACCCTGTTATTATGTAATACCACCAAGAAGTGGCGATATATTGTTACAATCACTATTTTAAGCTCACACTGTGAGTTTTAGTTTTAGCTAAGAAACTATCATTTAATTCCATTATAATTATCCCAAGATGTTCAAAATATGGTTGTCAATTTGTCTGAAATCACTTCACATTTTGAGCCATACTATTTAGAATATTTTCAAATCTTTTAAGATTTGTTCACATTTCAATTACAATGGTAGCATTTCTGGTAACAATTTGAACTGTTCATGTTTGCAACTTCGGTACTGTTTCTATACCAATTTACTTTCGTCCAAGATTGCCAGCAACATAGAAAGATTTGTACTTTTCTGAGGCTTTGCACGCTGCAATCTTTTCCCTTGAAGCCATGCGATCATAGAATGCCTTCAGTGTTGGATAGGCATCTAGCATTGTGCTTGAGAGACTTATGCAGGCATCTAGGAGATCTAACATGGCATAGTCTGCAATAGAGACTCTATCTCCCACAAAGTAGCCTTCTCCTTTCTTATTCTTCTCCAGAAGTTTCTAAAAAAGTTTCCAATATTTTTTTACAATGTAATAACTCTTGTATCTTGTATAACTCTTTTTTATTTTAGTGGATATCAAATATTCACTCTCACTCATATGGAACAGAGTCTTGTAAGAAAATCCCTCTTTCACACTAGTGCTAGTCTAAGATTGTTATTCCCAAAATATTCTCTCAAAATATGCCAAATATGCCATTCAAAACTTCATCTTCTTTGCTAAGAAGAACTACAATCCCTGGCATGATTAATTCATAATGAGGAATCTTTGGAAATAAATGATGAGGTGATAGTTTTTGGTTATTAAATAGGAGCAATCATACCTGAAATATTGCCAGGGTATCACAAATCTTTGTACTCTCTATCCTTGCAGCATCATCTTGTTTTTTCTGTAAAATACACAGCTGGGTATAGTTCTGGTAATGGTTGATTAATATTTATTCCAACCAACGAAGTTTGGTACTAGAGATATTATGTATAAGTGGTAATTTTGCCTTATCATTTAATTTGCCTTTTGCCTAATTTTTGCCAGGTTCGGAAAATTAAATGTTGGAAATACTAAAGCTTATCATTAGGAAAATTAAAATTAGGAAAATGATAAAATTTGACCATTCGGCAAATTAACCACTCGGATTAAATACCACTTATACAGCAGTGAAGCCTTCGGTCTGTCAGTCAGTCTGTCAATCCTTCCAGAAGATAAATCATATGTAGAAAGCGTCCTTATTCAGGTGACGAACTCTGATTAGCTTGTTGAGTTCAGAGATTTATTGAAAACTGAAAGAGTGAAGATGAAGCTCTCTTTTGAGAACCAAAGTCGAACGAATGCAAAGGGTAGATTTTCATATTTCATTTTTAATATTGAACTTAAGAGATTGTTGTAGTTGTCTCGTCTATTCCTTCCTGGTTGCGCCCATGCAATGATGAAAATGATGAGGGACTTGATAAAATATGTTTTGATTTGTGGAATTTGCTTACTCAGAGCAGATTTCTTTTCTAGTGTGATAAGCAACTTACAAAAAATGAAAGAAGTACCCCCACCAATGTTGGGTGTTCACGCTCTAGTAACATATCAATCTTGGCAGCCTCAATATCATTGTTGCCATAGAGATTAAGTTTGCGTCCAAAATATCGCAATATGGCATAACATTCAGATAGCTCCAGTCCATCTGGGCCAGTAAGATAGGGTACTTGGCCAAATGTCTGCAATGAGAAAAACAACAATTTTGAAAATAAAAAGGCACTTGAAACAATCTGGAGAATTGATACAAGGAGGAGTTGAAGGAATGCATTTAAAGTGACTGTTTATAATATTGCGCAAAAAAACATTATTTTAATGAAATGTTCAACCTTTGTGATAAATTATATCTCGTCTCTTAAGTTCCTGAGATCACCCTCATTCATATTTACATTGTTTTCACTGGACGATTTCATGCGGTACTAACTCACCGGGGCGTATCGAAACCAAAACGCCCAGCAAAACCGTTAATTTGAATTTCAAATATACCCTGTCTTTGGAAAATCAATGATTGTGAGTCTCACACTACACCGTTTTTCTTCAAACTTGTTCCATTAAAACCTTCACAGAAATACCTTTCAGTGCTTTTGTATCCAAAGTCCCTCGTTTTAGCGGCGTTTTGGTCCCCAGATGTGAGAAGTTGCAAATCCTCAGAGATTTCAACCACAATCCTTGATATCTCGCCAGTTCTTCTATCACTCTCCCTCATATTCTGCGCAAGGACTCCCATTACAACCCTCCATCACTGCATCAACATGTTTATTACATGATACGCATGTAATGAAATGCTGAAAAGTCAAAATTGACCAAAACGCGCCGTTGTCTTCCAAAACGCCCCGCAGAATCTTTGACTACAAACGTGTAGTTTCAAGGTGTATAGATCCAAGAAGAGAACAGGGCGTTTTGATCAATTTGGAACAGATGCGTAGGACTTTTGGAAATTGCTGCGTTTAATGTAATAAATATGTTGATGCAGAGATGGAGGGTGGAAATGGAAGTTCTTGTGCAAAATATAGGGGAGAATGATAATAGAACTGGCAATATATCGAGGTTTTTGGTTGAAATCTCTGAAGATTTGCATCTTCTCACATCTGGGGACCAAAACGCTGATAAAACGAGCAACTCTCAGTACACAAAAGCAATGTCTCGAGTGAAAGGTATTTCTGTGAAGGGTTTAATAGAACAAGTTTGAAGAAAAATGGTGTACTGTGAGACTCACAATCATTGATTTTCCAAAGAAAGGGTAGGTTTAAAATTCAAATTAATGGATTTATGTTTTTTTCAAAAGTTTAAGTTATAAGTACCAGTATGTGTTTGGTAAATCTAGAAGTCCTCAGCACTAGAAACACATAAGCATTGCCCTTATCATTGTAACATATACTGAACCCCTATATCTGTTAACCAATCTGGGTTTCTGTGTGGGCGAATTTTAAAAATTGTCTAAGTTAAGATATGAAATCTACTTTTCAAGCAAGGGAAGCAAATACAGGGTGGACAAAAAATGGAAATCCTATTGCTATTCCTCATATCTTTGTCATTTTAAGAAATAACTCTCTAATATTTTACGTATTTGAATATCATTGAATTCCTACCAGCCTATCATATTTCATGACCAGCAGACTGATATATACAAAGTAACAGCACTTTCAAGAACATCCAGTGGCGACTATTGATCTGCAGGCAAACCTGCATACGTCATCCAAAATGTGCCTACCTGACTTCTACCTGTGGGGATAAGGCAAAGATAGAGTGTACAACAATGACCTCATGACAATTGCAGACCTCAAAAGTGAAATCATTTGTGTCATTCAGGCCATACCTGCTGAGGAATGCATTCGGATCATTGACAACTGTGCCTTCAGCGCAAGGATGGCCAAATCTGAAGAATGTTGTTCAAAGTGCTGTAACATTGTAACTATCAGCATGATGGTCATGAAATACGGTAGGCCGGTAGGAAATTGAATGATGTACAAATGTGTCAGATATCAGGGAGTTAGGGAGTAATTTCTTAAAATGACAAAAATTTGAGAAAAATGCAGGGTTTTGACTTTTTGACCACCCTGTAATTCGTAACTTACAGTTTTTTGTTTCAACTCCTGCCATTCTTTGCTCAGCCAGTCCAGTCTAGGATTAAAAACGTCTTCGAAGTAAAATCCCTGGTCGCTAAGACAACGCTGCTTAATCTCCTCTGACCACATTGGAACTAATATATCCTCGAACGACACATCATTATCTTCAAGGACATATCTGATCACTTGACCCTTACCTGTTTTGAAAAATGCATGTTTATCAATATATAAGCACTAGTGCAAAAGGGTAAGGACCAAAAATTGTAATGGAACTTAGCAAGAAAAAGCAAACTCTAAGTTTATGTTTATGTTTGTGAGTGCATACCAGTCAAGAAAAACAAACCCCATATAACTCCAAATCACAACCCCAAATTGTTTTTTTATAAAGACAGATTAAAGCAATCACAAAACTTGTTACATTATCATGTTATGAATGCAATAAGTTTTTCCTAGAAATGCCTCTATCATAAAAATAATAGTCGGAGAGTTAATGCAACTAAGTTAAACCTAGTCTGGTTTTGAAAAAGAGGGAAGAGCAGGTTTTCCTTCAAAAAAGCAAATAAAGGTACATGTATCCACATTTTTTAGAAGATATCGCCCTGGCTACAGTCCTGACCTATATGGCTTTCGATTTTTCTAAGTACTTATTAAAGTGATGAGTTTTATATTAACTTGTTTGATCAAATCTATCATGTGGATCAATTTTTTTTATCAAGAGGTTTTATTGCCATTTATCATATACATACCATAAATGAGGGACCCGATCGCCAGTGGCATTATAGATGTCCCTCAATGTAGTAATTATAATTTGTAAACATTGTTTATACACAGTTATATATGAGAAGAAAAAGAAAAAAAGAAAGTATCTGCATTTTAATTGGAGTGTGGGGGGGGCTGCTGCTGCCTCTGCCTATAGGGTCCTGGAAACAAAGATATAGTAATGTGAGTTTGGAAAAGAGGTTCACGCCATTGTCTCCCATGACTAAAACATGTGACTGATCTGTACCTTCTTTGTGCAGAAGACTTCATGATACTACAGTATAATGTAAGAGAGGGAAACATGGGGAGAAGAGCAGTAGAGATAAGGAGTGGTAAGACTGAGAACAATAGTAGACAAGCTTCCAAATACATGTATCTATGCATGCTCTCACCATTGATAAAAGAATGTCAATTTGTTCCGAGTAAGTGAAGGTTTATTTTGTCCATCTGGGTCCTGAACTGAGATTGGTTTCCAGTGATTAGTTCGATATATCTATTCAATTTAAGAATTTGTTCGGTTTTCAAAGGGCATTTAAAAAACAAATGGACGAAAGTTTCAGGGTCTCTGCATTTGCAGTTTGGAGATTCAAGAGTTGTCAAGTTGTGGGCCTTAAGTTGTGATTTGAGAATGAGATCTGATCTGGTATGATTTAGAATAATTTCTCGTTTTATGGAAGATCATTGACATAAATCAGGAAGAGCAAATGTTTGAGGATACTTTCTTGAGGGACTGAGGTGTTTATATAGTTGTCTGGTGATGCTGAAGAAGATGAAGAAGAAGATATATTAGTTAAATATGATTCGATAAAGGAGCATGTATGTTATCGCAAACAATTTCAAATGATTCTAGCTTGAATTATGAATACTTTCTGATCATGAACATGGGTGTATCTTTTAAATCCATTCATTATCTTCAAGAAAAGTATATATTATGATAATTTTGTTAATCAGACCTAAGTGGTATTGAAGGGGCAATGGACCAATCAACATACTTTTTCAAAAATGTTGACCTAATTTTCACCAAAATTGCAACCATTATTACATTGTTGAATGCATAATTAGAATGTGCTTTGAGACATGTTCTATTTCCTAAGAGGAAAAGTGGATTGCTCCAGGGACTTTAAAGATAATGAATTTGGATGACCAAAATGAGATGAAACCAATGGATAGCATGAGTTTTTTCAATGGAGAAATAACATTGGGAACACTAATCTTAAAGCAATCAAGTTTTTCTTTCAAGAAATATTTGATACAATAAAATAAAGAATAGTAATGCATTAAACAGTGTAAAAAATGATTGCATTTTTGGTGAAAAAGAGGTCAACATTTTTGAAAAGTGTGTTGATGGGTTGATTGCTAGCTAAATATCACCAAGTGCGATAACCTACGTGCTCCTTTTTAAGAGATTTCCTGAGATTTCATATGATTTAAGTATATGAATAAGCAAGTTATGCGGAACCTTGTGGATCAAATAAAAAACATGTGCCTTATCTTTTTCAAATGAAAAACTATTTTGCACTGATCTATCCTCAACTGATATAAGAGGTCATGAAAAGGTAAACTTAAAAATCTATCCATTTTAGTTTGTAGTTCATGATTTCTCTAGATGTTTTAGATCTTAATTATATTTGTTGGATTTACACTAGAGTCCTGAGATGTCTTGGCTAAAACGTTTTAGCGTACGTTTTACAATGTAATGTAAATCCAGATTCTCTCAAGAGCTCTCGGCTAAGAGCGCTTAGCTAAAATGTTCTAGGACCCTAGTCATAGCCAAGACGTCTTAGCGTTAAAATGTTTTACAAGCGAGTGTAAATCCATCGGTTTTAGCTAAGAGCCCTTAGCCCATTTTTGCGTTTTTTTCTCAAGGTCAAAAAGGTCTTTTTCAACTTGCTTCAAATGGACCAATTTTTTTCAAAATCATCTACAACTTTCAGAAGTTCAAATCTGACTTAAGATTGAACTTAAATATTGTGAGCAACTAGTCTAAGTTTGTCATGTGCAAAAATCAAAATTTCAATCACATTGAAGAAATAAAACAAGTTGCCCCCAATATGATTTATACAATCACTAAAGAATTTATAAAATGAGTAAAATAGTGATCATGTTTTGGAGAAATAGGTTTTTCCTAGAAATGAATAGATATCTTACCTCTAACATAGAAATAGTAGAGTTTGTATTCTGCCATTGATAATTGCCAGAGAGTCAGCTAGACTCTTTGTTTGTGCACGTTGTGTTTTTTCTCTACAGATTATGCATTATAAGGGTCCTTTTAATGATATCTGGGTGGGTGTAGAGCTCTCAACCTTGAGGAATTTTAGCAGATTATGTTATAAAAAAATAAGTTTTTCCTAGAAATGAATAGATACATGTATCTTACCTCTAACATAGAAATAGTAGAGTTTGTATTCTGCCATTGATAACTGCCAGAGAGTCAGCTAGACATCAAGTTGCGCTGTGATTTGATCTACCAATTGATTGACTTATGACCAAACTGTTACACTTGAACCTACATAGTACTGTAGATTGACTTATGACCAAACAGTTACATGTTAACCTACATAGTACTGTATTGCTAGCATATCAGGCCACTTAAGCGTCAGCCTTAAAAATATGTTAAGCACTCAAGGTTTAAAAGAGATATAGGCCACAGTGAAGTTGTAAATGGAGGACTTGGGTTTATTTCCATATTTCTTGAATGTAAACTAGTTTATGGTTCACACAGTGAGCCTATGGGATCGACCAGGCGTCCCTTTGTCTGTCCGTCCATCATTGGTCCGTTCGTCTGTCCGTTGTCCATCCATCCGTCTGTCCATCTGTCAACAATTGGCCTGTTTTAAAACCTCTGTCAATAGGATTCCCAGTTATTTTTGTTAAACATCAATATAGAAAACCCCTATGACTTCTGGTTCAAAAGCTTGCCTATTTTCAAAATGGCCACCATTTTTGTCTCGCAAAAATCACTTTTGGACCATTTGCTTTAAAACCTGTGTCAATAGGACTCCCGTTTATTATTTTAGTTATTTTTGTTCAACAACAATACAGAAAACTCCCATATGACTCCTGGTTCAAAAGCCCGCCTATTTCCAAATTTGTCGCCATTTTTGTATTGCGAAATTCACTTTTGACCCATTTCCTAGCTTTACAAATAATTTCAGGTGTCCTGCATTGTAAAAAGCCATGTCACTGTAAAGAATAGTTGTATGAAATAATTTTGTTAGAAAAAATCAGCAATAAGTTAAATCCATTATTTTATTTTCGGCCATTTTCGTTAACATTGATTTGTCCGTTTAATCCATTTTTGGACAATTTGCCTTAAAACCTCTGTCGATTAGGATTCCCATTTTAAGTTATTTTTGTTCAACATCAATACAGAAAACTCCCCTATGACTTCTGGTTCAAAAGCTTGCCTATTTTCAAAATGGTCGCCATTTTTGTATAGCGAAATTCACTTTTGGCCCATTTCCTAGCTTTACAAATAATTTCAGGTGTCCTGCATTGTAAAAAGCCATGTCACTGTAAAGAGTAGATGTATGATATAATTTTGTTACAAAAAATCGGCAAAAATTGTATTCGTTTTTTTATTTTCTCCCATTTTAGCCATCATTCACTTTTAAGCAACACCATGTGAGCCCAGTACCTGTGGTACTATTTTTTATTATTAAATACAATATTATTCACATTGTTGCTATACAAATATTGAATTTTGTGGAGTTGATAATCTGTATATATTTCTGAAGGTGTATTCACCGCAGCCCGAAGGGCCCGAAGGGCTAAGAAATATAAACAGATATTAAACGATCACAGAATTCAATATTTGTTTTATTATTTCCCCATTAAAGCAGCACACAATATTAAAGTTACAAGTTCACAATATTGTTATGATATGACGTTTAGTTTTAACGTATTTCCAAACGTTTGCCAATATTCTGTTATAATTCACAATCTCTGTCACACCATAATATATAAAAATTAGATTCGTAGTCTTCGTGCTTTCATTAGTTGACATTTTGAATACAGTATTGAACCTTTCTTGGGAGGACTGATAAAACTTCACCATCTGTCATATCGGATGAAAACACTTTTTACTAAATTCCCGGAAATTCAGTGATGTGACGTCATTTTTAGTGAATACCACTATTTATTCAATTAAATTACTTCATTTTTAGTGAATACACTCTTCACATGTTTTCAAAGCAGGGAGACAAGGAATACCTCTATATATTTTAAGTCACATGGTATCTAATTGACCAATGAGAGAACGCGTATCACGGCATGGAAATAATAATAAATGTTATTTTTAGTCTCCACTTTTTTGTGGATGATGTTCAGCAGTTGATGTTTGGAGTTCAGCATCTGTAGCAAATAGCAGGTGGTGAGATTTTGCAAGTTAATGCCTGTTCGACTACTTGTTTCCTCAGTTTGTTACATTATTCTATTACACTTTAACACTTTACTTGCAGTCCCGATAACATGGGGAATATATCTGTGGCACACCACATGGAAGTTATGGGAGAGATGTATGCCAGAGACAAGAATCGACCTGCAGTAGTCATGTGGTCAGTCGCCAATGAACCTGCAAGTAGTCTTCCTGAGGCTGACCATTATTTCAAGTAAGTTGAATAAAACACTCATGTAATTAAGCCTCCAAGGGACTAGTAATAATGTGACATAAATTAAGAAACAATTATGCAAAGCCACCAGAATACACCCAATGTTTTGTTCATGATGTTTTTTAAAAAACAAAGCATATAACTGCCATGTAAAATCTGAGGCATTAAAGTATTGAGTCATTCATTTGAATAGAATAACTGTATATCGGTTACAAACCAAAATACATTTCCTATAGCCTTATCTAGTGTACTGCTCTCCTTGCATCTCTGTCAGTCTTCTTATACATACGAAAAAGGAAATCCAAAATTCAGGAGAAAACTGGTATCAGAATTCTGTCTATTTTGCCAAATCTTTATTTAAAGCTCTGAGGTATTGGTCTCACTTTCTAAGATAAAGCTGGTCTGCAAGTATTTTTCTTTTCTTATTCCCCTGGATACATGTTTCCATTGATGAGCCCAATCTGTCTGTAAACTCCCTCTGCCAGTATTGATACCAGTTTTTATTAATCCAGGTCTGTAATTGGGCATATAAGACAGTTAGACCCCACTAGACCCGTGACATTTGTATCTGGGGGTGGAGGTTGGAATACAGATAGAGCAGTAAGTATCACCCCCTGGTTTATCACTGGACTCCCCTGTTTTATTTATTTAGGTCTGTAATTGGACATATAAGACAGTTAGACCCCACTAGACCTGTGACATTTGTGGTTGGAGGGTCAAGTTGGAGCACCGATAGAGCAGTAAGTATGTGATAAGATGCTGTAAATAATGGCTTTTAGGCAAGAAATTAGGTGAGAAATGCTGTCATAATTGTGCATGTATGATATATAGTAGGATTGGCTCCCAGAATCGAAGTTGATATTTTCCAACAATAAAAACGCCCGAAATGTCACAATTATTGAGATAAAATGGAATTATAATCGTCATCAAGCAACCAATAATATGACTGGATGTTTGCTACAGGTACATGTGTAATCAAATTAACCTTTTCTAATCAGGAATGTATTGAACTGTAATCCTTTTGTCCGCTTTGCACGTCCTAAAATAATGGAGAAATGATTTTGCCATGAAAATGCAGAGATGGGAATCTCATATGATAACTTATTCTTTTGTAACAGTGCAGTAAAACCTATGATTATGGGGCACCCCTCCATACTGACCCAAATTATTCCTTTATGATGGGCATGGCGAGTTCATGAACAAGTCAGTCAATAGACATGATAGAACTTATTTTAAAAACTGTTCTTTTAAAAATAGGTGTTCCTTACAAAATGAGTTTCTTACATAACGTTTTCCAGCAGATATGATTGAGGGTATATTATTATCTACTTGTAGGCTCAATACGTAGATGTCCTATGTATTAACCATTACTATGGTTGGTATAGTGATACAGGGGTGACTGGTGTTATACAAAGACAACTCACTGAAGACTTGACAAATTGGTTTAATGTATATTATTATCTACTTGTAGGCTCAATACGTAGATGTCCTATGTATTAACCATTACTATGGTTGGTATAGTGATACAGGGGTGACTGGTGTTATACAAAGACAACTCACTGAAGACCTGACAAATTGGTTTAATGTATATTATTATCTACTTGTAGGCTCAATACGTAGATGTCCTATGTATTAACCATTACTATGGTTGGTATAGTGATACAGGGGTGACTGGTGTTATACAAAGACAACTCACTGAAGACTTGACAAATTGGTTTAATGTATATTATTATCTACTTCTAGGCTCAATACGTAGATGTCCTATGTATCAACCATTACTATGGTTGGTATAGTGATACAGGGGTGACTGGTGTTATACAAAGACAACTCACTGAAGACTTGACAAATTGGTTTAATGTATATTAGTATCTACTTCTAGGCTCAATACGTAGATGTCCTATGTATCAACCATTACTATGGTTGGTATAGTGATACAGGGGTGACTGGTGTTATACAAAGACAACTCACTGAAGACTTGACAAATTGGTTTAGTGTATATTATTATCTACTTCTAGGCTCAATACGTAGATGTCCTATGTATTAACCATTACTATGGTTGGTATAGTGATACAGGGGTGACTGGTGTTATACAAAGACAACTCACTGAAGACTTGACAAATTGGTTTAATGTATATTGTTATCTACTTGTAGGCTCAATACGTAGATGTCCTATGTATTAACCATTACTATGGTTGGTAGAGTGATACAGGGGTGACTGGTGTTATACAAAGACAACTCACTGAAGACTTGACAAATTGGTTAAGTGTATATTATTATCTACTTGTAGGCTCAATACGTAGATGTCCTATGTATTAACCATTACTATGGTTGGTATAGTGATACAGGGGTGACTGGTGTTATACAAAGACAACTCACTGAAGACTTGACAAATTGGTTTAATGTATATTATTATCTACTTGTAGGCTCAATACGTAGATGTCCTATGTATTAACCATTACTATGGTTGGTATAGTGATACAGGGGTGACTGGTGTTATACAGAGGCAACTCACTGAAGACCTGACAAATTGGTTTAATGTATATTATTATCTACTTCTAGGTTCAATACGTAGATGTCCTATGTATTAACCATTACTATGGTTGGTATAGTGATACAGGGGTGACTGGTGTTATACAGAGGCAACTCACTGAAGACTTGACAAATTGGTTTAATGTATATTATTATCTACTTCTAGGCTCAATACGTAGATGTCCTATGTATTAACCATTACTATGGCTGGTATAGTGATGCAGGGGTGACTCGTGTTACACAAAGACAACTCACTGAAGGCTTGACAAATTGGTTTAATGTATATTATCATCTACTTGTAGGCTCAATACGTAGATGTCCTATGTATTAACCATTACTATGGTTGGTATAGTGATACAGGGGTGACTGGTGTTATACAAAGACAACTCACTGAAGACTTGACAAATTGGTTTAATGTATATTATTATCTACTTCTAGGCTCAATACGTAGATGTCCTATGTATTAACCATTACTATGGCTGGTATAGTGATGCAGGGGTGACTGGTGTTATACAAAGACAACTCACTGAAGACTTCACAAATTGGTTTAATGTATATTATTATCTACTTGTAGGCTCAATACGTAGATGTCCTATGTATTAACCATTACTATGGTTGGTATAGTGATACAGGGGTGACTGGTGTTATACAAAGACAACTCACTGAAGACCTGACAAATTGGTTTAATGTATATTATTATCTACTTCTAGGCTCAATACGTAGATGTCCTATGTATCAACCATCACTATGGTTGGTATAGTGATACAGGGGTGACTGGTGTTATACAAAGACAACTCACTGAAGACTTGACAAATTGGTTTAGTGTATATTATTATCTACTTGTAGGCTCAATACGTAGATGTCCTATGTATTAACCATTGCTATGGTTGGTATAGTGATACAGGGGTGACTGGTGTTATACAGAGGCAACTCACTGAAGACTTGACAAATTGGTTTAATGTATATTATTATCTACTTGTAGGCTCAATACGTAGATGTCCTATGTATTAACCATTACTATGGTTGGTATAGTGATACAGGGGTGACTGGTGTTATACAGAGGCAACTCACTGAAGACTTGACAAATTGGTTTAATGTATATTATTATCTACTTCTAGGCTCAATACGTAGATGTCCTATGTATTAACCATTACTATGGCTGGTATAGTGATGCAGGGGTGACTGGTGTTATACAAAGACAACTCACTGAAGACCTGACAAATTGGTTTAATGTATATTATTATCTACTTCTAGGCTCAATACGTAGATGTCCTATGTATTAACCATTACTATGGTTGGTATAGTGATACAGGGGTGACTGGTGTTATACAAAGACAACTCACTGAAGACCTGACAAATTGGTTTAATGTATATTATTATCTACTTCTAGGCTCAATACGTAGATGTCCTATGTATTAACCATTACTATGGTTGGTATAGTGATACAGGGGTGACTGGTGTTATACAAAGACAACTCACTGAAGACCTGACAAATTGGTTTAATGTATATTATTATCTACTTCTAGGCTCAATACGTAGATGTCCTATGTATTAACCATTACTATGGTTGGTATAGTGATACAGGGGTGACTGGTGTTATACAAAGACAACTCACTGAAGACTTGACAAATTGGTTTAATGTATATTATTATCTACTTCTAGGCTCAATACGTAGATGTCCTATGTAATAACCATTACTATGGTTGGTATAGTGATACAGGGGTGACTGGTGTTATACAAAGACAACTCACTGAAGACTTGACAAATTGGTTTAATGTATATTATTATCTACTTCTAGGCTCAATACGTAGATATCCTATGTATTAACCATTACTATGGTTGGTATAGTGATACAGGGGTGACTGGTGTTATACAAAGACAACTCACTGAAGACTTGACAAATTGGTTTAATGTATATTATTATCTACTTGTAGGCTCAATACGTAGATGTCCTATGTATTAACCATTACTATGGTTGGTATAGTGATACAGGGGTGACTGGTGTTATACAAAGACAACTCACTGAAGACCTGACAAATTGGTTTAATGTATATTATTATCTACTTCTAGGCTCAATACGTAGATGTCCTATGTATTAACCATTACTATGGTTGGTATAGTGATACAGGGGTGACTGGTGTTATACAAAGACAACTCACTGAAGACTTGACAAATTGGTTTAATGTATATTATTATCTACTTCTAGGCTCAATACGTAGATATCCTATGTATTAACCATTACTATGGTTGGTATAGTGATACAGGGGTGACGGGTGTTATACAAAGACAACTCACTGAAGACTTGACAAATTAGTTTAATGTATATTATTATCTACTTGTAGGCTCAATACGTAGATGTCCTATGTATTAACCATTACTATGGTTGGTATAGTGATACAGGGGTGACTGGTGTTATACAAAGACAACTCACTGAAGACCTGACAAATTGGAACAAGAGGTTCAACAAACCTGTCATAATTACTGAATATGGGGCTGATACCATAGCTGGTCTGCATAGGGTGAGTAAATGAGAGGCTCACATTTTGAATAGAGGACCCATAATGTGTTATCTTTGCGTCAGATGAGTAGCTCCATATTTGGTTTCTTAAACTGCCTGATTTTTCATATTCTAATGTTACCATCAGAAGTTATAGTCAACTAACTTTTTTGTGGATGGTGTTCAGCGGTTGGTTTCGGTAACAAATAAAATGTGTTGATATTTTGTATGTTAATACCTTGTTAACAACATGCCTGATTTGATCCTCAAAATGATGGACCATACAATTCTTAAAATAAAATAGATAAATGATCCACCATTAAATTCATTAATTCTCGAAATCGCTGTTCCCTCTTCAAAAGAGGAGACGCGAAAATCTTTCCTTATAAGGTCAAAATATTTCCCATGATGCAGTTCGCGGAGGAACAAATTTATACTTCCTTGTTTTCCTTCATAGGTTTAACATGGGGATTTTAACACCTATTTTTCAAACGATATATTCGTTCATATTCTCGTACGAGGGTACAGAAAAAATTATTAGAAACGATTGATCTTTTATTAATCTTAATATAACAGCTATTCTTTTCATTGTATTGATTCATAGCGTGGTGAAAACGATGATTGAAAAGTGAGAAAATATTCCTGAAGAGAAGGTCTGATGATCAGTTGACTAGTCGCCATATTCGAAAAATCAATTCCATTCGACTTTCAATACTTTCATGCCAATCTTACCGCACTACAAACTGCATCATCGATGCAACAACGGAATAAAAGTATTCATCATCAAATTACATCATAGAGTTACGTTGAAAACCAACAAATAACTGAGCAGTAGACCAAAGAAGAAGCGTCGCTATTATCTAGGTCACTCTGTTCACTGGTCCGAAAGCAAATCTATAGTACTCGTTTCCGAATTTTGTTGTTCATTGTACAATCTTTTATTGATTAAACTCGGTATACAGACTATTAAAGCAATGACAAAGAAGAAAATTTCCGATGTTGTCATTGTTTTATTTAGCGTGCGGGTGTAAAAACAAAATTACGTAATTAGTTTGATTTAGAACTTTCGGGTCACGCAAATAGCTACGCGAAATGCATAGTGAGAAAATATAAACCAATCAAATTTTGTCCTTTTTGAGTGCTTTTCAGTACATATTTGCGAACGTTCTGATTCAAAGAGCGAATCGCGAAAGGGAGAATTATGATTCATTAGAAAATTTCATGGTGTCCACTTTTCTTAAATGCAAATGCTTGTTGATTCAACCAATGAGCAAAAGTTATTGTAAATGAGCTATTGTAAATGAGATGCTTGTTCAAGGCTCAATCCAAATAAGGCGTTTGGTTGAGTTGAAATAACAATACTTTATACCAGTATTTGATTATCCTGTGGTCGAATCAAAATGACAAAACCTATTAATTCAATAGTCGAACATGACCATATTCCACCTTCTATATACTGTGAACAAAGTCAATATTTAATTCGGAATTCATTTGTTGAAAGATCTATATTTTTCAATTATACTTTGCAAATTTTCCAAAACTCACCGCAAAGAGGTAAAAATATAATACCACGGGAAAATACGGCCGTACAATATACAAGTCGTATGACTTCTTTAGGTCTAGTCATAAGCTGACATTCACAGTGCTTATTACGTGAAGAATATAAACCATCATTCATTTTAATATTTCAGGTGCCATCCTTCATCTTCACTGAGGAATACCAGGTTGATTTTATGCGAGAATATCATGCTGTGTTTGACAAACTGCGCACACAATTCTTTGTTGGAGAAATGGTGTGGAACTTTGCAGATTTTATGACAATTGAACGTAAGTTCTTTATGGATTATTATTATTTTCGTATAAATTCCAGAGTTGCCAGGATCTCATCTTTGTATGGAAATATTAAAGCCCTAAATTATATTGTAGGATATTCTAAAAAATAAGAAGATGAATCTAGCTGATTCTTACGATAAAAATCTTGCCCACAATCAAAAAACCATGTACCTTAATCTGCATCATATCAATTACTCATTCATATTTTATTTTAGAAATAACCAGAGTTGTTGGTAACAAAAAAGGGCTGCTGAATCGTCAACGGGAACCAAAGATGGCTGCTCACTTTATTAGAGATCGCTATTTGTCACTAGCCAATGGACTTGATCCAGCATCATGCAACAAGAATGGCTGGAAATGGTTGCCATAGTTACCGAATTAAATCTGTCTACTTTGGTGGAACTTTGGGAAACTAAAGATTTACGGCAAAATCCAGTAATAATATTAGAATCGTGAATAAAAAATCCTGAAAGAAATATGAGAAATCATGGGCTTCCAAGAGAAAGCCCATAGAGAAATCAAAAATTAATTGACAATGTTTTAATAATGCAAGCATAATGAGTTATATATTAGATGCTTTTTAAAGCTAACAGTCAACCGAAAATTCCATCACTGTAAGATTGTTTTTAGGATATGAATTTACGAATGGTTTACTCCCAAAGTTCCATCAAGAGCATAATACATTGCCAAGTGTGTCTCTTTATGAGTGATGCCATCTATTTTGAACTGATATGGAATTCATGGCAGTTGGATGAATTCATATTGAAACTTTTGGAATGAGGGTTGGCAATTGGAAAATTGTATCTGAACTCAGAAGTTAAGTTAAACAGAAGTAATTTTGGATGTGAATAGACAATTAATGCATTTTATTGCCATATGCATTTTTCTGTCATACGAGTATAAAATGTTTGTTTTATTATTCTATTTTTATTATATAGTATTTACTTTAAAGTTAAGATAGATTACTGTTGTGTTTTATGTTTACAGTATTTGATTTATATTTCCTCACAATAATTTATCCATGAATTTACCTTCTTACATATTATATTGCCTCCAACGGTTTGTTAGCGTTTGAAGGATATGAACGGTTGTATTTTATTTACATCCGATATTCATTTTAAAGCATGCTAGGGATTTATTTTGGTGTAATAATTATTTTAAAACATCTGCATTGATATTTGCATTTATTTCTTCTGGCAATTGATATGAAAATATTATTTAGGGAATGTGCAATGTAGGCTCAAGTTCAGGTATTTTTTAGAAATTGTAATTTTTGTGTCACCTCCGTAAGTGGTGACGTATTGTTAAAGTCTCCATCCTTTTGTGGTCGGTTTTCGGCGGTCGATATCTGTAACAAATGGCAAGTGGTGACATTCCGCATATTAATGCCTCGTTTCATTTGACAGCTGCAGTAGCCCCCAGTTAAACACAGGTTTTTTTACAAATTCTAGAAATTGATTCTTAAGTCTATTAGGTTAGGTCTACAATATATTACACAAGAAAAATTCAAATCATGGCTTATTCAATGACTCCTTGCTCATTGTTATGTTACTTCTATGCAAATGTTATTGACAACGAAATGTTAATGCAATGACAAACCATTGATATAGAGAGGTGGAAGTAATGATATTTGGAATAAATTTATTATACTATTTTATTTATCGTATTGTTTTATTTTATAAATCAGAGACCTGTTATTCTGGTACTACAGATTGCATCAACAGTCAGTAACGTGCAAAAAATCTAAAATGTAGTGGTTTTTGAATAAAACGTTTTTCTCTTAAATTCGTGGGGAGAACGCGATTCGCGTATATTAGTCAATTGACTGTATTTTACCTTTGAAAATTCATAAGATAGCCTAGTCGAAAAGTCAAAACGTGTCATAAATCTGTGGCGCGAGGTAAAAAAAACGGAGACACAACAAAAACTTACAAAAATACTATCGAAAAGATTCAGAGAGGTTCGGTTTGACCCCCGCGCTTGCAGACATTGGGGTTAGTCTCTTGCTAATATATTAGAAATGGATATGTCAACAAAAGAGAACAATGGCTTGTCGCAAACCAGATATGCTTTTATTTTCAGAGGATAAAAGCATTGATGTTATGAAAGAACTTATATACTGGATGAGCGTGGTGTAAAAGTGGTTTTGAAAAATAGCAAATTTCTCTTTATGTACTGTAGGTAATTTGTGGTTTATGATTCTACATTGATTCTGAAAATACTGGTGTCTAGTTTTTCAGCGTTTTGGAAATATTCAGATTTATACCCCCCTTGTTTGATTTTGAGGGGGGGGGGTATTAGGAAGGCCATGTAAAATTCCTAGAATTTACAACCAATCATTTTGATATTTACAGGTAATCATGTACTTATCATGTACTAAAAAAGTAATAAGTTTCATCAAAGTTAGTCAACTGGTTGCTATGGAAACGGAGATCATATGTCAAAAAGTACACAATTTCGTCAAAATGTAAGACACCCCATGAGACAAAACACATATTATTTTAATGAAATTGGAAAGAAACACCATAAAAACATTTTAGAAAACTTATTCAGAGTATGTTTGATAATATTAAATCAAGTGGTGTTTTATTCTATCCACACAGTCACTGGGGGGTATCGTGATGCAACAACACCGTGTTGTTGCATCAAGATGGCCAGACTTCCGGTGATAGATTTTCGTACGATGTTTTGTTTTCCCAATTTACACCCATTTCTAGGACGAGTTGCTCAATAATCATACACATGCAGTTAGCACATGATCTATATTTTAAAAAACTGTCATTGGTATACACGTAGCATCATCAAGAAGCGATAAATTCGTGGTTTTAATTCCTCACTATTGATGCAACAACACCACTCTGTTTCTTATCGATGATGCAACAACACCAATGTGCTGATGCAAAACGCCAATATAGTGTATCATTGAACAACAAGAGAAACTGTTTTATGTTCTGTTTACAGGTGTAGGTCGGGACATGAATAAAACGCGTGAGTCAGTGGTCCATGAACGAAACGTATTTTGTTTGGTTTCTTCGTCTATATCAAAGTTAAAAGGATATACAAGGCAAACTAAATAAAGTACAGAATCCCCGGGAGGCAATCTCATTGATATTGTATCTGAAAAATAAAGATTATACATTTTCTAAATTAAATGCCCTTGATTTACTGTATGGAAATTGCTTACAAATAACTAATATAATTTTGGAAAGACAACAGATATCAGTCATTTTGTGTTGTTAGTACCTCAATTGAAATACTCAATTCTGATTGGTTGATGAGCGGGCAACAAAATGTATTGTTAGTACCTCAACTGAAATACTCGATTCTGATTGGTTGATTAGCGGTCAACAATATGCACTGTTGACCGCTACTAGATACTGTTGACCGCTACTTTTGAAAAAAGTTCCATGACGTCATAATATTGTAAACGTTGATGAAAGTGATTTTTTGAGTTTACTAGACGACAAGAATGGCAAAAATGCGAATAGAAACGTAAAATCAACATTAATTTACTAATGACTCTACCGTGATGTGCCGAATATAGAGAGTTTAGCTACCACATCTTCAGAATTTCTAAAAAAAATATTGCTGACGTGGTTCGGAGAAAAGATTATGAAATGAAGCCATGCCGATTGTTGATTGCCGTCTATATGATTGTGTATTACTAGTTTCTTCGGACTAACAAAACAATTGTAGACCTCTCCATTCGGTCAACCGTCAAAATCGTATACCTCGACTGTAAACCTTGAAACTACTGTTGACCTCGACCTTCGGTCTCTGTCAACAGTAGTTTCTCAGTTTACAGTCTCGGTATACAATTTTGCCGGTTGACCTCTGGAGAGGTCAACAATTGTATATTGTTAGTACCTCAACTGAAATACTCGATTCTGATTGGGTGATTAGCGGTCAAAATTATGTACTGTTGACCGCTACTAGGATCTGTTGACCGCTACTTCTAAAAAAAAGTTTCATGACGTCACAAAAAACATGGAAGACGGACATTTTGTAAATGTTGAGGAAAATGACTTTACCAGGCGACAAGTATAGCAAAAATACAAATAGAAACTTAAAATTAACATTAATTCACTAACGAGTACGCCGTGATGTGCCAAATACAGAGTTAAGCTTCTTGCACTGTCTCCATATTTTCTAAAAAAAATATTGCTAACGTGGTTCGGAGAAAAGGTTGTGAAATGAAGCCATGCCGATTGATGATCGTCGTCTATATGTGTATTATTAGTTTACTCGGACTAACAAAACAATTGTAGACCTCTCCATTTGATCAACCGTCAAAATCATATACCTCGACTGTAAACCTTGAAACTACTGTTGACCTCGACCTTCGGTCTCTGTCAATAGTATTTTTTCGGTTTACAGTCTCTGTATACAATTTTGCCGGTTGGCCTCTGGGGAGGTCAACAATTGTAAACTGTTGACCACTACTAGGTACTGTTGACCCCTATTTTTGAAAATTTGTTTTTTTTAATGTTGAAATTTTTTTAATTTTGAAAAAATAAGTTGTGTGAAAAAGTATTCGACGGTTTGGGGATTTTTTGCTAAAATATGATACCTTTACTTATCAAATATGTTCACGTGATATTCGATTATATATTCCTCCAATTATTATATTATTTGGACTAACAGAACAATTGTTAACCTCTCTTTTCGGTCAACTGGCAAAAGTGTCCTCGACCTCTGGTCTTGATCAACAGTACTTTCAAGGATTACAGTATCGGTATACAATTTTGCCAGTTGACCTCAAGAGGGGTCTACAATTGTATATTGTATATCCTTTGTTATCCCACCCAAAGTATGATGTCATATATCAAGTTGAAGAGTTGTATACGCTGCTCAGGAGTTTACGCTATCCAGGAGTTGTACATCGTTCTCAAGAGTTGTATAGGATGAGTGTTGGTTTAATGATATTGCAGTTATACAATGCTATTATATAAAAGTTATTTACTGAGAGGGATTCAATATTGGTTTTATTTCGAGAGACAATATGATATTTCCCAAAGGCCCGGGATATCTGGGATAACTGTACCCCCATCAATTTACCTTTTTGGGCCCTAAATCTTATCACTTTTGTTTACCTTTTTACTCAGTCGGAGAGAAGGAATCCAAAGAGAGCAATAATTCTACATGTGCGTCGTGCAAGATTTCCATTAAACGTGTAACTAAACGGCCTCTCTAATAAAGTCATTTAGACGTTTTTACACGTTGGCTCTCCAAATTGTAGGAAATAAAGAATCATGTCATATTATATCATAGATGAAGCAATCATCCCATCAACATAAGCTCACGAATGTCACAGTTAAACTGTTTTAGTTATAATTTGATAAACAGTGGTAACGTACATCTACTAGTTTATCACTGTTCCACAGAAGGATAACAGATAATATCATGATAATATCCAATAGCTCATCATGTTTTCCGAGAACGAAAGATATTTGTCCACCATTTTGAATGATACTAACTGGAGTCAGGGTCATCAAGCTATGGAACAGTGGTTTATGAAAATAGATTGGGTTACTAAAGCTTGCCGTGTTAAAGGCGATTGAATTATGTTATAGAATAACGTCCAGTACATTATATTATCCTACACTTAGTGTACTAAATGTATAATAACATTAAAAAATAAATTTGATATTTATTGGCAAAATGAATAACCGGAGGATATCGTGACGATATACTCCGGGCGGAGGATATCGTGACGATATACTCCGGGCGGAGGATATCGTGACGATATACTCCGCTTGTTGATTTCCCGCAAAATTGAACTATTTGACATGAAATTTATTTTTTAATGATTTTATACATTTAGTACACTACAAGCAAGTGTAGAATAATAAGAACATCCTATGATTTTTTCAAAATATCATTTTAATCTACTCGGTGATATTGATATGTGCACTCGTTCGCTTCGCTCACTCGTACAGATATCAACATCACCTCGTAGATAAAAATAATATTCCTCAAAATCATAGGATATTCTATAAATATGTAAAAGTATAAATTTTTGAAAATACATATAAAGATCTTCGCCCGCAGGACGTGTATTTTGAATGCCTTGAGAAGAACGCAAATATGGGTAGGCTAATTGGTAACGGTATTGCAATAGTAGCATTTAAAAATCTGTTCCTCTCGAGATGGTCTTCTGAAATTATACTATTAATTGGTGTTGCTGCATCATTGCTCAAATCTAGAGGAGTGTTGTTGCATCTTCGGTTTGGTGTTGTTGCATCAATAGTGAGGAACTAAAACCGTGAACTTATTGCTTCTTGGTGATGGTATATGTATACTAATGACAGTTTCTTTAAATATAGATCGTGCGCTAACTGTACGTGTATGGTTATTGAGCAACTCGTCCTAGAA